GCACACACACACACACACACACACGCCTGCGGCTCCCTGCCCTCCAACTTGGACTGTGACTACGCCAACATGTGTTGTGTGCTCCGCTCCCTGCATAGCCCCCGCTCTCATACATGCAAACGCACATGCGCACATGGCGCAAGTACACCACACATGGCGCAAGTACACCGCACATGGCGCAAGTACACCGCACATGGCGCAAGTACACCGCACATGGCGCAAGTACACCGCACATGGCGCAAGTACACCGCACATGGCGCAAGTACACCGCACATGGCGCAAGTACACCGCACATGGCGCAAGTACACCGCTCATGGCCTAAGTACACCGCTCATGGCGCAAGTACACCGCACATGGCGCAAGTACACCGCTCATGGCCTAAGTACACCGCTCATGGCGCAACCGCTCATGACACACCACATACACATACACACACACTCACACTCACACTCACACACTCACACACTCACACACAGAAGCGCCCCCTCGCCTTCTATTCTCCCCCCCCCCCTCCCCCCAACGCCATGTCGTCCGCCAGGCGCTGGGGCACACGGCGGTGCATCTGGTGGCAGCAGGCGCGGGCGGGTGCCTGGCGACGGTCCATACACACACACACACACTCACACACACACACACACACACACACACTCACACACACGCACACACACACACACGCACACACACGCACACACGTGCACGTACACACTCACACACTCACTCTCGCGCGTTCTATCCCCCCCCCCCCCAACGCCATCCCCTCCGCCAGGCGCTGGGGCATACGGCGGTGCATCTGGTGGCAGCAGGCGCGGGCGGGTGCCTGGCGACGGTGAGCGGGCTCACCGCTCACACACTTGCACTCTCTCTCACACGCTAATGTTCTCTCACCTTCTATTCCCCTCCCCCTCCACAACGTCATGCTCTCCCATTGCGCCAGGCGCTGGGGCACACGGCGGTGCATCTGGTGGCAGCAGGTGCGGGCGGGTACCTGGCGACGGTCAGCGGGCTCAAGCACGATGTCTCCCGCTGGACGCTCGGTGGCGTGCCCATCACGGTGCGTGCCCCTCCCTCTCTGTGTGTGGTGTGTGTGTGTGGTTTGCGTGTGTGTGTGCGTGTACGTGTGCATGAGCATGCATGTTGTGTGTCTTGTGTGTGGGCATTTGCGCCCGTGATTATGGGATGGTCGAATGGAGTGCGGGCGGGTACCTGGCGACAGTGAACGGGCTGCGGGCTCAAGCACGACGTGTCCCGCTGGACGCTCAGTGGCGTGCCCATCACGGTGCGTGCCCCTCCCTCTCTGTGTGTGTGCCGTGTGTGGTTCATTGTGTGCGTTGTTTGTCTGTGTGTGCGTATGTGGGTTGCATGGCGTGGTTGATTAGAGCATGTGCCTCCTCTGCATGCAGGGAGCGGATGTGTCTAGGTTTCGAACCTCTCTTCCCTCTGGTCCCTCCACGCCCCTTTTTCCTTCTGCGCAGGCAATCATGAGTTCAAAGCCAACAATGAAGGGCGGGGCCACGGAGCCCGGAGTGAACGCCAACAAGGTCGACCTCAACAGCGCCCCTGTCCAGTGAGTGCCGGGCGGGTTTTGAGACGCGGGCGGGTTTTGAGTGCCGGGCGGGTTTTGAGTGCCGGGCGGGTTTTGAGTGCCGGGCGGGTTTTGAGACGCCTCAAAACTCAATCATGAGTGCAAAGCCAACAATGAAGGGCGGGGCGCCCCTGTCCAGTGAGTTCCAGGCAGGTATTGAGACTCCTCAAAACTCAATCATGAGTTTAAAAGCCAACAATGAAGGGCGGGTGTCAACGCCAACAAGGTCGACCTCAACAGCGCGCCTGTCCAGTGAGTGCCGCCCAGGCCCCCCCTGCTCTGCTCCCACTCACACTCGCGCGCACCGCACAACACAGCACTGCACCGCACCCACCGCAACTTGGGGCTTGGTACCCGTCCCCTCATGCCTGGCGCCACCCTCATGCCCCTCACGTCCACTCCACTCCCCTTGTACCATATGCCTCTTCCTACCCATGTCTCCCCCAGGACCCTGCACGCCAGTGCGGGCAGCTTCCTGCCGGACGACCTGTACCACAACCCGGCCCCTTACCCCCCTTACCCCCCTTACCCCCCTTACCCCCCTTACCCCCCTTACCCCCTTACCCCCCAGGACCCTGTACGCCAGTGCGGGCAGCTGCCTGCCGGACGACCTGTACCACAGCCCGTCTAGGGTTGTGTGTACGTCTGAAGAGTATAGCACCTCCCTCATCCACACATGCGCTTGTCCCTGCCTTGCGTATGTCTCTCCCATCTCCCGCCCCTTACCCCCCAGGGCGCTGAATCCCAACCCAGGCTGAAAATATTAACGGCTCCCTCAAGCCCGGCTTACTCATGCACGCTGTCCTCCTGTCCCTGCCTCCACTCCCCCCTCTATCCCCCCAGGGCGCTCTACACCAACGCAGCCAGCTGGCTGCTGGACGACCTGTACCGTAACCCTGGCGAAGATAATAATGCCTCCCTCATCTCAGGCCTACTCATGCTCACCGTCCTCCTGCCCCTGCCTCCACTCCCCGTCTTCCCCTATCTCCCCAGGGCGCTGTACGCCAACGCTGCCAGCTGGCTGCTGGACGACCTGTACCGCAACCCGGGTCCCATCCAGTTTGAGGGCCCCAGCGCTGAGGCGCGCCCCATCACGCTGACCATGGAGGACCACAGCTACGTGGAGCAGATGCACACTCTGCACAAGTACCTCGACCAGGTGCGTTGTGCTGATTGCTCTACCATAGTGCTGCTGCTGAGTACTGCACAAGCTCGACGAGATGTATGCATTTCCCCTGAGCTAGAGAGCTCAGTATTAACTCCACCAAACCCAACGTTTCCCATATGGATGAATCCTGGCAGGTGAGGGAGCTGGTGAAGCCCAGGTGTGCCCCCGAGGCGCTCAACACGGCTCTCTCCTCCCTCGGTTCACTCACCCACGTGCTCACCATCCTCACCTTCTCTGCCCTCTCCTCCCTCTCCCCGTTGCATGTGTCTGCAGGTGAGGGAGTTGGTGAAGCCCGGGTGTGCACCCGAGGCGCTCAACACAGCGCTCTCCCCCCTGGCGTCGCTCACCCACGTGCTCACCATCCTCACCTTCTCCCCCTTCTCCTCCCTCCCTCCACATGTTTCTGCAGGTGAGGGAGCTGGTGAAGCCTGGCTGTGCACCCGAGGCGCTCAACACGGCGCTCTCCTCCCTGGCGTCGCTCACCCACGTGCTCACCATCCTCACCGGCCCCGGCTCCTCCTTTGCTGCCCCCGACCCAGCCCCCTCGCCCCGCGTCTCCTATGTTGCCGGCATGTGGAAGTAGGCCGTTGAAAGTAGATGTGCTAGTGGAGGGAAATGGTTTCTGGGAAGTGGATGGGAGAGTAGTGGATTGATCCGATAGGATTTATATGTTGGGTTTGTGTGTTAGAAGATTCAGGGATTCCTTCGTTTGTGGTTTCTCATATTTCCCTTGATGTTTTGCAATGGCTAGTTGAAAGAGGATTGGTGAGAATCTATCCACATTAAAGAGGATGCACTCACTCAATAGATACCGTAAAAAAATATTGTGGAAAGAGGAGGTCCCATGGGCTTGTATCTGTAGAGCGTGCTTCTTAGCGGAGGAATCAGACCTTGCACTTCCATCAAACAGGTGGTGGAGCCTCGAGGTAAGGGCGCGCGTCTTTTGGAGTGTATATGAAGTTCATGTTTTTTTGCTCAACTTTTCACGTCTGAACTCTGGTCGACCTGTGGTCGACTATCGAAAATTTTGTGGTCGAATCGCAGCTAATCTTTCACATCAAGCACATGGCACAACAAAGTTCGACTATCACTGTTCGACTTTGTACAGTAAATCCCGAGTCGTGCCTTGGTTTCGTAGGTTACCCTGCCTAGAAAGCATAGTTCGTTACCGAATCCGACTTCAGTAACCTCGTATGATGTCATTCTTTGCTTTCGTGCAGTTCGAAAATTCACTGTGCACAAGCAGAAGAACACACGTTTGGATTTACGTGGCCGCAAAATTCGACCTCAGTTCAGTGTCCTACAAAATCATCAAACTTGAACTTGGACACACGACCCTCGCTAACAACCTTTGACGAAATTAACGAAGATGGTTACCAGCCCAAAGTTGAACCTTTTTTTGAACTTCAAACCAAAAGACACGCGCCCTAAGATTTCGCGAGCAGCACCGCTTTCGTCAGTCTCCATGAATGCGTGGTGAGACCACAACCCATTCGTGGCGCCTCAACGCGACAAGCCTAGAGTGTGTCCGTTGAAAACCCTGTCAACCCTCGCAGAGCGTACTTAGACATGTCGTGGCAGCAGAAGCACAGCGCACCACGTGTCGGGAGACTGATGTTCGTTTCAGCGCCCCTTGTGCGGAGAGACATGCAAGGGAGGTCGCATAATGGGGCGCCTCGACTGCGAGCGCCGTCCCAGTGGATTGGCGTGTCCTTTTGTGCGGATTCCAGAAGAACGCACAGCGCTGCGCAGCGCAAACGCCATAACGCATGGCCCACAACATACGCCAGCAGCTGGGTTCCAAACGCCAACTGATGGGCTGCATTCGGTCCCCACCGCCAGCCGTGTGAAACTCGATTGGATCCACGTCACACCGCCAGCCGTGTGACGGCTGCGATTTGGAGGATCGTGACCGTTGAGTTTCACTAGGCAGGTCCTCGCTTCAGCGAGGCGCTCCACTGCAGTTCGTCACCGGCGTGAGTGGGCGCATGCCGTTTCGTAAGGCAAGGCGCGAAAGAGGCGCCTAAGACGCATAATACTCGTATGCTCGCAGACGATCCAGGCTGGATTCGGTGCAGGGACGCTCACGATATCGCAGTGAATTTGTTTCCATCGCCTGCGTTTGCTTATGCCTCGGCGTTTGCTTGTTCCTCCGAGTGGGTGGGCAGAGATCCGGATCGCGTGCAGTTTGAAGACGGACGCTGAACTCTCAAAAGTGATTTCCGGTCGCTTTCCGTGCGGAGCCCGTGAATGGCTCACGAAACTCGCGAGACGAACGAGACTTTCCGTCCGGAGCCGGACGTTCTCCGTCACGAGAATCGCGAGACTCGGGAGGCCCACGAGGCTCACAAGAGTCACGAGGTTCACGGGGCGATTCGGGAGGCGCGTTGGCAGGTGACAGCAGCGACGGGTATGGGGCGACATGGGAGGGAGGGAGGAGAATCAGGGGAAGGAGGAGAGAGGGATAGTGGCGTTGGCGGAGAGACGGGGGAACGTCTGGAGCCGATTGGCTGTGAGATACCGGAAGGAAGCTTCGTTGTGGGTTCTCCTCCTAAGCGGTTACGGAACAGTGGATTGGGAGCGGAGAGGGGTGAAGAGTCTCCAGAAAGGAGCATGCACGATCGCGAGTACGAGCCCCCTGAGGCAGGTCTGAAGGAGGGCTTTAACGTGCAGGGAGGCTTCGGGAAGGGGCAAAGAGAGTTGCCTGACTTGGATCTTAATAAGGAGCCTGACAACGGGATGGAGAGCGGGAGAGAGCGCGAGGGGCGGAGGGAGAGGTTAGAGGGTGAAGTGAGGCAGAATGAGGAGGGGCCTTTCGAGGTGCCTCAAAAGCTGGATACCAGGAAGGGGGGAGAGAGAGAGAGCGGTAGGGGGAGGGAGGAGGCGTTAGAGTGCGAGGTGAGGCAGATATACGAGGGCCTATGCCTGGACCTTGCTGCTGCAGGCGATGAAGAGGCCTGCAGCGCTGACAGGAGCGCTGACGTGGCAGGCCAGCGTGGTAGGCGCGCTGACGTGGCAAGGCATGGTCCAGCTGGCAACGAAGAGGCTCTGTGCATAGGAGACGTTGCTGATCTGGACTTTAACAGGGGGGAAGGGGTCAAGGTGGGTGAGGGGCATAGCGAGGTACAGGGCGGTATGAGTGCGGTGGAACTGGATTCAGTGCGGTTGCTGGCGTCTCTCCCTTCTCTGAACTCCAGCGACCTCGCTGCTGCCCTGCCTGCTCTCGGCTTTGTCAACCCTCTGCTGAACACAGAGGGTGTTATGGAGTCGACTCAGAAGTCACCTGCTCAAGCCCATGTTGGTCCACCGCACGGCACAGAAGGCATTGCAGAAGCTGTCTCTAAGCTGCCGGCTCACACACGGGGTTGCTTTTCAGAGGGTCTTCATCAGCAGCAGATGCAGCGCCAGCCATCTGACCCGGCTGTAGCGGCATCTGATTCGCCAGCGGAAGCACCTGATCCGGCTGTAGCAGCTTCGGATCCGGATGTAGTAGCAACTGATCCGCCTGCACAGGCAACTGAACAGGTTGCAACCGAACCGGCTGTAGCAGCACTCGACCTCAATTCACCACCTCTGGATCCGGCTGTAGCTGCACCGGAACCCAGTACCGCACCGCTTGATCCTGCTGTAGCGGCACTGTCAGACATCCAGCTGCCGCCCGGGTTCACAGAGGGCGAGGCAGCAACGGAGCACTTCCCTCCTCCGTCGTCTGACCCGCCTGTTGACACACTAGACCCGCTTGTGGAAACCCAGAACCCCTTCGCTGTGTCTGAGTCGACTCAAAAGCCGCCGTTGTTTGACCCGCCGGTTGACACGCGAGACCCGTTTGTCGAAACCCAGAACCCCTTCGCTGACACCTTGAGCCCTCTTGTGGATGCTGTGGAAAACGTGCTGGGCGGACGCGGAGAGGAGGGTGGAGGGGGAGAGGGAGGAGGAGGAAGGGGAGAAGAGGGAGAGAGTGAGGAGGGAGCCGGAAAGAAGGGGGAGAATGAGGGAGGAGGTGTGGGGACAGTAGGGCAAGGAGGGCGAAATGATAATGGGGAGAGGAAGGTTGCAATGGGGGTTGGGGGCGATGTAACTGGGCAGGAAGGGGCATCGGCATTATCATCTCTTCAAGCATCTCTTCAAGCTACACCGAGTGTTTCTGGATGGTTTTCAGCAGAGGCTGGGACTAAGACTGGTGCCAATGCTGCTACTGCCGTTTCTTGTTCTGATGCTCGTGCTGCTGGAGATGGTGGTGGGGAGCAAGGTCCTTCAGCTGGTGACACAGCCAGAGGAGGACGGGGACAACCAAGCGACACCAGCAGCGGACAAAAGCCCGACCAATCAGAGGCAGGGGACGATCTGTCGCATGGGTCTCAGCCCGGGGTGAAGCATGGGTTGAGTGCGGTGGCAGGGAATGCAGGGGTGCATGCCATGCTGCGGCCGGCAGGCATGGTGGCGCCGCCCTACGAGCACATGCGCCAGCCGGGCATGGCTGTGGCTCTAGCGGATGTGCTTGAATCGAGGGAGCCGTCAGAAGAGGCAGGTGTGACTGTAGACGAGCAAGGGCTGGCCTCGCTGGGGTTCGCCACTTCGCCCCTAGAGGGGCTGGGTTTAGAAGAAGGATTGGGCTTTAAGCAAGTGGTGGGCCCCAAGCAAGACTTGGGCTTTAAGCAGGAGTTGGGTTTTAAGCAGCAGCTGAGCCTTGGTCAGGAGCTGGGCTTTAAGCAGGGGCTAGCTGGTGCATATGGGGAAGCAGCAGGTAGTGCAGTAGGAGGGTCGGGTGGCATGTCAGCAGGTGTGCCTCATGCCAGGTCAGCAATTCTACCGCATGCCAGCTCACTGCCAGGTGTGCAGCACGCCATGTCAATGGCGCCAGAGCTGCAGCAAGCAATCGCCTCCTCTCCAACACCCGCTCCCCCCATCACAGCTCCTCCCCTCGCACCTCACCCCCCCTCCCTTCCTCCCACGCCACCTCCCAGCCCCGTTCCATTTCTTGCCTCCGTCCCGACCAGTCATGGCAGCTCCATCCCTCCCCCAGCAGCAACTGCTGCCACCCAGATTGCTCTGTCTGCCCAAGCCCTTCCCTCCCACACCCCTGCACTCACACCAACCACTGTCCCCGAAATGGCACCTGCAACAGTCACCCTTCCCCCTTGGTCCACCTTTACAGTCACACCCCCTGCAGGGTATGTTGAGGTGCACGCAGGGCGTGCAGGGTGTGACAATAACGAGATGCTGCTCAAGATTGGAGTGGAGGGGACCAAGGAGGTGGTTGTGAGGCAAAGTGGTGGTGACACTAACGAGGGATTTTCCGTGGAAGTGGGTGCAGGGGAAGTCAAAGTGGGGATCAAGAGTGGAGAGGATGTGACTGTAGTGGTGGGAAGGGGAGTAGGGGAAGGCACAACCGGAAGGGTGGAGAAGGGTGGATAGTTAGGTGGAAGTAGAAAGCTAGTACCAGGTGGTAGGGTCCACGTGATAGTGATGGTGCCAATGTTGGTTGGGGACTCCCATCTGGTGAGTGAGGGTGAGGGTCCTCTGACTTTATGGTACTAGGAAGGAGTATATACCTGTATGATCGTTGTAGCATATTCATTGCAATTTAAACCATTCCACCCTGATTGGTGTGAAACTAGAAAGGAGGTGTCATAATATGAAACTTCATGATAACAGAACGATATCTACAACAAAAGAATAGGCCCTAATTTAGGCCAGTAAACAATACAGAGGCACGCTTAGCGCGTGAACAAATCAGCCCACCAGATTCCCAGTCCCACCAAGTCACCCTCGCACGCTGGCAGCCCGCGCGAGCAGCGCGTGCGTGAAACTATGTTTAGTGAAGCGGCTCCCTGGGAAATTCCTCGACGGGGCTGAGCTGCTTGGCGCGGCGGTACTCAGTGTGCGCGCAGTCCACGGAGAGCACCGAGCTCGACTCGTACGACCGCGGCGTGCCGTCCAGGAACCCCACGCCCTCCTCGCTGTCCGACGAGATCGGACGGTGCAGGTTCGCGATCAGGCGCTGGAAATCCGCGGCGCGCGCGGCGTGGTCGGGGCGGTACGTCTGGCCGAGCACGCCGTGTACGTCGTCGGTGTGCTCGAGCTCGACAATCCCCACGTTGATGTGCGCCTCGGCGTCGTTGGGGGTCTGCAGCTTAGGGTTCGCGACGCGCAGGCGCAGGTCGAGCGACACGAGCCCGTCGATCGCGAGCGTGTAGTAGTCCACGTCATACGGCCCCTCCTTCTCCAGCGCCGCGAATCGCAGCATCAAGCCGCCCTCAGTTTTCACCTCGTCGCCGACGGCCATCCTCGGGATCTCCTCGCCGTCGATCTCGATCGTCTTCATGAACCCCTCGCCGCGCTCCTGCTGCTTGCCGCCGCGCGCCGCGAGGCGCAGCTTGTGATCCGCGCCGGCCGCGAACCACACGAGCCCGAGCTCCTTGATCCACGTGTGCACGGCCTTGCCGTCCACCACGAGCGCCGCGTTCTCCGTGTCGTCCGAGTAGTACCCGCGCAGCAGCATGTTCACGTGCAGGTCGCGGTCCGTCAGCAGGCAGAACGCCTTGTCGGGCCGCCCGTTGAAGTCGAAGTGCGTCCCGAACGCGCCCACCAGATGCGGGTCGTTGACGACGTTCGCGGCGGGGTTGCACTCGCCGCCCGTGCGCACCTGCAGCGCGATGGGCTTGGAGTCAGTTGCGTACTGCGCGGTGAGCTCGCCGCACGAGTAGTCGATGTTGTCGTGCACCAGGTAGCACGCGCCGTCCGTCTTCTTGCCGTCGATGGTTATATCGGGGATGTACTGCCAGTACGTGCAGCTCTTGAACGACGCGCACGTGTTGCAGCACGTCTGCGGGGACGCCTTCTTGAGCGTGAGCGGGTTACCCTTCACGTACATCTCCACGCCCAGCTTGTTCTTGAGCAGATTCGACGTCTTCCATTTCGCCGGGATGCCGCCCTTGCTGCAGTTGGCGGGCGTGCACGCGCCTTGCCCCGGCGCGCCCAGGTCCTTGTGGCACTTCATGGCGTTCCACCCGGCCTTCTTCACGTCCACCAGCAGCATGCTGTCCGTGCTCGGGCTCACGATCGTCGTCCCCTCGAACTTGTCCAGATTTCCCGCCGCCGCCGCCTGCTCGATGCCCTTCGGCACCTCCGTCGCCACGCCGTTCTCGCCCTGCGCCGCCGCGAGGGACACTGCGGGGTTGTTAGGGCCAGTCACGACGCTTGGCGCCGCGGAGGCTACTGTCAGCAGAAGTGCGAGCGACGCTACGAGTAATAGCCGCGCCATTACTATCCAAATAGTAATTATCTGTCAATGTGCTAAGAAGGGCTCTCAACTGCTAAGTATGTGGTCTGCTCAGCTACTAAAGCTTCTTGGAGCCTGGTGACGACTTGCAATGTGCTTGGTAAATCAATTATCAGAAACTTCTAGTGTGCTTGGTGTATCGATAAGCTCAAACAACAACTGTACTGCGGTGTGTTGACGACGAGTTGGTTTCGGTATTTGTAGCTGTGATGATGCGATTTAGCTGGGCTGGGTGAAACCTGCTTTTGGGTAGTGGGTGGTACGTTTCTGTTGCGAGACGCAGGTCTAGAAGGCGAGCATTTTCTAACCTAGACCTGGCTGTTGTTGTGGCTGCGGTGCGGTGCAGACACAGATCCAGGTGAATGTGGACAGACTTGTTTCTGACACAAGCCCGCGGCAGGAGCAAGCAAGCCTCAACCTGTGTTGTGACCTGAACATTCAGGCGGATTTGTGATGCGAGTGGGATTTTGTACAGTGGTTTTCAGTGTTCGAAGCGCAGAGAGCATTTTTTCCAACACACATGCAGATTGCACACCTGAATCGGGTGCAGGTGGCAACTGAACGTACAAACAGTTTGCTACTGGGTCAATGTTGCAGGTACAAACGTGGTTGAATTGATTGGTTGAATTTTTTCTTGTTGAAGAATACACTCTACAAGCAAATACCGCTACTAGCTGAGAGAATTGTAGCAACCCTGTGCCGTCGGATTGATTGTTCCCTTAAAAACAGCGCATATACTAAGTACTTCGTATGTAAGTTCATCTTTGAAATGCAGCAAGCGCTTGCCAACACTAAATGCAGCAGAACAGTCATTTCTATACAATGCATTACATAACTCGGTGTCACTATACAAATGAAGTGCAATTACAACAACTTCTCAATGTCAGCCTGCACAGAGTAAACGGGGGCAAGAGGAAACAATTTCAGCTTCTGTCCATACAACCTAGGCTTCTCTTTCCAGAAAGAGTTATGACAGTAACTCTCATATCCATAATCTTACCTGGATGGCGGAAGGAGAGGTGGTAGGCGCGTATCTCTCCACAACCTTGCCCTCCTTGTCCACAAGGAACTTGCCGAAGTTCCACTTGATCGAGTCACCCAGCAGCCCTCCGCCTTTCTGCGACCTCAGGAACTGGTACACAGGAGCTGCGTTCGCCCCGTTCACATCCACCTGCATGCCGAGCAAGAGAAAACAGGGACGAGATTGGTAACAATCACCATGTCGTAATTGAGGTTAATATGATTCAAAACTGATCAGGGACCATTCTTCCTCAAGGCTCTTAATCTGACTCACCTTGTCGAAGAGAGGAAAGGTGGCGCGGTATCTGGAGCACGCGAACTCCTTGATCTTCTCGTTGCTGCCCGGCTCCTGCGACCCGAACTGGTTGCACGGGAACGCCAGAATCTCCAGACCTGGCGAACGAGGTTCGGGGGTGGGAGGAGGTAATAGTTGAGAAGGTAATGGAAGCAAGAGGTAAGCTTCGGGAACAATCAGGTTCGGGGAGGAGGATACGCAGCAAGAGGAGAAGCGGAGACAGGAACGGGGCAGGAAAGACGCAGAGGAGACGCAGGGAGGGAGGCGAAGGAGGGGCTGAGAGGGAGGGAACTGGGAAGAACGTGAGACGAAATGTTTCTCGAGTGAACTTAATTCCCACCATCACTCACCTCTGTCCTTGAGCTTGTCGTACACCGACTGCAGCTCCTTGTAGTTGGAATCGGTGAGTCCACTGACGAGGACAACGGAAATTTACGAGATGGTACGGGGGGAAGAGCGCGCGACATCGGGATTGAGGTACGCGCATGGACGAGCATGTGGAGAATCGAGAGGCAGAGAGTGCAAAAATGAAGAAGGGGACATGGAGAAAGATGGCAGGCGAATCCTTGTCTATTCAAAATGTGTGGGCGCTATGGTTACATATTTTCTGTTCCGAGATCCAACAAGCGTCGCATGCTCACCACTGCGAGGCGACGTTGACGACGAGAACGACCTTGCCCTTGTACTGCGACAGCGACACGGGGTTGCCGCTGATGTCCTGCGTGCGACGGAGAAGGGATCGCACGGGTCCGAGGCGGATTTTATATACACGGGATATGGCTGAGTCCCGCTTAGGACAATGTACAATTTCGACAAATAAATTGAATTACCAGGAGACGGCGGCTTCAGGTCAGGTAAGACTGACCAGTTAACCTCTGAATCGCACCAACGTTCAAATCGACGCGTAAGTCACAGCGGATTACGCAAGTGCAGCAGTTTCACTGCGAGTCCCGTGAATACAACTGGCTTACATTGACAGTGAAGTCGTGGAAGGTCTTCCCCGCGAACGTCGTCGCAGATGCGTTGGCACCCATCGCACCGCCCTTCGAAGAAGCAGACGAGCTCCTGGAAGCAGGCTTAATCGCCAACGTCTGGCGGGAGCTCGAAGCGCTACCCTTCACAAACGACGAGCCGCTCACTAGTAGGGTCGAAGCGTGCTTACGCGCGGGACGAGAGAGGGAAGAGAGGCTGCGAGCGAGAGACGAGGTGGAAGGAGCAGAGGCAATAGCGGCCATCGTAGATTCAAGTAGGCGAAGACCGAGAGAGTTACAGTCGGTGGAGAAGCGTGCAGAGAGGCGAATCTGGAGTGACAATTCCTGATTCCTGAAGTGAAGTGAGGAGCGAATTCTGAAATTTGTGGTGGATGAATTCGCGGCAGGGAGGAATCTGCGGTGATGATGTGAGCGAGAGCTTCCCGAGGAGGAGACAGCTTCGTGGATTCACAGCTGAGGAAGATCGTTTTTCTATAGTTAATAACCCCAGCAGCGGGCATTTGATTTTGAACTGAACAGAGTTTTGCTCACGGCTTGTCTGGCTGGGCAAAACCATGTTCTTGCAATTTTCGAAATTGATTTCTTGTCCGGGCTGTTTCTCAACGAGACATCTGGTCAGTCCCCTATGGGGCTGGGAGATTGCTGACGTCTGCTCCCTCGTTTCGCTTTCACAAGGATCCTTCGAGTACACGTGTACACGAAGTGACTCTCCAGCTAGACCAAACTTCGATCGTCCACGTGCATGAAATATATGCAGCCAACACGTGGTCGGTCTTGACTACGTGGCTCTCCTACTGAAAAAGACGCGGAGGAGATGTACGAGGACGAACCGCTAGAAGCATCTCCGATGTCGTGCTTTGAGATTGGCCTTTTTACACACGGGAAGGCAATGACTACGGAAACCCGAACTGCGGCCAGCGAGCCCGAAGGCTGCGTGCTGGATGTTGCAGAACATGTGTCAGGGTTTAGGGTTATGGATGACGCCTCAGGGGCATTTCCGTCACCACCGATACTAGCACGACATCGCTGCGTGCGATGGGCCAAGTGGCAAGTACACCTAGATATGACTGACATTACGTCATTGTGCTCCGTGGGCCCAATGCTCCGTCAGTTCTCAGAGAAGATGGACATTTCGCTGTCATTCGTTTCTTCTCGGAATAGATCATGATCTTTCGATCGTTGAAACGACGTTTCTCGCTTCCGTCGTCGTCCAAGGACTGGCTGCGACCACAATGCCCTGCCACGTCCACTTCACATAGCTAGGCCCTTACATGTTCCTCCCGGCTAGCGGGTAGTTGCTGCTGGAGCCATAACGTAGCTCATTGGCGAGCGCCTCGTAACACGTGCAGTTACGGTGGAGAGAGGAGAGTCGGAGTCTAGTACCGAAGGATGATTCAATCATGAGACGAAACACTACTAAACAACTTTTCGTAACCCTTTTGACAGCTGGCGTAATGCTCCTCCGAGAGAGTCTCTGGGAATTCCGCATTGCGTGACGGAACGGGAGGGAGGGGAGTTGAGAGGGCGCCATTCTGACGACCACCGCCATAAGCGTTACGGTTAGGCATACCCATGTGCGTTTGCTTGTGATCGTTCTTATATTCGCGTGCCTGCTTTTAGTTTTTTTTTTTTTTTTTTTTTTAAGGATGCATTACACTTATAAGGTGAGTACATCCACAGTCGTAACTGTAAGGGGGAAGGGATCAGGCAGACAAGAGGTCTACACCGCCCTTCCTTGGTGACTTATGGTGGATGAAAGACAGTTCTCGGGTTGGCCCACACCGATCTGAATCCCTCCTTCCACGTCAGCGGGTGCCTGCTTGTAGTGTGCGTCCGCTTGAGATTGAGAGTGACCGAGAAAATTAATACCATACCAGAGAGAACCGAACAAGGCTAAGGGAACAAGGTATACGATCCTGAACAAGGGAACAAGGCTTCAGCTAGAGTACTGACTGAGTGGCTTCATAGGCCCAGGCTTTCAGCGGGAACACGTTTGCTCCTTCATAGACAAATGACAGATCATTTTGCGATAATCATTATGGGAATGGCTTCGCTAATAAAGAATTAGGTTCGGCACGACCATTAGTGCTCATACCAGCACATTCACCAGAAGCACCACCAGCACGACCATTCGCTGCATCACCAGCAACACTAACACCATCAGCAACACCACTAGCACCATCAGCATCACCAGCAGCATCAGCACCACGATCACCATCACCAGTCTCGCCAGGACCACTCTCCCCAACCCCACTCGCCCGTCTCCCCCCACCCACCCACCTCTCCCTCCTCAGCTCCTCCACAGCCACCACAGCCGCCAGCAGCCTTCCCGCCAGCTGGCGCTGATACTCCTCCATGCGCCGCTGCTCCCGCTCCACCTCCCTCTGCTTCCGCCCCACCCTCTCCTGCTCCCGCTTCACCTCCTCCTGCTCTTTATTCAACCGCTCCTGCTCTTTAGCTAATGTCTCCTGCTCCCGTGCTAGCGCCTGCTGCTGCTCTCTCATCTGCTGCAGTGAAGCGAGATCGATCGGCGCAAACACCCCTCCCGTGGGAGAACCTTCAGTGGAAACACCTCCACTTCCTGCGAGTGATTCTTTAGCACCAGCCCGACTCTCCCGCTGCTGCTGCACTGCAGCTACCAGAGACAGCAGCTTCTTCTGCGCCCCAAGCAATCCCTCCTGGGCGCTCCGTATGCCCTCCTGCTCTGCCCGAATCTGCTCCCTCTCCGCCCCCACCTCCTCCTGCTGCGCTCCTAGCTGCTCCTGCTGATTCCTCACCTGCTCCAGGTGCGCGCTCACCTGTTCCTGCTGTGTCAGTAGCACCTCCTGCTGCGCCTTCAGCTCGTCCTGCTGTGCGCACAACTGCTGCTGCATGCCTTCAACCACCTGCTCCCACCGCACAGAACCGTTCTGCTGTGCCCAGCCAGCCAACCGCTCCCCCTTAAGCCTCTCCTGCTCCTCTCTCAACGCCTCCTGCTGTGATCTTATCGTCTCCTGCTGTGCTTTCAGAGCGTCTTGCTGTGAGCGCAGGAGACGAAGCGAGTTAGAGAAGAGGTCGAACTGGCGAACGGACTGGTCCTGTACGCCCAGCAGCAGCAGCTGCACCTCCTCCGACTCCCTTCTAGATGCCACCAGGGCGTCTTGTAAGCCTTGTACTTGCTGCGCTGTCGCCTCTGCAAGCTTTGAGGTCTGGTGGGAGTGGTGGGTGGGTATAGAGAGAGGGAGAGAGGAGAATGAGGGAGAGAGTAGAATGGGAGAAGGCAAGGGTTCCTGCAATGCACGCTCAGGAGCAGCAGCGAGTGGGAGAAGAGGTCGAACTGCCGCACGGACTGGTCCTGCACGCCCAGCAGCAGCAGCTGCACCTCCTCCGACTCCCTCCGAGAGGCCGCCAGGGCGTCTTGTAAGCCTTGTACTTGCTGCGCTGTCGCCTCTGCAAGCTTTGAGGTCTGGTGGGGATAGGGAGAGGGAGAAAGTAGGAGCGGAAGAAAGAGGAAGGGTTGTCTCAGCAGCAGCAGCTGCACCTCCTCCGACTCCCTCCTTGATGCCACTAATGCGTCTTGCAGGCAGCCCCTGCACCTGCTGGTGCGTCTCAAAGGGTTCACAAGAAGGGTTGGCCCTGCAGCAGCAGCGTCTTGCAGGCCCTGCACCTGCTGCGACTTTTCCCAATTCCCTTGGAAACGCCGCCAGGACGTCTCAAAGGGCGTCTTGCAGGCCCTGCACCTGCTGCTGCGTCTCAAGAAGGGTTGGCCCTGCTGCTGAGCTGCACGCCCAGCAGCAGCAGCAGCGTCTTGCAGGCCCTGCACCTGCTGCGACTTTTGAGACGTCTCAAAGGGCGTCTTGCATCCCCTGCACCTGCTGCGCTGTTGCCTCTTCTAGCTTCGATGTCTGGATGGGAGTGGTGGGTGGGTACAGAGAGTGGGAGAGAGGAGAATGCGGGAAGGCATGGAAGAAAGTATAAAATATTGATTCTGCAATGCACGCCCAGCAGCAGCAGCTGCACCTCCACCAATTCCCTTGGAAACGCCGCCAGGGCGTCTTGCATCCCCTGCACCTGCTGCGACTTTTGAGACGTCTCAAAGGGCGTCTTGCAGGCAGCCCCTGCACCTGCTGGGCTGTTGCCTCTGCTAGCTTCGACGTCTGGTGGACATAGTTCAAGGAAGAGAGGAGAATCTGAGTGAGGGAGTGGGACGTAAGAGGAAGGATCGGTCCTGCATGCCCTGCTGCGCTGTTGCATCTGCAGCCTTGGGCTATCTGCTGAGATGAGAACAAGCGCAAACAAAATGCGTTTTGAGACGACTCAAAACTGTTGCCTCTGCAAGCCTTGGGCTGTCTGCTGAGACCAGGCGCACAAAATGCACCTCCTACTAATATTTCCTACGAAAAACACATACCACAAAACGAAATGGTCAGCTAATCTAGCGCACCTGCAACATTGGGTCTATGAGCGTGTGCCTCGTGACCTGGGTGTGTAGCTGGAACTTCTCCACGTGCCATGACAGTGCATGCACCACTCTCACCACCTGCTGCTTCCAGCCCGTGCTCTTACCTCTACGCTATGGCCATGTGATTCAACGTACCTGCAACATGGGATCCCTGAGAGTCCGCCTGGTGACTCGCGTGTGCAACTGGATCTTCTCCACGTGCCGTGAGACTCTTGCGGTGAGAGTGCATGCACCAACCCCACCTCCTGTTACACCTAGCGCATACTGTGTAATTGTACAGCCAAGAGTTTACAACGCACCTGCAGCATGGGGTCTCTGAGTGTCCGCCTCGTGACCCGTGTGTGCAGTTGAATCTTCTCCACATGCCGTGACAGCGCATGCACCAGCCCCACCACCTGCTGCAGCTCTGCCACGCTCACAGGCTCACTCCCAGCCTTTACTCCCCGCCCTGCTGCTGCTGCTGCTGCTGCTGTAGACGCCTTCTGTGCCCCCTGCTGCTGCTGCTGCTGCTGCTGCTGCTGCTGCTGCTGCTCGTGTCTCTGCTGAGGCATCCCAGGTTGAACGGGAGCAGGGGAGGCGTGTGACTGAAACGGAGGCGCTTGTAACGGGGGTGATAGCAGCGAGGGTGCGGTGGGCAGGGAGAGGAGGCGCGAGAGGGCGGAGAGGGCGAGCGCGGAGGAGAGGAGGAGCGATTGCCAGAAGAGCGGGGGGAGCGCGGAGAGGGACGAGGCGAAGGCGGAGAAAGAGGCGACCTGGAAGGGGGAAGAGGGAAAGGGAAGGGGGAAGGGGGAAAGGGGAGGGATTTGAGGGTGGGAAATGGAGGAAGGTTGGGGATGGACATAAAGGCGGGAAAGAAGGAGAGTAAGGGGGGAATCCGACTGTCCATCCGTCTGTGCCGCTTCACTTAGTAGTGCACTCAAAAATCGCCTCGACTTTTGAGTTGACTCAAAAGTCATCTTAAGGCGGGAAAGAAGGGGGGTAAGGGGGGATACGTCCTTTCGTCCGTCTGTGCCGCTTCACTCAAAAGTGCACTCAAAGATCGCCTCGATCCGTCCGTCCGTCTCACCTTGTGCTGCAGCAACAGCGTCATCACTTGCCGCACGCACACCAGCAGCAGCGCGCCCACGCACACGTACCACGCCACGCCTACAACCCGCCCGACTGTCCCCCTCCACGTCTCCGCTTTCCCCGCTTCTTCCTTGCCTCGTGCCTGCGTGAATTCCCTCTCTTTCGCCCCTTCCAATTCACCTTCTTTCTTCGCTGCGACTTTCCTCCCTTCTTTTCCTCCTCCTCCTTCTCCTTTCCCTTCGTCTTCCCCTTCCCACTCTGATGTTCCCTCCCACGCTACGCCTCCCCCAACAGCCGCAACACGGAACGGAACATTTCGCGACGGGCTAGTTGGCGATAGTCGCCGTTGCTCGCGCCAACTCGCGGACGACAACGCAGCGACGCGCGTGGATGTTTTCACGCGGATGCCGCTCAGAGAAAGCTGACCAACCGTCACGCAACGGCGGGAGCGGTCGTCGTCGGATGCGTGTGGGACGCTGCAGGCTCGCGGTGGCCGCAGCATAGCCCCGGCATGGCATAGCTTCGAAGTTGCTGCTGTCATGTTAATATGTTGAGTCGACTCAAAAGGCGTTGCTGGCATGGTCATCGCTAGCATAGTGCTCCTGTTAGTGATTAACTTTTGCGACATATCCGCATTCGCTGCCGTGATCCTCCTACCAGTGACACGAGATCCGCCGCTGGGTGCGGCGCGAATCATGGTGAGTGTGGTGCGCTAGCTCGGAGATAGCTGCGGTTTGCAGCCTTGTCGGAGGCGAATCGCGTCGCATGCGGATCCAGACGGCAGCCACGTGGCTTATCCTACCGCGCGATCATGCTGATTGCTCGTCGCATTATCGTAATCACGCTCATATCACGATTCATGACGATCCCATATCTATCGCACCACGATCCTATCTCTATCGCATATGATCCTTTAGATCGCATGATCCTATCTCGAATCTCATGAACCAGCTGTCTTGAGTGAATCGTGGCCGTGCGTTTTCAACTGGTTACTCTCCCGACGTCTCTCATGCCATCGTCCAGCAAGCAGCACCTCCTGCAACTGATGCGACTGATGCGACTGATGCGACTGATGCGACTGATGCGACTGATGAGACTTCTGTGACTGACGCGCGACTGCTTCTCTATCCGTGCATGCGCATCAGGCTTCCAGTTATCGTGACTCGTCCGCTTCCGTACCTTCAGCTGCGAAGGTTTGCGTAGAGAACGGTGATGGTCCTAACCAATATGGTCGTCTGAACCATCCGTACCATGTAAAGCTCTAATCATAAGTTCTCGGAATTCTGTGGCCCACCATCACTCATTCTCAAGGTTCCAGAGTACATATGAAGCTAACTGACGGTCTAAAATACTCCTCCGATCAAAATCATTGGTGCCTGCCAGAAACGAGAGGCTGCGACTGATCCTGTGCTTTTCTCCCGTCAGATCTTAACGGTTGAAAATCCTACGGCTTACAGGCGAACACCACGGCGTGATCTCCCCTGTTCTTGGAAAAGTTCGGACAAGAAGGAATAGTGCAATTGTAGATGACTCGATGTAGTCGTAGATTTCTGCCTTGGTCAAGGTGGCGTTATTGTATGTTTTTGCCTGTCCTGGGAACATGACTAGCGGCCTGGCTCTTTTCTCCTTCACTGTCAACCCCTGTGTTTCATCTGTAGAGCATAAAAACACTGTTGAGGCCAACAGAGTTTCTGCTGTTGACTTCCTGTTAAAGTAAAGGACATGATTTACCAGCACCCAATTGATTTAAGTGAAGGGCATTCTATCAAAACCAATACAGTGAATGCCCTAAATGTCAATCCTCTCCAATCTCAGTAGTAGCCCGGGCTGGTAATGCACCAGCATAAATCCTGCCAAGCAACATGCCATGCCAGGCCTGACCATGCCCCACCATGCCTTGCTGTCCCGTGCGCAAAGGCTGCAAACAGGAAGAACTCAGACCTCCAGAGCCCATGCCGGAGTGGCGTCGTGGCACCCCAACCCCAAGCCATTCCTCGTCATGCAATGCATAAGAGTTGCTAATCAGCACAACTCAGACCTCCAGAGCCCATGCCGGAGTGGCATCGTGGCACAGCCTCCCTTTGTGCCACACACGCCTATAATCAATCACATAGTCCGTGTGTGCCGACCAGTACCCAAACCCCCCACTCGCATACAGCCAAACCCTGCCGGCCATGGGGTGCTTGCTGCAGCCCACCATACCCTCATTACAATCACCATCAGGCACAGTCACAAGCATCCCCACCACCTCTCTCTCTTCAACCTCCTCCACCTCCTCCTCTTCCACTCCCCCTTCTCCCTCCACCTCACAGCACGCTCCACCCACTCCCTCCTTCACACATACTGCACTTGTTACAGACTGGTTACCAGCAGCTGAAAGTCTTGGGAAAGACAAGGAACCAATGTGGCTCACAGGCGCACCAGCAGGTTTTCCATTAGGATGCGGGCTAGAATGTGCGTTAGAGTGTGAGTTCAGGTGTGGGCTACGGTGTGTGTCAGGGTTTGAATTAGAGTGTGGCGTGGTGTCAGTGAACAATCGCCGTGCACCTGGAATCGTAGTAGCAGCAACCTGGCCACTGCTCCTGCTGCCCCCACTGCTACCACCATTCCTGTTGCCCCTGTTCTTGTCACTATCGCTATCATCACTCTCACTCTCCTCCCCATTGCTCTCCTCACTCCCACTGCTGCTGCTGCTGCTGCCGTCGCTGCTGCCACTGCTATTCGCAACGCTACTGCCATTCTGATCCCTCATTCTCTCACTGGTTCCCCCTCCGCCCCTCCTCTCAGCCTCCCCAGTTGTTTGAGATGGGCAAAAAAGAGGTCGCTTCAGGTCAAATAGCTTCTGCTCTTTTGGCGGTAATGGAGCGCTCACAAACGAGGACAGATCCACCACCCACCTAAGCGCCCCTGCTTTCCCTGGTCTGCTGTACCCACTGCTACACGGAGCTGCTTGCACTGACCTCCCATGCACTCTCCCTCCTCCTCCTCCTCCTCCCCCTTGTCCCGCTCCCTGTCTCCTTTCCCCACTTTCCACCCTCTCCCTCCCCGCCCTTGCTCCCCTCTCTTTCCCCTCCTCGTACGAAACGCCTCCTGCTGTCTCATCTACTCGCGCCGCTCCCTCTCCTGCTGCCCTCTCTCCACTTCCTCCCCCTCTCCCTTCGGCTCTCCCCCCTGTGCTTCCCCCGGCACTCCTTTCGGCTCTCCCCTCAGCTCGTGCCCTGGCCTGGCGGCGCCGCAAGCGCCGCTCGCTGCTGCGGGTGGCGGTGGTGGTAACCGCGCGGGCGTGCGGGGGGGGCTGCTTGTACTGTGCCACCCGGCGGCACTGCAGCTGTCCAGATTCAGTGCATGTGAGCAGGATGAAATCGAGGCTGCTGTGCTGGCACACGCCCTGTGGCATGGGAGCAGGACGGAGAGGGGCGAGAGGGGGAAGGTGAGGCAGGGAAAGAGGGGGGAAAGGCTGAAGGAGACGAAAGAGACCACGGAAGGAGAAGAGGGAAATGTGGGGGAACAGAGGTATGGAAACCATGTGCGATGCACCATATGACCCACACACCCTACTCAACCCAACCACACCTTCCACAGCCCCTGCAGGTGCAGGGAGCACAACGGTGATGGCTCCAACTGCCTCGCCACAACCCTCACCAAATGCTCCTCCTCCCCCCTGCCCCGTGAACCATGAAACTTACACCATGCACCATAAGACCCTCACACCCACAAAGCTCAAGCCCACCTTCCAGAGACCCTGCGCGGGGCACAGAGGCTCAGCTGGCTAGTCATCACCCTCACCAGATGCCTTTAGAGGCGCCTGAGAAGCCCACCCACCCACCTTCCAGAGACCCTGCAGAGGGCACAGCGGTGAAGGTTCCAGCAGGATTCCCATCACCCTCACCAGATGCCTTTTGAGGCGCCCCTCAAAAGCCCACCCACCCGACCTTCCAGAGACCCTGGAAAGGGCACAGCAGTGAAGGTTTCAGCTGGTTAGGCATCACCCTCACAAGATGCTTTTTGAGGCGCCTCAAAGGCTCACCCACCCACCCACCTTCCAGAGTCCCTGCAAAGGGCACAGCGGTGAAGGCTCCAGCTGGTTAGGCATCACTCTCACCAGATGCTCCTCCTCCCCCTTCCCCCCTCCACCCCTTCCACCACCAACCCCTCCGCCCGCCCCTCCCCTCCCCTCCGCTCCCCTCCCCCACCCCCTTCCCCCACCTACTTCCGCTCCCCACGCCCCTCTCTCCCCAACCACCTCCACAGCAGCACTCCCAGCGGAGAGCTGGCTGCGCACCCCTCCTGCCTCGGCTATCTCTGCCGCCCGCTGCCGCTCCTTCCGCTGCTGCCGCCTCATCGCCTTGCTGGCGCCCGCGGCTGCTGACCTGGACGCCAGCGATTGGTAGAGCTCGAAGGGCGCGTGCAGGGAGGCGTGGGGAGAGGATGGGCGGGGAAGGGAGGCGGAGGGGGAGGGGGACCAGGCGGGAGACGGGTTGGGGAGGGAGGAAGAGAGGCGGTCGGAATCAGCTGCATCAGCAATACCAGCTCTGCCGTTTCTCACTTTCTCGCTATCAGGAGTACCAACTCTGCGGCTCCTACCTTTTCCCCTGTCTGACATACCAGCTCTGCTGCTCGTCTCACTCTCTCCAACGAGATATGGACCGGAGGGAGCCACATCATCCACCTGGAAAACCGCACTTGTGCTGCTGCTGCTGCTTCTGCTATCGTTGTCTAATGTCTTGTCTAATGTCCGAGGTTGAACACCGTCCACCTGGAACTGAACCCTTCTCTGCACCCCTTGCGCCCCTTGCGCCCCTTGCGTGCCCTGCTTCACCCTTCCCTGCACGAGGCTTCCCTGCTCCCCGTCCTGCTCTGCTCTCTGCTCCCTTTCCTCTGCTCCCTGCACTCTCCCTTGATCCCCTTCCCCCAAACCCTGCGCGCTTCCCTGCTCCCCTTGTTCTGGCTCGCAGAGAGTCATGAAAGGGGCGTCAACTCGGGAATCACACTGCACCGCTGCTGCAGCCGGTGAGGGTGAAAAAGGGGAAGGGGGCGGAGGGGAGGGGGACGAGGGGGAGGGGGGCCCGAACTGGAGGTTGCGCTTTGGGGGAGGGCTCTCTTGCTGGCGCAAGGAAGGGGAGGCGGAAGGGGAGGGGGAGGGCGAGGGGGCGGGGGCGGGGGAAGGGGTGTGCGGGGAGGCGGAGGACAGGGCGGAGGACAACGGGGAGGTGAAGAGCGGACAGGGCTGCGGGGAGAAGGGGAACGGCTGGGCGTTTGAAGGGCGCGGGTAGGCGGAAGCGCGACGGGCGCGGGACGAGGGGGAGTGCGCGGACAGAGTTGACCATGATGACGATAATGATGATGACTGAGGTAGCGACGAAGAAAGCCGCCCTTCGTCAATGAGCCTAGAGCCACCCGCGCCGCTCCCGCTGCTCCCTCTATTGCCACCCCGACCCTTGTAACCAGCACTTTCGTACAAACCTCCTAATCCACGTGGCAATCCGTTTCCGTTTCCGTTTCCCATGGCGCCATTGCTCCAACCCAGCATGTGCTGATTCCCGCCAGCGGAAACGACCAGGTGATTTCCCGACACGAATTTCACCTCTGCGGGCACCCACGCTCCGCCTTCCCTGCCGCTACTGCGCCTCCGGTGATGGCTGCCACGTGTCCCTCTGCCATTGGTCGGCCCAGCTGACAGCATGATCTTGTCAGCGTGAGTCGGCCAATCAGTGTCGATCCAGCAAGACACATCTGACGCGTCCATTTGCGGCCATGACGATCCGCGTCGACCTCCATCGCTGTGACTATAACCGGCTTCCCCTTGTCCATGTGTATAATACTCTATATCGGGTATAAAGCGGCATCTAGGAGCGGGGGCGACGCGAAGGAAAGGAACCCTGACGACAGCGTACGGCGAAATGCTTCTCTCGTCGCCTAGCGGATCGCCATGCGCGTCGTCGTACTGACGACGACGCCGACCGTCGACTGCTCTGTGATGGGCTGGCGGGCCAACCGGAGCCGCGGGAAGCACGCGCACGCCCTCGATATAACCGTTTCGCCATTGGAACGCGACGAGCGAGCCCAATCCGCCGTCGCCGACTCCGCGCCAGAAACCAATCAGCGACTCCCACGTGTCCAGCACGTGGTACAGGCTTTTAAAGGTCGTCAATTTCCCAGGCTGCTGATCGTGCGGCTGCTGATTGAATGGCAGATGGGCGGATTGGTGGGGAGGGGACAGCCACGTGTGCAACGAGGTGACGTGGCCCCACCGACGGTCGCACGCCGGGTGCCAGAGGCGCTGGTCGTCGCGGAAAACGCGGAGGAAAGTGCGGGAAACGCACGCGCAGCGAGCGAGGTCTGGCAGACGGAGGTGGGAGAAAATGAGACCCAAGACGTCGTCGCTAAAATCCGCCATTTCTGCCAAAGTTGCCGGATCCACCATTGGAGCACCAAGTCAACATGTGAAGAAATAATTCAACGAAGAAAACAAGATAGGAAACACGGGTTGGGTGAGGCGGAAAAGGGAAAGGGTATCCGACCGAAAGTATGTTAGTGGAGCTTTCAGACAGAAGGATCAGGCAAGAATATTCTCTTGAGACTGGCTTTCAGGGCCGCACCCGTCGTATCCGTCGCACAGTTCGCCAGGCTCAAACCTTGCTCCTCAACTATTGTCGCAGTAGCGTCGTTCATAGACGACAGGTTGCCAAGTGTGACAAAATTGTTGGTTGAAGCTGGTTCTGTGGCGGCTCGCCACTGGAAACGTGACGGCAGGACGACAGCACACTGGTCGTTTCAAGTCGCGTCGTCGTGACTCGTGAAGCTGTCGTAAAACCCGAGGCTGTCGCAAAATGCAAGGTCGCACGCAACCCGCACTACAGAAGACTGTAGACCGAAAGTATGTAAAAGTATGTACTTGCAAGCAGCTAAGGAGCTGTACTTACGCGCAAAAGTGTAGAACTCATGTCCTAATTCACACTCTATCGAACAAATGAGGCCATCTTTGGCGCAGCTTTGTCAAGGTTTGGCAGGCTGTTTGCTCTTCGGATTCTCGGAAGTGACAGGCTTAACTCTCGTTCTAGCCTGATTGATTCTCGGGACTGCACATTACTAGAATGACGTGAGGCTGCAAGAAGATTATTGCCGTATTAGTGACAGAACAGGACAGCTCTCTGTCATACCACTCGTGAAACGCAGGGTATGACGGGCAAAATACTCAAACCTCCATAGCCCTGGCCTGGGACTACCTGAGTCACATGCGGCGAAAAGAAAGGGGGAGCAGCAAGCCCCCAGTACCTTTTGTTACCGTACTATACTCGACAATACCCACGAAAAAATGAGGTCAGCCCACCTGAGACTGCCGCGGCTGTCGCGGCCCGCGAGTGTCGATGGCATCTGACGCGACGCGATCAATCACCAACGAGTTTCACAGTAAATGCATTTCGTGGTGTGCTCCCCGTTTCTCCATGACTACAGTGTAGCGTTGTTGCGTTCCAACCACTGCAGCTCTTGTGTGGTATCGAGCTGGGGCTATAAAGAACCTGCCTCATCGCATTTCTTCGAGCACAAGCATTCCTAAACGTTTCTCGCTCGCCACCACCCGCAACTCTACTTGTCCAGCCATGGCCTACTCGTCGCTGCGACCCGCGATCGTCGTCGCTGGTGAGTACCTCATACACTGACGGCGGCTGTTCGTCCTCGCTAGTAGTATGTACATCTGACTTTGCCTTACCGCGTTGCAAATCGCCTGACTCACAACTAAGCTACGATTCAATCTGTCCGCCCCCGCTCCTCGCTACTACTGAGAGCACGACCATCGCTTCTGGTCGCTTGTTGCTGATCGCATTTCCAACCGCTATTCCGTCGCTTCGTGTCGACTGCTCGCCCATTCTGCGGTGTTTCTCTGTCCACGGTTTTTCTTTCGTGCAGTGCTGCTCTCTCTCGCCTGCAGCGCCATCGCCGCCGATCGCCGAATGCTCCTAAACGAGAAGCTCTGTACGACGACGCTCTCTTGCTGCGCGGCGCAGATCTCTCCTTGCATGCGCTGCTATCTCGCTGCACGCGCCGCTCTCTCTCTGCACGCGCCGCTCTCTCTCTGCACGCGCCGCTCTCTCGCTGCACGCGCGCCTCTCTCGCCGCACGCGCCGCCCTTTCACCGCACGCGCCGTTCTCTCGCTGCACGCGCCGCTCTCTCGCCGCACGCGCCGCTCTCTCGCCGCACGCGCTCTCTGCGTTTTCTTTCAATATGCAATATCATCACCTCAGTTGAACTTTATGCTTCGCATCTTGCCTTGATTCCGTTCTCTATTCCTTATTTCTTTCTACTGCCCCTTTGCGGTTTCCCCTCCATTCTCCGTCATGGTGGCGTGCAGACGGGGTAAATGCTAATTTTCCCTATTCTTCCCGTGGAGGCTGTCCGTCTATAGGGACCTCCGCGAGGTTTAGCCTGTAAGCATCACCTCGCACCTCACGATGAGCGTTCTTTCTCTAAACGATCGGGTTTTTTTGCATCCCTGTAAGCATCACCTCACACCCCTGTAAGCATCACCTAGCGTTATTTTAAACGATGGAGAATGGTTACCAATCTCCTCCAACCTTTTCCCCCACCCAATCCCCCCTTCCCCGTGTCTCCCCTTTCAGCACATCCACTCTCCAATCTGGCAGATTCAGCATGCGCGTTTACTTACCCACGACATCGACCCCAACATTCTCCAATCCCACATTCAACAAAGATGGAAACCTCGTGACCGAAATTCCGTGCAAATTCAACCCGGATCCAAACACATTGAAGCCTTTTTGGGAATGCGTCTTCGAGGAGAAGGTTTCACTCACTACGGCTTTTGAGCCGGTCGGCACCTTGAAGGCACTGATCGACTCTGGGTTGTACGACGGATCAACCCTCACCCTCTTGGTTAAAGCCGGCGCCTAGAATGGCAAGGGCTCAAGATTACTGAACTTGAAGAGGGTTCAGCGAAGGTTTACGAAAGTCGAAATTGGAAGGAACAGGTGGCGAAGGTACAACGTGGCACAGTGAATCGCAAGCCACAATAGTCTACCTCATGGCTCATGAACAAACACAAACGACAAACAACATCCAACCAACCATGACACCGTTCTGCGTACAAAATTCCTCCTCACTTCACCCACTCCACGCGATGTGACATACACTGTCGAGCTCGACCTGGAAAAGAGCATTCGACAACCGCCACCTACCAAACAAGACTCCTGCGCTTCGTCAGTGGAGAGCAAACTACCGGGTTTGCAACGGTTTTTTATTTTTCTATGAAATCGGAAAGGAGGTAGCGGTTATACACAGGAGTACGCAACAGATACGTGCCTTAGTACATGAGCACCGAGTCGCCAGCAGGATGTTACAACAGTGGCTGCGGCAGAAAATCATGCCCCCAAGAGACCTATTGTTTCAGGTCGTGTTGTAGTACGTGTCTGAATAGGAGTGACAAAGAGTGATAGACACACGTCTCGTCGCCACGCTTCGAGCAATCCATCGCCCTGTTAGTTCAGAGAACGCTTCATTTGAGTTGATTCGAGCTAGCTGAATACGAATCGCTGAGTGCGCTATCCACGGATGGAGAATTGACTGCACTTACCGGGTGCAAAGGCGCGCTCCAACGGAAAGGGGGACGGGGTTGGTCGACGAACTTGTCACGTTACAACGCGCGCGAAGGACAGTCCACGAACCATGCTCTAAGCGAGTGAGTGGGAAATGGTCTCTGCTGGTGCGCATTCTAAGGCACAGTGACTGAAACGACGGACAATGCACACAGTTTGGTCACGGTGTGTCAGGAAGTCACGATTACGACGGGTTGGCAACATGCATTCATTGATACCGGAAAATTCAGGATGACTGCCACTCACTTCTGACGCTACATATCTCCTGCATACATTGATGCATATCGTAGTGAGAGCACCCGCCATGCCCATCTGCGGCCGCCGAACCGCCTCGCGTGGTACCTCGATCATCAGCGCCAGCCGGATCTGCAGCACCGTTACGCGCAGCAGGCACGCGGAGATTGGTGCGGAGAAGTTGGCGCATGGCAGGGTATGGAGGGGAAGAAGGGAGGAAGAGGGGAGGGGGGTGAGCGAACAATGGGAGCGACGAAGACGGGCGCGTGACGAACATGGACGGACCACAACGGGTAACGAGAGCGACAGGATCAAACCTTGCGGGACGGGAGTTCTTGAGCGACGAAGTGAGTGTGCGACGGGGGAGTGTGCAGAACGGGTGTGTCAAACGTGGGTGTGTGAGCGACGGAACCGATGAGGTGACAAACCTTTGTGAGCGGTGGGTTTGAGCGAGCGACGTGAGGGAGTGCGCGGAGGGATCGAGTGAGCGATGCGAATGTGGGGCTGAGGCGAGCGGCGGAGAAGGTCGAGAGGGACGGGAGGGAAGGGAAACACGAGAGGAAATGCGGGACGGAGGCGACATGAGGGACGGGAGGGCGGAGCGATGATCGCGAACCTGCGCGAGGGGAAAGGGATGGATGGGAGTTGTCCTGTGGGGGACGGGAGAGGGGTAAAAGGAGGCGAATGGAGGGAAGGAAGGGAGGTTACGAGGGAGTCTGATCCGAGGGTCGTGGGCGACGAGCACGATCTACGATTGCTAGGAAAGGACTTGCGAGGGCGACGGGAAGGCTAGGCGAGGGCTTCAGTAAGGAATCGCGTGGGCGAACGGAAGGAATAGTTTTTGCGAAGTGAAGGGAAAGCGGCGAGCGACGGGATGGGAGAGCGTGGGCGACACTAGAAGTAAGCGTGGGCGACGGGCGCGGGAAGGGAGCGCCACCTAAAAGGCGACGTGAGGGAGGCGAGCGCTAAGAGCGGTTGAAGTTTTGGCCAAGGACTGGGAGGTCGTGGAGCGACCAGAGCGACGTAGACAAACGGAAATACATGTATTGTGAGAAGTGGGGAGCGTGTGAGTGACAGGTTTGAGCGTGTAATCTGCTCGAATCCTAAAAGGGAACAGGTGAGCGATGTCTTAGAAAGCCGAGATGTAGCCACCTTGTGGACGTTTGCGCTAACATTATGTGCGAACAGCATGTGCGAGTCAGGATTACGAGTGACAGGAGTGAAGGGAGTGAGTAATGCTTCCGTTGACCGTAAGATTCGTAGTCGAGTGACAGGTGTTTGCCTAATCATTTACGGGATAAAGCCGATTCTGAGGGCTAAGGAGCCCACTACCATGGAGTCTAGAAAGGTAGTCCCGAGCTTCAAGTTTCCGAAAGTATGAACAGTAGTTCCTGTTTTGTGTTTTCCTGGCGATGGCTGTGACTGTTGTGGCCAATCAAAAACAAGGGCTCCAATCACCCCTTCGGGGGCTGCGAGAGAAGGGTGTTCCAAACCGGGTTACCTGGTTCCGTAGCGAATTCTAGTTCAAGAATCTTGAACTTGAAGAGTAGCCATTCTAGACTCGGGCTTTAAAGTTAACAACTGCAACATGAGGGGTACCGTCTCAAAATCTTACTCTGAAAACTGAGTGTCTCGTTCCAAGAAGATGCTCCATTAGCTCCAAAATACCATGTACTCATGTTAACGGCCTGTCCTCTCTTCATAAAAGACATCATGCTCCGCCCAACGAGGCCCACATTCCATTCCTACAATAAATCAAAACAACACACACCACCACCAGCACCATCTGCTCGTTATAGCCTGCAGCAACCAAGCCCACATTCTCTCTCTCTCTCTCTCTCTCTCTCTCTCACTCCTTGTCTCTCCATCCCTTACCCTCTCCCTCTCTCCCTCTCCCTCTCCCTCCCTCTCTCCCTCGTCATCTGCTGAAATGCCACCACTCACTTCATCAACTGAAGCACCCACACGTAGAGGGAGGGAGGGAGAAGCCAGAAAACACGATGATAAGAAACAGAAATGGGTTGAGGTATGGGAAACACCAATAACGTTGAAAAAAAGACAGTAGTGCGTCGCGCGACTCGCACCAACGTTGGTCCAACGTCACGCTGGATAAGGGTGGGACTGGGGCACCGCGGTGCATTGCAAGCTCATGCATGCACCATATTCAACTGAAAAAGCTCGGCTGGCTCCCCCTCCTGCTTCATCGCTTCCCTCCATCGCTAGTTCGGTTATTCATAGCTTCGTTATTGCTCTTCCGCGCAACTCTGATTTACAGCTCGTAACATTGCCATCTTCACTCTTTCAATTGCTCATGTAACATTACCTTACAAGTAACGCAATGACGGTCGCGAACCAATGAGGTCAAGCCACCTGAGACCTGGAAATTTGAGGTCAGGCCACCTGAGACTGCCGCGGGAGTCGCAGCCCGTGAAAGCTGATGGCATCACCACCTTCGCGAATGCTCTGCTGTGGTCTGCCTCACTCTTGTTGGGAGTCCCTAAATCACAACCTCGAGCCCGAACGATGACGGTTCCAAGCTCTCCGCCTTCCTGTACCATCTCACCTGTGGTAGCAAGACACCTGTTTCCACCAACTCCAGGCCGTTTCTCCAGGGGTTCCGGACTCTCTTTCCTCTTCCTCGGCTGGCTATTGGTAGGTGTGTTCTCGCTCCTTGCTAACTTTCACACGTGTGTGTTCTGCAGGTTAGACAGGTGGACGGTTTTGGTTCAAGTTTCAAGGTGTTGGATCGACTGTATTGGCATCCCTTGGTTCTCGTGTTCCCATCAGTTCAAGCTCATCCAGTCAGGTGAGTGTTATCGCTATGGCAATCCCCTCCACCGCTGTCTGTTACATGGCAACCTGGCGGATTCTCATTCGCTCTCTTCCTGTCTTCGGCGCCGATCCTGCTTCATACAGGTAAGCTTTCCGTTTTTCGGCTCCCCCGGTCCACCTCAGTGCTTTCTGGTCCCACCTTATCCTTCCGTGTACGTGGCTTCTCTTGGCTCTCCCTCCCCTTCTGACGCGTGTTGGTTGCTAGCAGCATGCAGGACCAACGGCCCGCCCAACCACCTCACCTTCTGCTCAACGCTCGTGTTCAAACTAAGCTGCGGCTTACCTCCTCGTCGCTCCAGGCCTGCATGGCTTGCTCTTTCGTCAGACTGGCACTCTCTGACGCCAGCTGACCCTCTGTGTACTCTCACACTCGATGCCTCTCACACATTCCTTCGTGAGTTGGTCCATCCTTCCTCGGTGCGCCATGGCGAAAGCCTTCGCCACCACGCGACTCGTGCGTTCCTGTCATCTCCCTTCTCTCCCGTTCTTTGGCTCCACGAGCTTCGTTCCGTCTTCCCACGAACGACTGAATATTTAGCTTCCTCCCGATCAAGGATTCCTCGCACCTCCCTCTTGGTCTGCTTCTTTTTCCTGCCGACCATGGAGCACTCGTCTGCCTTCGATGCGGTCATGGCAGACAACGCGGGGATCACCCCCTCGTTCAGTGACCTTCTCGGTGACGGGTCTCCCGTCGCCAAAAAGGCGTGCAAGGCCGCATCCTCCTCGACCTCTAAGCTTCCGGCCGCTCCTCCTCGGTCGGCTCCTGCTGTAAATACGGAGGTTTCCTCCGCTCCTTCCCTTGGGGTTCCTAGCAAACGCTTCCGCCGGTTGTGTGCGCAGCGTGATTCGGTCGGTGAGACTGTGACTGACGTTGTTCGCGATTTTGCTTCCCTTGTCGCCGTCATTTTCCCCGATCACCTCGCTGACCACCGCAAGGACATTGTCAACTGCATCAAGAAAGGCCTTCGACGTGCTGACTTCAAAAACTGGCAGATCCCCACCTTCAAGTCAATGGCAGGTGATAACCTGAAGTTCGGGAAGCGTATCTACTCTCGTCAGATCCTGCAGTTCCCTAACAAGGAAGCTGCGGACGATTTCCGCTCCCGCCCCCCGATGTTCTTCTCTCCGCCGAACGGCCCCCCGGTCGAACTAAAGGTTTACATCGACCCGGCTCCCGAGTTCACCGCGGCCAAGGCGCGTGGGGAGACGCACATCGTTCTGCGCAACATCCCGCTGGGTCTCTCCGAGGAGACGCTCTTCTCGATCATGATGAAAGGAAAAAACCGCGAAGGGCAGAAATGGATCGCTGACCTCAAGCATTTTCATTCGGCGTCTGACCCGTATGAGGAGATGTTTCAGCTACAGATGCACGGCATCGCCACTCCTATGCCTGGCGACGCGTCCTTCAGCGTTACCCCGCCGCTCATCTGGATCCCTGATGTGGGAGAGCCGGTTCTGGTGAACCTCTCCTGCCATTCCTGCAGCCTCTGCTCTAGCAACCATCGCACTGAGGATCACCACGTGTTTCCGACCCTGCGCCGTAACAAAATCAACAATCCCTACGCGATCTCTGTCTCGCAGCTTCAAAACATCAATGGTGCGTTGCTGGCTCTTCTCGCCGCTCCCGGTTGTTGCTCCTCGTTTCGTTCTTGGTTCCCTGATTGTCTCCTGCTATCTGGCAATCTTGCCTTATCGGCGGCTCTGTCATCCTTCTGTGTACTGCCGCTAATCTCCCACCTGGTGCTTCGGCTCCTTTCATGTTTTCCTTTGGCGGGTGATCTCACCCGTGACCCTTCACCCCACGCTTGTGCGGCATTATTGTCTCCCCTCTGTTCCGCTTCCCTTTCCTTTCTCTCTGGCAGCCAAAGCACTTGGTCACTCCCCCGCCGTCAACAAATTCAAACAGGACCTCGGCCTCCTGTTCATCGGTCTCGACAGCGACGTCGAGGCCTGGACCTGCTGTGCGTGCGTTTTCACATGTGGTTGGACCATCGACACGGCGCTCGCCCACTGCGATGCGCTGCAGCATCTCCGCCGCCTGCAGGCGTCTGGCGTTCTCCTGAAGGAGGAATATGGAGACATGAAAGCTCACATGTTCCTGAAGAACGAGCACCTCGTGAAGTTCATGGCAGAGGAGTGATTGTGCAATGGCAAATGGGTTCCTTGTGCACATGTTTTGTTTCTGTTCGTGGCGCGGTGTATGGCCTTGAGGGGCCTACTCCTCGTCTTCACAGGCCGCGCAGATTTAGGCCGCTTCCCACGCTCTGTTCCTTTGCCCTAGGCTGTGCTGTTCTTGCCTGTATCCGGTTGGTTGCTAATTCCAGGTTCGCTCAACACGCTCTGTTATCACACCCCGTGGATGTGTGTGCTATTGCACACAGGGGATTCTACTTGGTTACAAAATGAATACCACACTCACTATTCAATGCCTTAACATAAATGGTCTTAACTCCACCACTAAAATGGACAAACTTAAGTCTTGGTTACACTCTTCCCCGGACATTTTGGTTTTAATAGATACAAGACTCTCCACCAATTTTACCAAATTACGGTATAAACTCAAACCAACAGCATATGCGCAAGTCCCGCCCGTAGTCACCCCTGCCCAGACTTTTCCTGGGGGTATTGCCATTCTGGTTTTCAACCGTCGTGTCAAGCTCTCAGACAAATTTGAGACCATTGACGGTAGAATCCTGAGCATCCACTGCAACTATCTCAACGAACAGTTCCGCCTGATCGCTGTTTACGCTCCTTCCTATTATGTAGAACGTAAAAACTGGTGGACAGACTCCGTCCTGCCCGTGCTGCAGCTTCCCTCCTCAAGCGATTGGACCATCCTCACCGGGGATTTCAACAATGTCCTATCTCCTGCAGACAGGAATCGGCCGCTGCATGCATTTGAAAAAACGGAGGCAGAGAGTGTTAGAACAACGTTGGAAGAAGCTGAGCTCACGGATTCCTTCCGTTTGCTACATCCCAACACGCCTGCCTTTTCATTCTTTGCCCCTGCTCGTCTCAACCCCCCCCTGGTCCCCGCTGCTGGCTCTGGCCCCACCACCAATACATCATGTGCCCACGCAAACGTGACGCCCCCCCATCCCCCGCTACCCACTCCCCCCCCTCAACCTCCCTCGGCCTCCAGGCTTGATCGTACGTACGTCTCTACGTCGGTCTCTTCAAGGGTCACCGCCGCCTCCTATACGTTTGTTCAGGAAGCTCTCTCCGACCATGGCAGAGGACCGCTGTGTACCCTCTCCTTTCATAATCCTAACGCTGCGCCACGACCTTGGCAGTTCCCGCAACACCTGATTCACAAGCCCCACGTCAACTCCCTGGTTGATGATTTTGTCTCCTCCTTACCCTCCCCATTACGTCCTGCTCAATGGGATGCTTGCAAACACGTTTTCGCCCTAAAACTCAAACGTTATACCCGCGAGGAGCGGATCCGGGTTGCCAAGACAATCACACATATGCAGGATGACATTTGTGAGATGCAAATGCATCTTCTCAAGTTCCCCGGCTCGGTAGATATAGCCAACAAACTCGAGCTGCAAGTTCAACGCATTCGAGAGTACAACAGCTCTCGCTCTGTCGAAATCGCACTCAAAGCAAAACTTAAAGTGGAAGGGCCGCGGGAAATGGGCATTGCTTCTCTTATGGCCGGGCTAAACAAGAGAGTGAAGGACTCTCAGATCCCCTACCTGCAGCTCCCTTCCGGGGCTCAAGTCTCAGACCTCATCCCCATGACCCAAATGTGTACTGTATTTTTCAGCAATCTATACAGAGGCAGCACTCCCATCACTCCCTCTGCCACCTTCTGGAATCACATCTACCCCACTCACCTCCCGGAACCCTGCCGTACTAGGCTAGAGTCTCCAATCAGCTCACCAGAAATTGAGCGGGCGGTGGGAGCCTTAGCAAAATGAAAAACCCCGGGTATCGACGGCCTCCCTGCTGACCTGTTTAGAGCTCACAAAAAGACAATGGTCCCGGCCCTTCGCAAGCTTATGGATAGTATTCACGCTCACAACAGCGTTCCGCCCTCCATGTGTGAAGGACGCACCATCCTCATTCCCAAGAAAGGCAACGCGGCTTTGGTGGAGAACCTCCGCCCTATTACGTTAATGAACGCAGACTATAAGATACTCGCCATCATCCTAGCCAACCGCCTGCAAATCGTGCTTCCGCGCCTCATACATCACGCCCAAACCGCGTTCATTAAAGGTCGCAGAATAGGAGATACCATTAATGACACACTAGACATTATGGACTGGGCACTCAACAGGAAACTGCCCTTGCTCACACTCACCGTAGATATCCGGAAAGCCTACGATATGGTCGATCGTGATTTCTTGTTCCGCTGCCTTTCTCACCTCGGCATCCCCGCCGGTTTCATCTCATGGGTTCGCAGGCTTCATTCTAATACCCACACTCACGTCTCAGTTAACAACTCCACCGGTCCACGCTTCAAAGTGCTTACAGGTGTCCGACAGGGCTGCCCGCTTGCTCCCCTGCTTTTCGTATGTGTCATCGAGGTTTTGCAAAGACACCTGGCTGCTGCTCTTCCTGGCTTTGCGATCTCACCCACACAACGAAGACTGATGGCTTGCTACGCCGACGATGTTTCCATATTCCTTAACTCTGACACAGAGCTTCAAACCCCCAAGTCATGCCTGGAATCTTTTGCCCATACCTCCGGGGAATACCCCAACTGGGACAAATGTGCTATCATACCTTTCAACATTGACAGTGCCTCCATCCCCAGCGCCGGCCAGATCCCAATCCGCAAACCTAATGAAGCAGAGCGCATCCTGGGTATCTTTGTCGAACAAGACAAGCCCGGATATACCACGTGGGAGAACATTCTTTCCAAAGTACGGACTACCGCAAACGCTCTCTCCCGTCTCCATGCCACGACCACGTGCCGCAGTCTTTTCGCCACGGAACGAATGGCCTCGGTGTACGCTTTTAGTGGCCGTTTTCAACCATCGCCAACTCACATTGAGACCTACCTCGATCGGGTGGTCGGTGTTTTTCTGTCCTCATCCAAATACAAAGAAGAAGGTCTCGCACAGTGGTACATTCCCAAGCGCATTCTATACAACAAAAAGAAGCACGGAGGCGTGGGAGCACTGCAACCATCGAGACACCTTACCGCGCTTAATATTCAACGAGCTGCGCGCCGTTTCCTCCCCACTCCCTACGAAGACACCGCCCGGGAATGCAGCACTCTCCCCTACGGACTCCACTGCTACCTCGCCCAGCCCGATATCATCAAATATCTACCACCAGAGCGTGCGCTGAATTGAAAAGCCTTCTCGAACTCCCGGCAAAAATATCTAAGCCACGATTGGAGCCCTGGGTCCTGATGGCCGAACCAGTGGCCTTCAGCAGGTTCATTCACAAGCCCGACCAAAAACCCTTTGGCTGACTCAAAGAAGAATTCTTCCTGCTGGAAAACCAAATCCGTCTTGGCGATTTAATTCGGCCTGCCCCTGGCGGGTCGCGGCAAATGACACCGGCGGAATTCCGAGCCATGTACCCGCCCAAAAAATTTCCAGGTGGATTACGCATCCTGTTAGCAATCTACAAAGCAGTCCCCGACGACTGGTGGGCCGTCCTCTACGATTTTACGCCACGACCGGATTATCTACATTTGAACGACTGGGCTTTTGAAGCAACCCCTACAGACCAACGCCCCCAAGTGCTACGCGTTAAACAGTTCATGGACGACGGCCTGGTGAAGTTCGATTGCCATGAAGTAACACACGGGAGACAGGTGAACAAGACACCATTCGGCAGTAAGGACCTACCAGCAGCAGCAGTCATCACGGTGTGTGTGATCGGGAAATGGCTAGCGGGGACCTTCTGCTCGGGAGCGGCTCTCGGCATGCGTCACGAACTACTCCGACAGTACCCGTCTCTCGCCAAAATTCGACAGCGGCTCTACTCACCGGAACGCCTCGACCACGTTGAAAGATGGAACGAGACTTTACCCTTCACGCTACCCTCTCTACCCGACCTTACTCATTCTTTTCTCAAGGATCAGACCAGCCGCCAACGTGACATTCTCTTTCGCTTCTTTACTCGCTCCTTACCTTGCGGAGACAAAATGCCCTACACCCCGTCCAAAGGCATCTGCCCGCGGTGTCATCACAATCGAATGGAAACACAATCTCACATCTTTTTTGAGTGTGGCAACGCGCCTACGGTGACGAATGCCTTACAACGCGTGGCCCTGAACCATCTGCGGTTGACCGTCCCAACTGAAGCCGTCTTTTTCCCGTTAAATTCTCCTGCGGGCCGCATCGCCCCATGGTGCCTGCTGGCTGGCGCCGCCGCAACTACGCTGTGGCGGGGTCGGTGCTCGCAGCGGTATGACAACATCTCCTACTCAAGTGTCGAAACCCTACACCGTATCTTGGCCCTTTTCCTCACTGCTTGTAAAACCTACTTTTTCCGCCGTGGCAAACCCTCCAAGAAACGCAACCGCACCACTGCAAACCGGGCCCAAGCGGCCACTCGGCATAAACTCCTTCAATTCCTGCCCAATGGTTCCCCCCAAATACACCCCGAACTCCGCTCCTCCTGGCTGCTACACAACCCCTTCCAACCACCTTAAAAGCTGGCTACGTCACTCTTCTTCTGTGTGTGAACTCAGTTCAGCTAAAGAAACGCTATGTTTTAGCGTAGGCCTCTGGCTTGGGTTACACCTTGTTTAGCCTCTGTGTTTGTCTGGGTTACGACCTTAATAAAAACTTAAAACTTAAACTGCTGTGGTCTGCCTGTGTCTCATGCAGCGAAAAGAGAGGGGACACGACTGTGCCTTATGTTACCCTACAAGTGACTCAACTATAGCCACGCGCCAATGAGGTCAAGCTACCTGAGACCTGGAAAATTGAGGTCAGGAGAACACCTGAGACTACCGCGGGAGTCGCGGCCCGTGAGTGTCGATGGCATCCGACGCGATCCGCGAGAACTTGCAAGTTTCACGAAATTTGCTTCTGTATTGTGCTCCTCGTTTCTCCTTCAAGACAGGTAACTAGCTCCTCCTCTGCTGGATCGATGCATTCATTTCACATTCAATCAATCATCTCTCTCATTCGCGCCACCACCAGCAAGGTATGGTAGACGTAGTTCAGCCATGGCCCACACGTCGCTGCGACCCGCGATCGTCCTCGTTGGTGAGCATCTCGTAGTACACTCACGGCTGTTCGTCCATGCTACTGCATTGACTCATGCCTTGCATCATGCGTAAAAATTCGTCGATGAGTCTTGCTTTTTGTTGCTAAGCAACCTTTCGCCCCGCTCCTCGCGACTTGTGAAAGCACGACCATTTCCTGGCCGCGTGCCGCTGGTCACAGTGCCAGCCCGCCGACAAACGTGTTCCTTCGCGTTCGGTCTGCTCGTTCGTTCTGCGATGTCAAATCGCCGATAAAATAACTGGCAGTGTTCCTCTGTCCACGGTCTTTCTTTCGTGCAGTGCTGCTGTCTCTCGCCTGCAGCGCCATCGCCGCTGATCGCCGAATGCTCCTCACCGAGTTACGCTGTACGACGACGCTGACATCGCCTCATGCTTCCTACTAGCTGCCGCACTCTCCTCTGAACGCGGTCTCTCGCTGAACGCGCGCCTCTCTCGCTGTGCGCGCCGCCCTTTCGCCGCACGCGCCGCTCTCTCGCCACACGCGCCGCTCTCTCGTCGCACGAGCCGCTCTTTTGCCGCACGCGCCGATCTTTCGCTGCACGAGCGGCTCTCTCGCCGCACGCGCCGCTCTTTCGCCGCGGGCGCCGCTCTTACGCCGCACGCGCCGCTCTTACGCCGCACGCGCGGCTCTCTCGCTGGCCGCACCGCTCTCTCGCTGCACGCGCCGCTCTCTCGCTGCACGCCGCCGCGGCGCTCTCTGCGCTTTCTTTCACTATGCAATATCATCACCTCAGTTGAACTTCATGCTCCTCGTAATCCTGCCTTTTTTCCATTCTCTAATCCTCGTTCACGTCTACTGCCCCTTTGCTGTTTCCCCTCCCTTCTCCGTCATGGTGGAGTGCAGACGGGGCAGCTGCTGTATTGACTTCTTCCACTGCAGGCTGCCCGTATGTAGCGAGCATAACGAAGTTTACAGTGTAAGCATCACCTCGCTTTGTACTCGCCCGATTTTAGCATAAGTTTTATAAACGATGGTGTTTTTGTTGCACATACGAGCTCGTAGTAGTACTCTTCACTGTATCAGCATGATGCTGGGAAGTACCCATCAGCAAATTAGATCTTCCTAGAGAAGCTAGCGTGCATCCCGAAACTGTTGTCGAAAGAATTGGTTTACCAATCCATGTGGCGTAGGGACTTCGTACTCTTTCCCGTGATGGACGTAGTACTGTCTGTTCGCACCTCAGAATAGCATTCCCTGCTCTCATCCTCCTATCTCCTCTAACCCCCTCTCCACACATTTTCCCCCACCCAACCCCCCTACCCCGTGTCTCCCCTTGCAGCTCATCCACAGTCCAGTACACCAGATTCAGCTTCCGCGTTAACGCACCCCCCACATCGCCCCCAACCGTCTCCAATCCGCGGTTCAACAAAGACGGCAACCTCCTGGCCGAATTCCCGTGCACGTTCAAATCAGTAACACTCCCGAAACAGCCCGCTTTTTGGGAGTGCGTCGTAGAGGAAAAAGTTTCACTCACCACGGCTTTTGAGCCAGTCAACACCTTGAAGGCATTGATCGACGCTGGGTTGTACTCAGGATCGACCGTCACCATTTCGGCTACAGTTGACGGCTGCGACATGAGCGCCGACCTCCTAAAATCCTACTCCCAAGTCTGAGTGTCGTGTCTCGTTCCAAGCTGCTGCCTACAGTATCAGAGAGCTGTAAGAAGGGTAGCTGCCATTGAGAGCAGTCTCGTTAGCTCCATATTTCCTTGTACTACCCATGTTAACGGCCTGTACTCCCTTCTTAAAACACATGCTCCGCCCAACGAGGCCCGCATTCCATTCCTACAATGAATCCAAACAACACACGCCACCAGCACAGTCTGCTTGTTACAGCCTGCAGCAACCAAGCCACCAGCACCATCTCTCTCTCTCTCTCTCTCTCTCTCTCTCTCTCTCTCTCTCTCTCTCTCTCTCTCTCTCTCTCTCTCTCTCTCTCTCTCTCTCTCTCTTTCTCTCTTTCCCTCTCTCCCTCTCTCCCTCTCTTCCTCTCCCTCCCTCTCTCCCTCTCCCTCTGCTGAAATGCCACCACCACCCACTCCACCAACTAAAGCACCCACACGTTGAGGGAGGGAGGGGAAGGGAGAAAGACGAGGAAAAAAGGGTCTTACAGGGAGTGGAGAAGCCAGAAAAAGGCGACAATAGGATACAGAAATGGGTGGAGGAATGGGAAACATCACAAACATTGGAAAAAGGACACGCCGCAACTCGTCCCATTTCACCAATACGGTAATAACAATCACTTGGGTTGCCCTTAATAGCTTCACTTGAGCGGTCTCCTCTCAGCTGCCTCTATGCAGTCACCTGTTTTGTTTGATGACTTTGCATGCCTTCTATTTGGTGCCTCAAGCCGAACCGCACCGGCATAGGCATTGCAATGAACGCAGCAAGCGATTCCGCACTTGACTGCAGTGATTGCAGCAAGGCGAATTGCATTTACATGGGCAGCACACATAGAGCATCGAGCCAGACCGCAATAACGAATTTAGCAGTCAAAACCCTGAACACATCCAGTTTATGTACTTTTAGGTACCGAACATTCGAAGTGTAGACGCAAACTTGGGGATAGAATCCGCCCTCCATCGAACAAGATTATGACGAGGATTCTTCAGTCTGTTATCGATACATATTTGAGATCATCCCAGTGTCCAACTTCTTTTCCCAAAGGCGAATCTTTCGCTGTTCGACTGATCATCTCTTTCGCCTGAATCCACCTTTACTTCTCTACGCTTGTCGTATCGTCGCGACGCTATCGAATCTCTTTTTGTGTTTACTACATTTCTCCGATAAGAGACAGAGATTAGGAAAGATGGACTCGACTAAGCCGAAGAGGGAGTCCTGGGCGGATTCAGCGGAGGAGGAGGAAGCGGAGTTAAAAGAAGCGGAGCTCAAGGCGGCTGCAGCGGCGGCGGCGGCGGAGGTGGCGGCGAATGCCGCGAAAGACGCGGACGACGCGGAGGACGCGCCGCCGGGCTTGACGCCACGATCTGCGGCGAAGAACACGGAATTCGGCGAGAGCGCGGAGAAGGCGGCTGCGGATTTGGATTCGCTGAAAGTCAGCGAAGGCGTGGTGGATCAACCCGACCTGAGCATCAAAACCGGCGAGCTGAACGACGTGCCTGATGGGTCGGAGCACGAGATTAAGAAGGTGGGGAAGGGTATTAGATTGAGAAGGCGCGTCAGCAGGAGATTAAATTGGTCGGAGAGTACGAGATCGAGAAGCTAAACTGGCTTTCAAAACGAGCATTTGGTTAGATTACCCGAGTTCGACTTACAGAGTTTTACTTTTTTATTTTCTTGTATTTTCCTTTGCTTAGCGGCAACCATATGAAGCTGCAAGTGAACCTGTAAAAGTCGCTGCCTTGCTGTGCACACCCCATCCTACACCCCATACTCTTTATTGCAAGTTGTGGCAGCAGAGACGCCTTACTCGTCCGCCAAGACCTTTGAGGAGCTCAATCTATCAGAGCCGCTACTGAGCCCCTACTCAACCTCTACTCTGAACTTAAGCTGAACTGACCTGGGTTGCTTTCACCCATCTCAAATTCCACCCATATTACAACCCATGCTCGTACCTTCCAATCAGGTGGTGGCAGCAGAGACACCCTACTCGTCCGCCAAGACCTTTGAGGAGCTCAACCTGTCGGAGCCGCTGCTGAGGGGCCTCTACCCCGAAATGAAAAAGATTTAGAACCTCTTTGAACCCCTTACTGCAATCAGGTGGTGGCAGCAGAGACGCCCTACTCGTCCGCCAAGACCTTCGAGGAGCTCAACCTGTCAGAGCCGCTGCTGAGAGGCCTTTACTCTGAGATGAAGTTTGAACGGCCTTCCAAGATCCAAGCAGTCACCCTGCCCATGATCCTGCAGCCGCCCAATGCTAACCTCATTGCGCAGGTGAGTATCCATTCATTGGACATGCTAGCAACTTGATCCCATGCCTCTGAAAGATCCAGGCCGTCACCCTGCCCATTATCCTGCAGCCGCCCAACGCCAACCTCATTGCCCAGGTGTATCTTCCAATACACCACCCAAGATTCCAATGAGTCGTTATACTGCGAGACATGAGACGACTTTTTAGGCGCCTCAAAAGGTGTATCTTCCAATACACCACCCGAGATTCCAATGAGTCGTTATACTGCGAGACATTAGACGACTGTTTAGGCGCCTCAAAAGGTGTATCTTCCAATACACCACCCAAGATTCCAATGAGTTGTTATACTCATTAGGTTCCAAAAATATTAATGCTTCAGTTTCAGCGTTCGGCCTCCTCCGAGATTCATGCTGCCACTTGTTCACCTTCCTTCCCTCCGCTTTCACTTTCTCCTCGTCCCCACCGCTTCAACCTCACTAGGCGCACAACCGGTCGGGTGATTTTTTTATTCGACGTGCTTCGTGCCTGGCATGCTGTTTCGAGGCGACCTGCTGACTCCCCTCCCTCCCCTCCTCCCCATTCCGCTCCCCACCTCCCAATTCCCTCCTCCTCTCGTGCCCACTACTTACTCCCACCCATCAGGCGCACAACGGGTCGGGCAAGACAACCTGCTTCGTGCTGGGCATGCTGTCACGGGTGGACCCGCAGCCCTAACTCCCCCCTCCTCCCTTCTCCCCCTATCGCCTCCTTGTTCCGAAACCACCCATCAGGCGCACAACGGGTCGGGCAAGACAACCTGCTTCGTGCTGGGCATGCTGTCACGGGTGGACCGGCAGCCCTAATTCCCTCCTCCTCCCTTCTCCCCCTATCGCCTCCTTGTTCCGAAACCACCCATCAGGCGCACAACGGGTCGGGCAAGACAACCTGCTTCGTGCTGGGCATGCTGTCACGGGTGGACCGGCAGCCCTAATTCCCTCCTCCTCCCTTCTCCCCCTATCGCCTCCTTGTTCCGAAACCGCCCATCAGGCGCACAACGGGTCGGGCAAGACGACGTGTTTCGTGCTGGGCATGCTGTCGCGGGTGGATCCCCAGGTCAAGGCTCCCCAGGCCCTCTGCATCTGCCCCACTCGCGAGCTGGCGCAGCAGGTGCGAAGGGGGTGTGGAGGGTTAAGGGGAGGAGGGGCGGAGGATGGTGGGTAATGGGGTTCAGGGGAGAGGGTTGCAGGTCAAGGCTCCCCAGGCCCTGTGCATCTGCCCCACTCGCGAGCTGGCGCAGCAGGTCAGGGGGGGAGTGAAGGAAGGGAGAGCATGGCAAGGGGAGGAATGTGGGCAGAGGCCCTGACCTGTCTGTAGGTGAGACAGTCGCAGGTCAGGGCCTCCCAGGCCTTCTGCATATACACCGCACGCCAGCTGGCACAGCAGGCGAGAGGGGAGGTGGGGTGTTGGTGGGAGGAAGAGGAGAGCATGTGGGTTGTTGGTGGGAAGGAGAGGAGAGCAGGTGGCTTAGTACCCTAAACTCTAACCCTAAACTTTGGAAACTAGACTCCCAGCACGCGCACCAACATGCATTCCATCCTCCCCTCTGCCCATCCCAATGCGTGCGTGCGTGTGTAGAACGAGGCAGTGCTGTTGCGCATGGCCAAGTACGCGGGCATCATATGTGCATGCACAGCCTCGGAGGGCACGGGCAGCATCGTGACATCCTTGCAGCAAACCCCTTCCTTTCTTCCTATCCCCCCTCCTCTTCCCTTAACCAGAACGAGGCTGTATTGCTGCGCATGGCTAAATACACGGGCATCACGTGTGCATGCACAGCGTCAGAGGGCACGGGCAGCATCATCTCCTCCTCGCAGCAGGAGAGGCTAGGCGACCAGGTGGTCATCGGCACTCCCGGTTTCCATCAGCACACTTATCAACATGCTCTTTCTGGCCTGCATTCCCTCCCCCCCTCTGCCCTGTGCGCGCGTGTGTGTGCAGAACGAGGCAGTGCTGCTTCGCATGGCTAAATACACTGGAATTACGTGTGCGTGCACAGCGTCAGAGGGCACGGGCACCATCATATCGTCCTCGCAGCAGGAGAGGCTGGGCGACCAGGTGGTCATCGGCACTCCCGGCACGCTCAAGCGCTGGATGACCAAGGACCGCATCCTTCCTGTGAAGAGCATCAAGATTCTGGTGTTCGACGAGGCAGACCACATGCTCGACCAGGTGTGTGGGTGACTGGCACTATGGCGGTATGACTGGGTGGCAGGTGCGTACCTTACACTCTGACTGTGCATGTACGTTGAGCACTCAAGCGGTGGATGACCAAGGACCGCATTCTCCCTGTCAAGAGCATTAAGGTCCTGGCGTTTGACGAGGCAGACCACATGCTGGGCTGGGCCGGATCAGGTGCTCTGCGCGCCCTTCATGTGTCACGGCTGGGCTCTTGCTTCCCTGTTCCACTTGCTTTTGAATCAACTTCGTTGCTTTCAGCAACAAGTTCTGCGTGCCACCCTCTCGCCGCCCTCTTCTTGCCCCGCTTTTCTTCTCCTCATCCGTTCTCATCTCTTCTCATCCGTTCTCATCTCTTCTCATCCGTTCTCATCTCTTCTCATCCGTTCTCATCTCTTCTCGTCCGTTCTCATCTGTTCTCATCCGTTCTCATCTCTTCTCATCCGTTCTCATCTGTACTCATCCGTTCTCATCTGTACTCATCCGTTCTCATCTGTTCTCATCTGTTCTCATCTGTACTCATGTGTGCTGTGCAGGACGGGTTTCAAGACGACTCCATCAGAATGATTCAGTTCATCACCAAGAGCAACCCCACCTGCCAGGTAAGCAACCCCATCTGCCAGGTAAGCAACCACACCTGCCAGGTAAGCAACCCCACCTGCCAGGTAAGCAACCACACCTGCCAGGTAAGCAACCACACCTGCCAGGTAAGCAACCGCACCTGCCAGGTAAGCAACCCCACCTGCCAGGTAAGCAGCCGCACATGCCAGGTAAGCAACCCCTCCTGCCAGGTGAGCAACCCCTCCTGCCAGGTAAGCAATCACACCTGCCAGGTAAGCAACCACACCTGCCAGGTAAGCAACCGCGCCTGCCAGGTAAGCAACCACACCTGCCAGGTAAGCAGCCGCACATGCCAGGTGAGCAACCCTTCCTGCCAGGTGAGCAACCCCTCCTGCCAGCTAAGCAAGCCCACGTGCCAAATAAGCAAGCCCACCTGCCAGGTAAGCAACCCCACCTGCCAGGTAAGCAACCGCACCTGCCAGGTAAGCAACCGCACCTGCCAGGTACAGCACAATGCCAGGTACATTTCCAGGTAATGTCATATTAAACAATGCCATACCAACCCATCTCGCCCATCCCTTCCGCTCGCATCCCATCTCTCCCATCCTATCCCCTCCCCAATAATGCTTCAGATTCTCCTCTTCTCAGCCGCGTTCAACAAGCGAGTGAAGAGGTTCGCCCAGAGGGTGGTACCAAGTGCCAACCAGGTGTACGCAGTACCGCGTCTTTTTGAGACATCTCAAAAATACCCTCTCTACACGTGGCTATTCTCTATCTGGTTCCTGTAGATTTCTGTTAGCATGGAAATTACCCTCTCGCTTACGCCAACCAGGTGTACGCAGTACCGCGTCAACTGCCCTCAACCCATCCACCCTGCCCTCTCCTCCTCCTCTCCCCTTTCCCTCCCCTCCCTTTCTCTGCCTGCCCCCCCATTCCCTCCCTTCCCCTCCCTTGGCTTGGCCTGCCCTCCCACCAATGCTCCAGATTCTTTTATTCTCAGCCACGTTCAACGAGCCCAGAGGGTCGTACCCAGCGCCAATCAGGTGTACGTGACCAAGGAGCCGCTCCCTCTGGACGTCATCAAGCAGTACCGCGTGCAACGGTGGAACTGCCCTGCCCACTCACTCCCTCCCCTCCCTTCCCCTTCCTCCCATTCCTCCCATCCCATCTCATCCCATCCCCTTTTCTTCCCCGCTGCACCTCATCTAACGCCCAGATCCTTTTGTTCTCGGCCACGTTCAACGAGCGAGTGAAAAGATTAGCCCAGAGGGTCGTCCCCAGCGCCAACCAGGTGTACGTGCCAAAGGAGCAGCTGTCTCTGGACGTCATCAAGCAGTACCGCGTGCGCATTCCCTCACCTCATTCCCTCCCATTTTCTCCCCTCCCCTCCCCTCCCTTCCCCTCCAACACCCACCCCACCACTACCCCAGATACTTCTGTTCTCAGCGACCTTCAACGAGCGGGTGAAGCGGTTCGCCCAGAGGGTCGTCCCCAGCGCCAACCAGGTGTACGTGCCCAAGGAGCAGCTGTCGCTGGACGTCATCAAGCAGTACCGCGTGCTGCCCTCACCCCATTCCCTCCCATGCCAACCCCAACATTACCCCAGATTCTCCTATTTTTAGCGACATTCAACGAGCGAGTCAAACGATTCGCCCAGAGGGTCGTCCCCAGCGCCAACCAGGTGTACGTGCCCAAGGAGCAGCTGTCTCTGGACGTCATCAAGCAGTACCGCATGCAACTGCCCTCACCCCACTCTCTCCCTTATGCTCCCTCCCCTCCTCTCCTCTCCCCTCCATCCTCTCTTCTTCCCTCCCTTCCCTTCCCCTCCCCTCCCAACTCTCCAATGCCCCAGATTCTTCTCTTCTCAGCCACCTTCAACGAGCGGGTGAAGAGGTTCGCCCAGAGAGTCGTACCAAGCGCCAACCAGGTGTACGTGCCCAAGGAGCAGCTGTCGCTGGACGTCATCAAGCAGTACCGCGTGCGAGTGCCCTGCCTACTTACTCCCTCGCCTCTCAGCCTCTCCTCTCCTGTCCCTCCCATCCCATCCCATCCCCACTCCCTTGCCCTGCCCTCCCCACCACGATTCCAGATTCTTCTCTTCTCAGCCACGTTCAACGAGCGAGTCAAGCGGTTCGCCCAGAGAGTCGTACCAAGCGCCAACCAGGTGTACGTGCCCAAGGAGCAGCTGTCGCTGGACGTGATCAAGCAGTACCGCGTGCGCGTGCCCTCTCGGGACGCCAAGGTCGTGGTGCTCAAAGACAAGATCTTCCCCGCCGCTGAGAAGCTCGGCCAGTCCATTATTTTCGTCAAGACCCGTGAAACTGCCCGGGATTTGCACAGGTTCGGGCTTTTTCTTTCTCTCTCTTCTTTTTTGGGGGGAGTGGGGGGGAGGTAGGAGAATAGAGGCGAAAAAGGTGCAGGTACCGGGAGGGTGTTGAGGGAGGGACAAGAAACTCTGCTGTGGAAGGAGGGTAAGCCAGCTAGCTGTCGCTGGACGTGATCAAGCAGTACCGCGTGCGAGTGCCCTCTCGTGACGCCAAGGTCGTGGTGCTCAAAGACAAGATCTTCCCCGCCGCGGGCAGTCGATCATCTTTGTCAAGACGCGCGAAACTGCCCGAGATCTTCACAGGTCAGTGCAGCTCGCAAGCAAAAAGCAGGTTTGATAAGCGCTGGTTTATTATCTTGTGACATTTTACAGTGAGCAGCACCAAGCAGGTTTGATAAGTGCTGCTCACTGGAAAATGTCCCAAGATCTGCTAGCAGGTTTGATAAGCGCTGGTTTATTACCTTGTTGTGAAGTTAGGGGTGGATGCGGCCCGGTGACTTTCCAGTCGAATAGAACCCCCCCCCCCCCCCCCCCCCCCCTACCCCCCACCTTCTTCCCCCCTCTCCCTCCTTTCTCTTCCTTCCCCCTCCTATTCTCCCCGTCCCCCTCCTTCCTCCTTCCTCCTGCCCACTCCCGCCCCTTCCCCTTGTTCCCTTCCACAGGAAGCTGGAGGCGGACGGGCATCGGTGCACGTCTATCCAGGGCGGCATGTCGCATGAGGAGAGGGACGATGTGATCCGCGAGTTCCGCAGCGGCACCACCAAGATCCTCATCGCCACTGACGTTCTGGCGAGAGGGTTCGACCAGGCGCAGGTGAGACCAGGGGGGAGTGAAATGGAGTGGAGCAGGTGACCAGATGATGGGCATGCTTGCAGCACCACCAAGATCCTCATCGCCACAGCAGTGCTGGCTAGAGGGTTCGACCAGGCACAGGTGGGATTCGAAGGGAGGGCTGGAGCAGGTGAGCGTGAGTGGGCACAGGTGATATTGGGATGGGGAAGGGTTGTACCTCATGGGCTTGTTTGCAGCAGCGGCACCACCAAGATCCTCATCGCCACGGGCTGGAGCAGGTGAGAGGAGAAAGGAGGGCTGGAGCAGGTGAGGAGAGCGTTTGGCCGGGTTCTCTTCTTTGATATGTTTGCACCCCATCATCTTTGTGCATTTACAAGCCACACCGCCACTAGGACTGTTCTCATTGCGATTGGTTTGCCTTCCAGGGGCTTCATACAGGCTCCAACAACCTTTTGGTTTGTTCTGTTTTTTTCTTCTTCTTATTCTTCTTTTTTTAAAAGTGTTGTTTAACCACCTCAAATGACCTCACTACTCTCATACAGGAATTTCAGGAAGGTGAGATTTTTGCAAATGGGACTCTTGCCTCTCTTCTTTTTTCTCCCCACCCCTCCCCTCCCTCCCCCCTCCCTGTCATACACTCCGGTTCGACGTGACCTTGTCTCCCTGCGTTGTTTCTTTTTTACCCCGGGCAGGTGACACTGGTGGTGAATTTTGATCTGCCCGTGAAGAATGCCCCGCCCAACGAGCCTGAGTACGAGACCTATCTCCATCGAATCGGTCGCAGCGGGCGATTCGGCAGAAAGGGTAAGGACTGCAATATGTACTTTTCTTACTATGTCTGTAAATTAAGAAGCGCATCTCCCAACAAAGTTTATGTATCTTCCTCCACTAGCAAGCCATCCCAGTTAGGACATGTTTCATTCTGCACCAAGTCCCATCCCAAGTCCTGTCGCTCTTCCACTCTGCACAATTTTCGTCCCTCTTTCCTATTGTCACGCTCCTCTTCTTTGGTTCAGGTGCTTCGTTCAACCTGGTGTGTGGGGAGAGGGATGAGCGCACACTCAACAAGATCGAGAAACACTTCGACCGCGTCATCCCTGATGTGAGTGATCAAGGAGCGGCTGAATGCAGGTGTGGGGCTGAATGAGGATGTGAGTGAGTGAGGGTGTGAGTGAACAAGGATGTTAATGAATGAGGTTGTCAATGCACGAGGATGTGAGTGAATGAGGGTGTGAGGGTGACTAGGGATGTGAGACTGAATGAGGGAATGATGCATACTATACCCAACGCCAGTAGTATCGTGAATGACACTCACCCACTGTACCTGTCCCTTTCTCTTCCCACAATGCAGGTGCAATGGGACGACGACGATGCCTTTGAAAAGGTGCTCAAGGAGGCAGGCCTCGCGTGAAACACCCTCCGTACCGTTGGGGTCATACAAGAATCATCATGTTCCATGGGCCACATACACGGTACACCATGTGTCATCATGCACTATGCTCCATGCTCAATGCGAGTTCGTGTGTGGTGTGGGCCATCCACTCCAGGTGGTCTTCCTTTATCGATTGCTGGGCGTTTCACACAGCCTTGTGTTTGGTGTCTTTATCTTTAGGTCTATCAATCGTTAGATGATTTGAGTGTTCTCGCCTTCAGTCTCGCCCAGAGACTCCACATATTGGAGTTTTTTCAGCCAGTGTAGGATTGACATAATGCTTTTGCAAGCATTTCAGTTACACTTTTGTCTGCAAATACACTGTGCTCTCATTATGATGTCCAAACCGCACTGGCCCTGTTTTGGTAGTCAAAGCTCCTGGCGAATGCTAGTCGATATCCGAAGTGCTTCGCTCGATTTGCTGGCATGGCCTGGTGACACCTTCGTTGCTAGCTCGTTGGGGAGATCGCCTGCGTATGTGGCGCTAGTTTGTCAGGGGTTGCCCTAGCATTTCCTTACTCTCTTGCTGCTTGATCTGTCATGCGTTCGAAGGTTAGTTTGTTCATTATTACCAACTCTTTAGTTCGCTCAGACGATCCTGAGTTCCGATGGCCGGAGGAGCACGAGATGGTGATCGAGGTGGAGGAGGTGGTCTTTCCAGGTTTTCGGATGAGGAGCTTCATCTCGTGTTGGATAAGATTTCAAGTGCCAAAGACATTCTTAGTGCGGCGACTACGTGCAAACGTTGGGAACGACTCGCTTTCCAGGTTAGTTCCGATGCGACTGGTCCATGTGCCACTTGTCGTCGCATTCCCATACGGATAACTTTATCTTCTCTCCCTCTGTCGTGCTCTACTGAGTATTCCGTCCTCGTTTCTCCAGGGTCCGTCTTTGGAGTTTGTGGGATTTAGAGGAAACTCACCAGAACGAGCTCTCACGCGTTTGGTGCTGAAAACCTCAAGTCTGATTTCACTTTCTGCGGTATTTGAAGCTGCAAACGGATCAGAAGTTTTGACCTTTCATGACCAAAAACAGTCCGAGCACTATCTTTTGATGTGGCTTCGCCATTGCCCCAATCTGACAAGGATCCACTTTAGAGGATTACAGGGCTTTCCCAGGCTCCGATGGTTAAGCCATCTTAGTTCCCATGCTCCGAATCTTCGGGTCCTGTCCCTTACTGGCTTGGATTTCCGGCTAGATTCTCTGGATGCAGTTACTTCTCTGAAGAATTTGGAGGAGTTGGAGGTGGAATGTCCAAGGCTCAAAGGGGATTGTGTCACTTGCCTCACAAGCCTCAGCAACCTTCAGAGGTTGACATTGACGGTGGATTTCAGCTTCAGCGACACATTCTCTAACCAAAGCTTAAGATTCCTTAGTCTGAAATCAGACACTGGGTGTGACAGGTACAGTCATGTTTATCGGTCAGGTTTCGATTTGAAGCTGGATCTCCCTGCATTGGAAACGCTCAAGCTGGGTTGCGTGTTACGGCTTCTTGTGAGCAACTCGCCCTTGCTTACGTTTCTGGAGGCTGAGTGCGTGAATCACGACTTAACTTTCGTGAATCCGTCGAAGACTCTTCGTTCTCTTGCATTGCGAATGCGAAGCATCTATGAGGAGAAGCGCCTTCAACCTGAACCCTTGCTGCTGGCAAGTGTAAAGAGTATAGAGGAGCTTTATCTTCAGGGGAGAAAGAGTTTTTCTGCAAGTTTTATGCTTCCAGCTCTTAAAACCGGGGTGCACATTCAGCTGAATGTGCATCAAAGGTTATCCCTTGACTGAGTGGGTTACGAGGTGTGCTTTCAACCCCTTCAAGTCGAAATTCGTTTCCCCCCTCCCCCGCAATTTCGTTTCCCCACGCCCCCGCAATTTCATTTCCCCCTCCCCGTCGAAATTCGTTTCCCCCCTCCCCCGCAATTTTGTTTCCCCCCTCCCCCGCAATTTCGTTTCCCCCCCCTCCCGCCAATCTGTTTCATCCCTCCCGCCATTCGGTTTCACCCACTCCCGCCATTTCACCCCCTCCCGCCACCTACGAAATGCCCGAAGCTCTAGCGGAATCATTTTTTTGTCGCCCCTCGTGAGCCAATCACTGTTTTTCTCCAAACCCCCTTCCCAACATCTCAAGCCGAACCGCGTTGAATGTGCACCCTGGTTTTAAGTCCCTCCACATCTCACTTGAATCTTACCCTTTTCGAGTTATGAGGGACTTCGTGATGCGAGCTCCACGAATCACCTCTATTGAGTGGTTCATTGATGGTCGCATATACCCTGACTGGTATCGCAAGGATGGCCCTTCTCCAGACGAAATTGCAAGTGGCCTTGGCGAGATTATCAAGTCGTGCAAAACACTAAAGAACGTGAAGGTCACCTGCATGGACAGCTCAGATTCCCTTTTCACTGTTGCAAACTGCATCTTGAAGCTGCAGAAGGCCTTTCCGTGCTTGGATTTCTCCGTCTACCGGAATCATGATGCAGACGACTCCGAGTCTGACAGTAGAGATTCTGGGTCTGGGTCGGACAGTGAAGTGGGGTCGGATAGTATTTCCGGTTAGTCAGTAGTTTTGTTGCTGTTGAGTAGGCATGCTGGCCTTGGGAAAGGGCGTGGCCTGTAGTAGTGTATGCCTCTGGATGGTTGGTTGCAATAACAACTTTGATATCTGCACTTATAAGGAACTTTTTCTCTCCAGACTTGCTTGTGTAATTGTAAATCGGGGCATGCTTTCTTGCAATAATAGCAATGAGATTCTGTAGTGCATTATGGTGTGCTGAAGGTTGGGACAAGGAATGGCTATCTTCCTGAAACTGCAGACCATATCCGCATGACATGACATGACATGACATGACATGCAAGGTACAGTATCTCTGCGCCAAGCACCACCCCGCATACTTGCACCACGAACAGAAAAAAGGTCGCATGATTTTACCCATCATTTCAACTGAAACCACAGAACGCGCTAGTCCATCAATGCTTTTTGACAAACCTGAGAACAGGCACCATACACCAAGGACCAAGCACCCATCAGAGCCCAATGCAGCCTGCGATCTGCACCCAGGCACCTCCCTGCCACAGTAACGGGAAGGTCGTTGGTGTTTTGATGAGACCACTCGAACATGACCACTGCAGCCCCTTCAACCACAGCACCCACTACCACAGCTCTCCCCAAACACCCTCCTAAATAGCTTTTGAAGCGGCTCAAACATCGCAAACACCATGGCGCCCGTCCTCAATTGACCTCCTGAATGACTTCCAAGACAGCTCAAACGAGAACCACCACAGCCCTCCACGACCGAGTACAGTCCCCTGGATGACCACCGAGTCGACTCAAACATGGCCACCAGCTCACTGCTGCAGCTCTCCCCGCACGCCCCTTTCACTAACTTTTAAGGCGACTTCGCTCAGACAGCTCCACCATTGCAACCCTCCCCACACGCCTCCTGAATGGCTTCTAAGAAAGCTCCAACATCACCAACACACCGCAGCTCTCCCCATCCTTCCCCCTTCAGTGACTTTTGAGACTTGGCTCAACTCAAGTAGCTGCACCCTTGCAACCCCACCCACACGACCAACAGGATCCTGTATGTCCTCTGAGACAGCTCCCCAAGTATAACCACCAGCGCACTGCAGCTCTTCCCATCCACACCCCTCTGTGACAACAAAGCGACTCAAACATCTCCACCACTGCCGCCCTCCCCGCATGCCTCCCTGTCATGCAACCCCTCCCCATCAACAAGAGACGGACGAAATTCCGTAAGTGATGGCATGTCGCCAACAGGCACGGCCTCAGCAGGCATGACGGCAGCAGGCATGTCGCCAGCTGGCATGTCGCCAGCTGGCATGTCGGCAGCTGGCATGTCGCCAGATGGCATGTCGGCAGCTGGCATGTTGCCAGCAGGCATGACCTCAGCAGGCACGGCGTCAGCAGGCACGGCGTCAGCAGGCATGACGACAGCATGCATGACATCAGCAGGCATGACGTCAGCAGACACGGAGTCGGCAGGCATGGGGATGGCAGGCATGTCGGAAGCAGCAGTGAGAGGGCCGGAGGTAGGGGGGGTGGCAGCAGACGTGGCAGCAGACGTGGCAGCAGACGTGGCAGCAGCAGGAGAGACGGGCAGTGTAGACGTGGCAGCAGCAGGAGAGACGGGCAGAGTAGACGTGGCAGCAGCAGGAGAGACGGGCAGAGTAGACGTGGCAGCAGCAACATGCGAAGGAGAAAGAGAAGCGGTGGAAGCAAAAGAAAGCGGAGCTGCAGTAACAGCAGCAGGGAACGTGGGAGTCACAGGAGTAGAAGCAGCAGTAGGAGCAGCAGCAGGGGCAGCAGCAGGCGCAGCAGCAGGGGCAGCAGCAGGCGCAGAAGCAGGGGCAGCAGCAGGCGCAGCAGCAGGGGCAGCATCACGGGTAGCAACAGGGGTTGCAACAGCAGCAGCAGCAGGAACAGGAACGGAGGGAAGAAATATTCGACTCCCCAAACCCCCCACGCGCCAGTCGTCGGTTCTTTCCCTTTCTGCCTTGAACTGCTTCATATCCTCGATCATCTGCTTCTTCAGCCGTAACACCAGGTTGTACTGCGCAGTAACCGCGTCTCTTCTCACGATGAGCGTCTCGTAGCGCACGGACGCCATGTCGCAGCGCGCCAGCACCACCTTGTGCTGCGCGATGGCCTTCTGTATCAGCGCCACCACCACCTGCTCCCGCTGCACCAACCGCCCTAGCTGTGACGCCAACGCCTCTGGCGCCGGCTGGGGCGGAGGATGAGCCTCCTGCTGCTGCTGCTGCTGCTGCTGCTGAGAAAGCGTTTCCACCTGCTCCTGCTGTGCCAGCCGGCATAGCTGCGATGCCAAGGCCTCTGGCGCCTGCTGGGCCCGCTCCTGCTCCTGCTGATGCTGCTGCTGCTCCTGCAGCTTCTGGGGATGCCCCTGCTCCTGATCCTCATGCTCCTGCCGCTGAGAAAGCACCTGCTCCGTCCCCTCTACCTGCCGCTCGCCCACATCTGCACCGGTCCCACTTGCTGCCTCGCCCTCTGACCCACTCGGCACCTCTGCACGCCCACACGCCCCCACAGCCTCTGCACCGCTGCCCCTAGATTCATCTTCAGCTGCTCCAACCGCACCACTCGTCTCTGGCGGTGGCTCAGCCTGGGACTCGTGCGACTGGAGCGCCACTATTGCCACTGCTGCTGATGATTCTGCTGCTGTAAATGGTTCTGCTGCTGTAAATGGTTCTGCTGCTGTAAATGGTTCTGCTGCTGTAAATGGTTCTGCTGCTGTAAATGGTTCTGCTGCTGTAAATGGTTCTGCTGCTGTAAATGGTTCTGCTGCTGTAAATGGTTCTGCTGCTGGTGCTGGTGAATCAGTCGTTGGTACGGCATTAGAAGCCGAGATACCACTTGACCACCTCTCCTCTGATGACCGGCTTGATTCTGCCGCCACCGGTCGTGCTGACCTGTCAAACAGCAGGCTTCCACTTGGGCCAGCCACGTCAGCAGCCGGTCGTGCTGACCTGTCAAACAGCAGGCTTTCAGCCAGGCCAGCCGTGTCGGCCGCTCTGGCTGCGGCCGCTTCGAATTTCAGCCGCCATTTCCCACCAACACATTCGTCTTCTTTTGTTGCTGCGAGTGAGGTGCTGCGCGCGGGCGCAACAGCTGCTTCGTCTAGAGGCGCATTAGAAGCGGAGGGCGTGCAGGAAGCAGCAGGCGCGCAGCTCTCTCGCGCGGAAACAGAGCAGCTCTCGTGCGCAGCAAGGGCGCGCGGACAAGCCCCCGTGGCGCGGAGATGCTCGCCGCGCAAGCCTCCCCAAGCGGCAGCGGAGCCCTTCCACCGCGTCCCCGCCACACACGCGGAAGCCTCCAGCTGCCCTTCCGCCTCCACCACCTCTACCGCGCACAGGCACTCCCCGCACCCCGCGCAATCCCCCCTCTTCCCCTTCCCCTCCCCCGACCCTGAGCCGCCGCTTCCTTCCCCGCTCGAAGAGCACCCCCGCGCAATCTCGTCTTCCGCTTCCGCCAAGACCTCCCCCGCCGGGCTCGCTTCCGCTCCCCTTCTTGCTCCCCCCATCGCTTCCGCCGCGGCGGCGGCGGCAGCAGCCGCGAGGTACTGCCCTTGCGCCATGAGGCGGTCGCGGTCCGCCTCGAGCGCAAGCTTCTCCGCGCGCAGCTCCGCCTCGACGCGCTCGAGCGCCTCCTCGTCGGCGCGCAGCAGCAGGTGCTCGCGGCGCAGCAGGTCGCGCTCCGCCTCGAGCAGCGCCTTCTCGTCGTCGAGGCGCAGCACCTGCCGCTCGACGCTCGCCTGCTGCGCGTCGATCTGCACGTTCTCTAGGAGGTGCAGGTGCAGGTTGCGAAGCGTGCGAAATACGAGATCGCCCATCGCGAAAACGTAGGGTTACGGTTTCGTGTGTAGATACTGTGCGAAGGCGCGATTGTAAAAAGCAGATGAGAGCCGCTGATGCAAGGCTTCAGGTAAATGGTACTTGTGAGAGCAACAGCCGCTGATGCAAGGCTTCAAACTTGAAAGCTAACAAAAGAGAAGAAATAAAAGAGTACCTAACACAATCGTTTCGGAATGTGAACCTAACCGCCGCTACCCAAACAAGAAAACGGATGACGAAGTGTGAGGAGACGAGGTGTGCTAATGAAGCCTGCGTGAGGATGTGAGCAGTTGTGTGCAACGGGTATGATCCGCCATGGTCAGTAGCTTACGTGTTTCTGCGAGCTCGGTGAAAAGAAAACGGTCGTCAGCGCGGATTGGCTGTACTGAACTTGAATTATCCATTTTGGCCAGTATTGCTGCTCACAAGAATTCACAATAAAGCACAATTTCTCCAGGTTTATTTCTCAAGGAAATCATTCTGCAAGATTTGACACGCCAACCAAAAAAAAAATACTTTCTGCCGAATGCAGAAAAATAACCCGGTGACTGCAATCAAAGCCCTTCTAGTCAGTCCCAAGCTTGTTTCTTGTTTATTATTAACCTCGAACCACCCTGCAGTTATATTCTCTTATGGAATTTCTCAGTTGCTTGCAACACACTTGATATTCAAATTTACAATGAAGAACACAAACAAGCCATTGTCCTAATTATCAATGAAAGTCCTAAATCCTACCTAAATTTCTACTCGCAACCTTCCAGAGCGTACAGACCTTCGGACCGCCTGCTGCTGGGAGCCTTGCTGAGATTAGTTGAGTGTAACGCGTGTTGACTGTTAGGGGCGCTGCTAGTCGCGGATGCTTCTAACGAGGGAGCAATGCAGCTGCCAGAACCCAAAAATCCGAATCCCGTGAAAACGTCACGGTCGCTGCAGCTTGACGGCAGCGATGAGCTGAAAATGGAATCCATACCCGTTGACCGTCCGCTGAAGCTGACGGTGCCGTCAGAAGAGCTGGGCATGTCTTCCTCACCCAGAGCTACAAACTCTTCCCCCTCAATACTGTCACATCGTAAAAAGTCCCCATCGCCTTGGTCCCAAAATGAAGAGCCAAATTTCTGCTCAGGAGCAATGTCGGGTAAAATTGCAGCCTCCGCCATTTCCGTGACTGCAAAATCTGCTGCCATGAAGAAATCCTCAGCTGTTGCTGTCGTCGCTGGCATGTCCGCTGCTACCGCGAAAGGCGGATTTGCTACCGCTAGAGGCGCTTCCACGGACGCATCTAGGCCGAGGCTGACCTCCTCCGTAGTGAAGAAGCATGCTGGGGTGAACCCTTCCAAATCAGCTGCTGGCCAATCCACGTCAGCTTCAGCTGACGTCGCAATGGCTGCAGACCTTGGCTCTGCTACCTCAGTTTGAAACTCAGTAGGTCCGTTCTTAGTCGCCACTGGAGAAGCAGCTTCCTCCCCCCCGCTGTTGTCACGCATGATACAGTCAACACTGCGTCCAGAGCCCATTTGAGCGTCGCTATTTTTCGTAACCACACTGACGGCTGCGTCTGTGCTACCCGCAGTAGCTGCAGCTCGTTCCGCCAGACCCTCCTGCCTGCTTCCACCTGCAGCCGGCTTGATATCGCTCCTACCAGTGCTTTGCTCTCGAAGCGTGAGGGCCGTCGCGTCCGCCGCTTTTTCCGGAATGTCGTCCATCATCAGAGCCTCCTCCCACCAGCTTTTCTTAGGACCATTATCACCTCTCTCCACCCCTGCTCTTGCTCGCTGTACCCCTGTGCGCCCATCTCCACCGCATCCAGCCTCTTCCCCATCGACCTCGCACACGGCAGGCCACGTCACCACACTGTATTCCCCTTCCGCGCCTTTCCCCGCGCCCATCCCCCACGGCCGATGCCCTTCCGACTTGGCCTTCTTTCCCACGGGTCCAAACACGCCAAATCCAAACGGATCTCCTCCCGCCTGCGCCATCCAATCATCCTCGTCCACGTCAGCAGCCATGGAATCCGCATCTCGCCAGTCACCAGCGACGGAGCCGAAGGCGCCATTGCCGTCGGACGCGGCTCGCATCGTCGTCCTGTTCCGCGCGAGAATAGGCTCGGACGACCACGACGCGTTCGAGACTGACGGATGAACGCCGCTACCCGCCGTCTGGATTGGCTGCATTGCGGCACCCGCACCCGCACCCATAGCTGTACTGGTAGCTGTAGCGGTAGCGGCGGGCGCAAAGGAGTTGTCGCGCACATCGCGCAGCTCGCGCAGGTCAGGCGTCGCCTCGGCGGCTTCGCGGACCGTCTCCATCGCGGAACGCTTCCGCGTGATGGGGACGGGGGAAGGAGTACAGGGGGAGGGCGCGCAGGCGGAAGGCGCGGAGGGGAGCTGAGGGGCTGTGACGGTACGAGGTCTCGAGTTATCGTGAAGCGGTTGGGGCAATTGCTGGTTGAGGAAGGGAAGGTGCAGAAGGGGTTTGGGCTTCTGCGCGGATTTCGATACCGGCGTGCGCGCAAGAGCGGCGGCGGGCGCTGCACCAAGCGGAAAGTGTGAAGCAGCCGGAGTCGGGGTAGCAGCGGGCGCTGTTGTAGTGATAGTGATTGCGGGGATGGACGGGACTGGGGCGGGGGAGACGGGGAGTGCGGGGACAGAGGGCGCGGGGCTTGGCTGGATGATGGCAGCACGGGGGAGCATGAGGGGGGAGAAGACAGAGGTCTGCTGAGGGGCAGACTGGGGCGTACGCGGCACTGGCGCGGATTGCGGCTGCGAATGAAACTGCTGGACACGCGGCTGAACCTGCATCTGCTGCTGCTGCTGCACCTGTTGCAGCTGCTGCACCTGCGGCGACTTCTGCGGCTGAGCTTGTGCCGTCGCTTGGGTGACCGAGTGGGTCTGTTGATTGGACGCGGAAAGCGGGGCGGAGAGCCGAGGCTCCTTGGGAAAATTCAGCTGCGCCTTGGGTCCGCGGATCTCCCGCGCAGCCTCGTCGTACGCGCGAGCCGCCTCCTCGGGAGTGTCGAACGTCCCCAGCCACACTCGCCCGCGCCCGCCAGCGTCGCGGATCTCCGCCGCCCACCGACCCCACGGCCGGTACCGAACGCCGCGATACGGCGCAGGCTGAGCGTTCCTCCCCTCACTCGCGTTCCGCACACCACTCGCGTTGCTTCCACCGCCACTCGCGTTCGGTCCACTGCTGTTATCCCGAGCGCCAGCAGCGGAGAGTCCTCCGTCGCTGCTGGCGCTGCGACCGACTGCCATCTGGTGCTGCTGCGGCTTGCTCCGCTCCGAAGACGGCGCGCGGCTTCGCACAGGGCTGATTGGGTGCGACCTGCTGCCTGAAGCGGTCGACGGGGTGGGATTGGACGGAATGGTGACGGTCTGACCCTGGTGTACGGAAAGCATTTGACGGATGGCCTCCTGAACCTTGCCGGCGATGAGAAACTGCTGGCTGGGAGTGGGCGGCGACGTTAGTGTAACCGGCGGAACGGCTGTTTTAGCGATAGGGGCAGAAACCGTCGCCATGCTTCCGGGGGATGTAGCCTTAGGAGACTCACTAGACGGTCCGCTAGCGTCCATCTGCCTGGACAGTTCGATCACGCAGCTGCAGTTGACGCAACGAGTGCATGCTGGCGTTGTCGCAATGCTGCTATCTACTGCTAAGGGCCGAGGAGGCGTGTCGTGATCGGATGAGGGGTTGCTCGACTGGAGCCACTGATCGAACTCGTCTGCCATTTCTTCAAGAATCGTCTCATGATCGCATGAGCTCATTCCCAGCTGCTAGACTATCGTGCCCTAGCTTCCTTTGCTGGTTTTGGGATGAAATGGGAGATTTTGGTTTGTGTTGCGAATGATGTTTGAGAGGCAAATGGGCGGGTTTTCTTGCTTGAGAACGAGTGGGAAAATGTTGTCGGTGGCGTGTTGAAATTGGCATTCATCACCTTCCTAGCACCCAGCCCCCATCAGTGACAAGGACGGATGCGGGGAAACTGGGGGACAGAATCGGTGCGTTTGCGGCGGACATTTGGAGGCGTTTGAGAGGCAGGATGTGGGGCGGGGGGAGGGGAGGTGGGCGGGAATGGGGAAGCTGGCTTTCCGCGTAGGCGAGGGCGTTTCTGCCTGGGCGTGTGGGCGGAATCAACGAGAGGTGGACGGACACGGCGGTGGGCTGACGCGGCGGTTCGGGGCATTTCGCGAAAACAGGGCTGTCATAATCAGCCTGTTGTCGACGGTGGATAATGCATTGTCGACGAAGGCAGACTCATCCAGCGGTAAACCGGTAATGTAGCGCGTTATCCTGTTACAAGTGTACAGCTAGCGAAACTTAACCAGGGCGCCACGGCAAAGCGGCTTTGCGACGCGACGCCGGCAAATTGACCACAGTCAGCGCATCAATTGTTCTCTCTCGATTTGGATTCAGCTGTCCAATCAACTCCTTGCCCCTTGCTTGCCGGGCAGTCACCAAGAAGTTGATTGTGTATTTTGGCCACGGCCGGCCGAAAACAGAGGCGAGCTGACTAACGTCCAGTTTACTGCCACGCGTCACATAATTGTAGGATTAAGTCTGCCTACTCGTTACTAGAACGTACGTATGTGACGATCTCCGCCGGTTTAGCCGGCCGAAAATTCTGAAAATGATGATGGCTTGCCCGTGTCGCTGACCCATATTGGAAACGTAAACCCAAGGTCTCGTCCAGACAGGTCAAGCTGGCTGAGCCAAGGTCCAAGGTTCGTCCACGTTGACATGTGGACCTGATCGAGTAACGGCGCGACTTCAACCCGTCCGCCGTCGCCTGCCATCTACACCTGGACTAGAAAAAACGCCTGAATGAAGTTCTCGTTTCGTGATTATTATGATTGCTAGTATTGGCAATTCAATACAGAACTTAAAGGAGTTTGAATCAGACATTCGCAGTGGTACATATAGACCAAGTAGGGTTTGCATACAGCAAAGTTTGTGTAAGAAATAGATACCTTAAACCCCCTGCAACTTCTGAGGTTGAAGACAGGGCTTAAGGGAGCAAGAATCACTAGGCAGACAGCTACTGCAAGAAAGGTATAAGGCGTGCCAGCCAATGAACTAGTGCAATGCAATTGCACAGCAAATCATAGTAGCATGTTGATTTGTAGTAACAATATCAGTGCCTGGGCAAGAGGAGAAGAAATTCAAACAGAGGGAGTTAGCACAGGGTTAGTCAAGCCAGCGGTGCTGTCACTGCAACATTACCACCAGCACCTGTGGGTGCTGCTGTTGCTGCTGTTGCTGCTGTTGTTGTTGACGCTGCTGCTGCTGCTGATGCTACTGCCAGCTGTATCAAAGCCAGTTGCAGTTCACGCGTTGCACTTGCTTTTCTGACAAAAGTGACCTGCTGCGTGCCTTACAGCCAAGCTCCGCTTCTTGCTGCAATCCTCCTTTCGACCTCCAACCCTTCTCAGGTCTCCGGGCCTCAGTCCCCACTAGCGTCCCACTCCTGCAGCTTGACTAAACGAATTCGCAGACGGTTCAGTTCGGATTTTGTTTTCAAAAACTCTTGGATACTGCTCCAGGCTTCCAGTCTTGGTATAGAAGCGCACTCCTGCTTCAAATCCCAACCCTGCTTCAGATTCCTAACCCTGCTTCAGCTTCCCAACCTGCTTCGGATCCCCAACCCTGCTTCGGATCCCCAACCCTCCTTCAAATCCCCAACCCTGATTGGGATCCCCAACCCTGATTGGGATCCCCAACCCTGCTTCAGCTTCCCCCAACCCTGCTTCAGCTTCCCCCAACCCTGCTTCAGCTTCCCTCCCAGCCCTGCAACAGATTCCCAAACCCATTTCAGACTACCTAGCTCTACGGACTGCAGCGCCGGCGCAGCAGCCGTTCGGACATGCGCACATACGGGTACGGCGCCGCAGCTGCTACTCCAGCAGCAGCTACTGTCAATTCTCTCCTCCGGTCACTCTAAGGACTGCAGCGGCGGCGCAGCAGGCGTTCGGACATGCGCACATACGAGTAGGGTGCCGCTGCAGCGGCTGCTGATGCTGCTCTCCCGCGGTCAGACGTCCGTGTGGGCGCAGCAGGGCGCTGTGCACTTGCTCTCCGACTGCCCGCCGAGCGAGAGGAGCGCGCTGCAGCAGAGGAGGACGGGAAGGACAGAAACGACGAGGAGGGAGCGATGACGGGGGAGAGATGAGGAGGGAAAGAGGAAGATGGAATATGAGGAGGAAAAGATGGGGAAGAAAGGAGGCGGAAAGAAAGACGTTCAGGAACCTTACAGGGCAGAGAGAAAGTGGGGAATGGCAGGAACGGCTGCTGGCCCATTCAACAAACACACCGTGAAATGAGCAGGTGGAATGAGCACACAGCACAACGTGAAAGGGAACCAGCTGCTTTTATTTAGGCGCCTCAAAATTTTGCTTAGAAATAGTTTTAATGTGGCTCAAAAATCGCCTCAGAAACAATGCCAAGGCACTAAATTATCGCCCCCAAAATAATGATGAGGCGAGTCCGAAATCAGGTTATATCGAAGCAGATGGAATGAACACAGACCACAGCGTGCAAGGGAACCAGGTGGCCTGAAAACCCCGCCATGCAAAACATCTGAGTTGACTAAACAACTGGAACATTGTACAACGAATCTGAAAACGATCTGGTAAACTGCAATGGTATACCAAATATTCCCGAGACCGAAACCATGAGCTCTTCCTCCCCCTACCCTCTTTCCCCCCTCCGCAAAGATCACCAAATCCATGCTCTCCACGCCACACTCACCTCGCAACCACGAGTCAATCTCAGCGTGGTGTTTCGTGTTGAACATTATCGATAGCGATAAAACCACCCCATACCCACCAATGCCCACCGCCCCATGCCCCATGCCCAACCCCCCAAACTCACGTCGCAACCACGAGTCGATCTCTGCGCGGTGCTCCATGTCCGTTTGTGAATTCTCCATGCTCCCCACGCCACCATCACACCCCTGTCCCCACACGCTCTTATCTCTGTCCCCCCACGCTCTTAACTCTGTCCCCCCACGCTCTTATCTCTGTCCCCCCACGCTCTTATCTCTGTCCCCCCACGCTCTTATCTCTGTCCCCCCACGCTCTTAACTCTGTCCCCCCACGCTCTTATCTCTGTCCCCCCACGCTCTTATCTCTGTCCCCCCACGCTCTTACCTCTGTCCCCCCACGCTCTTACCTCTGTCCCCCCACGCTCTTACCCCTGTCCCCCCACGCTCTTACCCTTGTCCCCCCACGCTCTTACCCGTGTCCCCCCACACTCTTACCCCTGTCCCCCCACGCTCTTACCCCTGTCCCCCCACGCTCTTATCTCTGTCCCCCCACGCTCTTATCTCTGTCCCCCCACGCTCTTACCCGTGTCCCCCCACACTCTTACCCCTGTCCCCCCACGCTCTTACCCCTGTCCCCCCACGCTCTTATCTCTGTCCCCCCACGCTCTTACCTCTGTCCCCCCACGCTCTTACCTCTGTCCCCCCACGCTCTTACCCCTGTCCCCCCACGCTCTTACCCCTGTCCCCCACGCTCACCTCGCGACCACGAGTCAATCTCTGCTCGGTGCTCCGCGTCCGTCCATTTGGCTTCGTGGCCGAAGGGCGGCCGCGCCCTGCACTCAATCGGAGAAGAGGCACGGAGAGATTGAACGCGGATAGATTGGGTATGGAGAGATTGGGCATGGAGAGAGAGAGAGAGGGCAAGGGATGACGAACACCAACAGCAATGCTCACGGACAGCACTCAGTTGAAGATTGAGCAAGGAAAGAGAGAATGAACGGGGATGATGAAACATCCCCAGGGATGCTCACGTCACGGGCCAAAGATTGACCTTAACTTGAAAGTAAGGGGCATTTAACATCAAAAGCGGTGCTCCCAGAAGCACTGCAGTGTTAAGAGCGGTGCACTGCGGTTGGAGGACGAGAAAGAGTGGTAGGAAGCCACAGGAGCAAACGCCCCGAAAACACACCAGGAGAATCCTCGAATTTCCAGATCTGGAAATCCATTTGAACTCTGAAATAAGAAAACAAGGAGAAAACCGCGAGATATTGATACTGGGAATTCCGTAATCAGGCCGTGCCATTATTGGCTAACGACTGACCTAAACCCATGGCCGTGAACCATCCGACTAACTCGGCATCCCAACTCACCCATCATCGTCGTCGTATCGTCGATTGCACTCCCGCGCCTCCTCATCCCCGCTAGCGCCAGCTCCGTTAAAAACACAAGGCGGGCCCGTCCACTCCGGTACACTCGCCTGGAACATGGGCCCTACACGCGTGTAGCCAACCGGAGACAGCCACGTGCGCTGCAGCAGCCAATGGCCTTTATGGTCTGCCACGCTGTCATCCCCATCGTTCTCGTCCCTTCCCCCGCTGCCTCGCTTCTCGAAATTCTGCAACCATGGCTCCTCGTTGTTACCCTTTCCTCTACCGTTCGTTTTCGCACCGTTACCACCGCTACCGCCGCTGCCACGCTTCTCTCCTCCCCTTCTAACGCCGTCCCGCGTCTCCTTCTCCCCACGTGACACTAGAACCACGTCATCAGCATCATGGCCTCCGGATACACCGGGTTGCACGGGTGCCGCGTCCGCTTCCAGCAAAACCACGTCATCATCCCCATCCTCGATCAACTGCTGCTCATCATTCAAAGGCGTCCTCACGTCCACGTCAGCTATCCGCTCGTCGGTTACCCGCTCGCCGTCTAGTCGCTTATCTGCCGGCTGCTGGACCGCTGTCCGTCTATTCTCCGCGCACTCTTCGGCCCACACAACGACGACCGTCGCTTTCCGCTTCTCCTCCACTTCGCACAGATCGCACACCCATTCGCCGTCCTTGTCCACGTGGACCTCCTCTCCGCGCGACGCAAGACAGCGAATGTGGTAACCCGCAAAACACAAATCGCACAGTACCGTGCTTTCGTTCTCGTCCTCGCCGCAGACCAAGCATGGCGACGCCGCGGCAGATCCATCGCCAACCCTACCCGGATGTGCGGCAGGGGGTGGCCCTTGAACAGCCCCATCCTCTTCTGTAAACCGCTGGATTTGACACGTGGCGAGTTCTCGTGGACTATCGAAAGTAGGCTCACGTGGCGGTAGGGTCTCAAAGGCGTCGGCGACAGGGACTAGCGCCACCGGAAGTGTCGTGCACATCGCCGGAACGTCGCAAGCCGGCTCCTTATAGTCGCGATGCGCGTCGAGAAAAGGCCGGGAAAAGCGCTGCTCGCAAAGCATCGTTCCCAATCCAATGTACGCAGACCGTTTGCTTCAAATACAAGAGGCCCAGCTTCCAAATCTCAGCTTTGACTAAGCACTAAGGGTTCAATTAATCTCCAAAAAAACTCCAACTTAGCCAAGCAGCCACAAAACGTGCGGATCACGCCAAATATGGCGGATTGCGCAGAGACGCAGTGTTACGGAAGGAGCAAGAGGCGGCCTGCAAAACGTGGAACTGCAACAATCGCTCTAAAAGTGGAGGAACATGGAGGAGAAGCAGAGCTGAAAATTTCAAGATTCTAGAAGGCTGCCTAGCAATCGACTCTTGCTCACTCTTGTTGGCGAGTTCTCCCACTGACTGAGAGGTTACTGTTCGGACTGAGTTTCCCCTATGGTGCTAGAATCGACGCGAGGGGGAGAGGGAGAGTCCGAGAGAGGGCATCGAGCAGGGGTTTCATCCACAGCACTCACGCGATTCGCGAAGCCGCATTTCGCGAACAGGCGTCTGCGAAGGATCGCCGATGTCTGACGTTACGCACCACTGACACGATCGGTGCAGTGGCGCAGCGACACGTGTCAGACGTTACACATTCTTGGGTCACGCAGCTTCGAGTATTGTTTCGCGATCGCGATGTCTCCCCACCGCAGCAGCGGCCAAAAATGTTCTCGTTTCAAACAAACCCTTTATTCGTCAGGAGAATAGGTTGGAATCGATGCATTAAAACAAGCCCTAAAATTCGAAAGAAGGGGAGGGGGCTTTTGGATATTGCCAGTCAGCGCCTACTCTTCAGCCCAGAAACGCGAACCCTAATTCTTGGCCTAGAAGCTTCAGACCAACAGTGCCTTGCGAAGTGTAGCATTTATAGCAGTACATGTTAGCGTTGTTAGTGAATGAACGGGAAAGTCGAAGCGAAGTCTTGAACATACTGGTTACCTCGAGACCCACGCGCTTGGTAGGCGCGGATGGCGGAACAAGTTGACGCGAATCCCAGCAATATTCCCGCAGACGTAGACGGCTGCCAGCTGGCCACTTCTGGCGGCACTTCGTCAACGGCACCCAACCAGTCTAACGGTTTTCCGATGGAAGAGCCAGCAGACGGACAAGGAGACGCGGACGTGAAACCTGCGAGTCGGGAGCCACGTGTCGTTCGGGAAATTGACGTTTTCCTGATGCCACGTGTTGACGATCAAACCAAGGCATGTGTTGAAGCTCGATTTTTGCGTGTGCGACCATCGACAACTTCACTACGTGTTTTCTATTCTCAGACCACCCGCGCTTGGTCCAGGCGTCCCCCCTCCGGTTCTGGCACAACCCACCCACTGTCATATCATCTGAGACTTGCCCTAGTCGTTTCCTCGTGAAACGACCATGCTCGTGCCTTTCCGAGCATGCTCATGCTCATGCTCATGCTCATGCTCATGCTCACCTCTCCGTCTTGCCTCTCTTTGCCTGACTCCACACCATCCCCCATGCCTGCGCCGTCCACCCACTCCCCATGCCCGCACCATCCACCCACTCCCATGCCCGCACCATGCCCCATGCCTGCACCATGCCCCATGCCCGCACCATGCCCCATGCCCGCACCATGCCCCATGCCGGATGCCCTATGCGCCATGTCCCATGCCCCATGCCCCCTGCCCCACGCCCCAGCGCAGCTATACCTGTTCCAGTACCCCCTGCGGCCTGCCTGGCGCCCCTACGGGCTGGAGGAGCGGTGCCAGGAGGTGAGATGCGGTGATAGATGAGTGGCGGGAGGAGATGAGTGGTGGGAGGAGATGAGTGGCGGGGGGAGAGGTGTCAGGAGGAGACATGAGTGACGGATGGGAGGTTATTGATTTGTTTAGGCGTGCCAAATGCGTGTGAAGTGAATCTCAAGGCATGTCTAATGCATGGAAATTCATGTCAAAACACGTGGCCAATCCACTCCAAATGCATGTGGTGTGGATGGAGTGCAGTGTTTTGAGACGTCTCAAAACAATTCATGTCAAAACACGTGGCCAATCCACTCCAAATGCATGTGGTGTGGATGGAGTGCAGTGCATGTCCAATGCATTCAAATGCATGGCAATGGCATGCATGTTTCATTGTGTGTGTGTAAGCGCTCGCCTCAGTAATCGTCTCAGTTCACGCGGCGCTTATCTGTTTCGTGTGTAAGCACTCACGTATCTACTACAGCACGCATTCTCATACGTTTCTTTCTATGTTACATGTGCATTCCTTCTTTCTTGTGATTGATGCGGGTGTGGCATGGCATGGCAGATCCGGGTGCGGCCGTTGCAATCACGGGTTGAGGTGGATCTAGCCATTGATACCACCGACTCCTCTTATGACCACGACTCGGCAGACAACCTGAAACAGACCACCCAGGTGCCACTCGTGCCATGTTTAGCTTATTGATACGATGGCAGATTCGGGTGCTTCCATGGTTGCAATCACGGGTGGAGGTGGGTCTAGCCATCGATACCACCGACTCCTCTTATGACCACGACTCGGCAGACAACCTCAAGCAAACCACACAGGCACGTGTTGTTCACGCGTTGACTGGCACAAGCAGACCACACAGGTGGTGTCCATGTCATGGGTACAATCACGGGTGGAGGTGGGTCTAGCCATCGATACCACCGACTCCTCTTATAATCACGACTCTGCAGACAACCTCAAGCAGACCACGCAGGTGCTGTTTATCCCGTGACTAGAAAAAAATGACCATATTCATCTTGCCGTACGGTCATAGACAAAAGCAACTCCTCTTACAATCATGTCTCAGCATGAAGTTACAGACATAAGCAGGTTTTGTTCATTCTGTAACCAACAAATAGGTTTATGGAACCAGGTGACTTTTGAGTCAACTCAAAGGTCATCACCTCGTTACAACGACATAAGCAGGAAACTTCACGCTGGTTTTGTTCAAGGATCAAGGTTCATCGTGGAGTAGCTGCAAACCTGTAGAAATCACTTAAGCAATAGGAAACTTCACGCGGATTCGTTCATACTGTAACCAACATATAGGTTTATGGAACCCAGCTGCGACTGTATTTATGGAGAGTTGGCAAACACTGCATGACATGCTCCTTCCCACCCCTCTTTCATGTCGTCCTCCTCCTCCATCGCTCCACCTCGCTCACCTTCAAAGCGTCTCAAAACCCAATTATTTCTCCGCTCCCTCACTTTCTCCCTTGCTCCTCCCTCACTTTCTCCCTTGCTCCTCCCTCACTTTCTCCCTTGCTCCTCCCTCACTTTCTCCCTTGCTCCTCCCTCACTTTCTCCCTTGCTCCTCCATCACTTTCTCCCTTGCTCCTCCATCACTTTCTCCCTTGCTCCTCCCTCACTTTCTCCCTTGCTCCTCCCTCACTTTCTCCCTTGCTCCTCCCTCACTTTCTCCCTTGCTCCTCCATCACTTTCTCCCTTGCTCCTCCCTCACTTTCTCCCTTGCTCCTCCCTCACTTTCTCCCTTGCTCCTCCCTCACTTTCTCCCTTGCTCCTCCCTCACTTTCTCCCTTGCTCCTCCCTCACTTTCTCCCTTGCTCCTCCATCACTTTCTCCCTTGCTCCTCCCTCACTTTCTCCCTTGCTCCTCCCTCACTTTCTCCCTTGCTCCTCCCTCACTTTCTCCCTTGCTCCTCCCTCACTTTCTCCCTTGCTCCTCCATCACTTTCTCCCTTGCTCCTCCCTCACTTTCTCCCTTGCTCCTCCCTCACTTTCTCCCTTGCTCCTCCCTCACTTTCTCCCTTGATCCTCCCTCACTTTCTCCCTTGCTCCTCCCTCACTTTCTCCCTTGCTCCTCCATCACTTTCTCCCTTGCTCCTCCCTCACTTTCTCCCTTGCTCCTCCCTCACTTTCTCCCTTGCTCCTCCCTCACTTTCTCCCTTGCTCCTCCATCACTTTCTCCCTTGCTCCTCCCTCACTTTCTCCCTTGCTCCTCCATCACTTTCTCCCTTGCTCCTCCATCACTTTCTCCCTTGCTCCTCCCTCACTTTCTCCCTTGCTCCTCCCTCACTTTCTCCCTTGCTCCTCCCTCACTTTCTCCCTTGCTCCTCCATCACTTTCTCCCTTGCTCCTCCCTCACTTTCTCCCTTGCTCCTCCCTCACTTTCTCCCTTGCTCCTCCCTCACTTTCTCCCTTGCTCCTCCCTCACTTTCTCCCTTGCTCCTCCCTCACTTTCTCCCTTGCTCCTCCATCACTTTCTCCCTTGCTCCTCCCTCACTTTCTCCCTTGCTCCTCCCTCACTTTCTCCCTTGCTCCTCCCTCACTTTCTCCCTTGCTCCTCCCTCACTTTCTCCCTTGCTCCTCCATCACTTTCTCCCTTGCTCCTCCCTCACTTTCTCCCTTGCTCCTCCCTCACTTTCTCCCTTGCTCCTCCCTCACTTTCTCCCTTGATCCTCCCTCACTTTCTCCCTTGCTCCTCCCTCACTTTCTCCCTTGCTCCTCCATCACTTTCTCCCTTGCTCCTCCCTCACTTTCTCCCTTGCTCCTCCCTCACTTTCTCCCTTGCTCCTCCATCACTTTCTCCCTTGCTCCTCCCTCACTTTCTCCCTTGCTCCTCCCTCACTTTCTCCCTTGCTCCTCCCTCACTTTCTCCCTTGCTCCTCCCTCACTTTCTCCCTTGCTCCTCCCTCACTTTCTCCCTTGCTCCTCCATCACTTTCTCCCTTGCTCCTCCCTCACTTTCTCCCTTGCTCCTCCATCACTTTCTCCCTTGCTCCTCCCTCACTTTCTCCCTTGCTCCTCCCTCACTTTCTCCCTTGCTCCTCCATCACTTTCTCCCTTGCTCCTCCCTCACTTTCTCCCTTGCTCCTCCCTCACTTTCTCCCTTGCTCCTCCATCACTTTCTCCCTTGCTCCTCCCTCACTTTCTCCCTTGCTCCTCCCTCACTTCCTCCCTTGCTCCTCCCTCACTTTCTCCCTTGCTCCTCCATCACTTTCTCCCTTGCTCCTCCCTCACTTTCTCCCTTGCTCCTCCCTCACTTTCTCCCTTGCTCCTCCATCACTTTCTCCCTTTCTCCTCCCTCACTTTCTCCCTTGCTCCTCCATCACTTTCTCCCTTGCTCCTCCCTCACTTTCTCCCTTGCTCCTCCATCACTTTCTCCCTTGCTCCTCCCTCACTTTCTCCCTTGCTCCTCCCTCACTTTCTCCCTTGCTCCTCCCTCACTTTCTCCCTTGCTCCTCCATCACTCTATCCTCTTTCCTGCCAGACGCTCACCTCGTCTCAGCTGCATCTGGCCACCAACTATGCTGTGGGCATGCTGCAAGGCGACCAGGTGTGTGCATCACTCGCTTGCTTGCTTGCTTGCTTTCCTTCTTTATTTCTTTTGCTTATGAACCTGCCCTTCTTATGAGCATGCTATCGGCATGCTGCAAGGCGACCAGGTGTGTGCCTTGTCTGCTGGCTGGCTGGCTGGCAGGCAGGCAGGCTTGCGTGCTAGCCTGGTTGCAAACGTCCATGCTCAAACGCTTGTTCTTTTTCTTGCCTTGCACTGTGCCCTGCTAGTGAATCTCACTCGCTGCTATCTCTCTCTCTCGCGCCATGCCGATCCAATCTGGCTGCCTATAAACCATGCAACAAGGCATTCAAAGTAGCAGAAAGAGGTGCGTCCCTTGTTGGGCTGCCCCGTACATGCCTGCTCTACCCCTCCCTCTTTCTTCCCCCCACAGCTACATCTGAATCCGATACACGCAGTGGTGCAGCTGTGGCTGCCACTAGCTTACCTTGACCATCGCAAGGGGGGGATCGCTTACCTTGAACATCGCAAGGGGGGGATCGCTTACCTTACCTGTGTCTGTTTCTCCCGTCCTCTTTACCTTCCCCTTCCCCCCACCCACCCGCTGATTCCCCCCCACAGCCAAACCTGAATCCCCTGCATGCGGTGGTGCAGCTTTTGAGACGTCTCAAAAGTCGCTGATTCCCCCCCACAGCCAAGTCTGAATTCCCTGCATGCGGTGGTGCAGCTGCGGCCGTCCTGGATTAGATTACTTGGACAGTGCAGCAGACAAGGCGGAGGGGGGGACGCACTCACTTGTGCCTACTCCCTCCTTCCTCTTGCCCACCCCCCCACCCCGCTGCTCCCCCCCCCTCCCCCTTCCCTGACTCCAACCCCAGCTTCACTTGAATCCCCTGCATGCAGTGGTGCAGCTACGGCCGTCACTGGATTACCTGGACAGTGCAGCAGACAAGGCGGAGGGGGGGATATTGATCTGTGTCTGCTCCCGCTTGCTTCTGTTTTCTCTTCCCTGCTCTTACCCCCCCCCTCCACCCCCCTTCCCCACAGCTTCATCTGAACCCGTTGCATGCAGTGGTGCAGTTACGGCCGTCACTAGATTACCTGGACAGTGCAGCAACAGACAAGGCGGAGGGGGGAAATACTGATCTGTGTCTGCTCCCCAAGGTGACTGTTGAGTCGACTCAAAAGTCACCTTGGAATACTGATATGTGTCTGCTCCCCATTTCCACTCTCTTCTCCCCCCCGCTCGTATCTTCCTTCCCCGCCCCTCTTCCCCCTCTCCCTCTCCCTCTCCCTCTCCCCCCACAGCTTCATCTGAATCCGTTACATGCAGTGGTGCAGCTGCGGCCGTCACTATATTACTTGGACAGTGCAGTGCAGCAGAGAAGGCGGAAGAAGGGAATCACTGACTTGTGTGTCCGCTTTCCCCTTCCTCTTTCCCTTTCCCCGCACCCACCCACATATCTGCACCCCCCAGCTTCATCTGAACCCGTTGCATGCAGTGGTGCAGCTGTGGTCGTCACTAGATTACTTGGACAGTGCAGCAGACAAGGCGGAGGGGGGTAATGGCTGACTTGTGTCTGCTCTTTTCGTCCTCTTGCTCCCCCCCATCTGCTCTTATCCCCTTCCCCCTTTTCCACAGCTCCATCTGAATCCCCTGCATGCAGTGGTGCAGCTACGGCCGTCTTTAGATTACTTGGACAGTGCAGCAGACAAGGCGGAGGGGGGTAATGGCTGACTTGTGTCTGCTCTTTTCGTCCTCTTGCTCCCCCCCATCTGCTCTTATCCCCTTCCCCCTTTTCCACAGCTCCATCTGAATCCCCTGCATGCAGTGGTGCAGCTACGGCCGTCTTTAGATTACTTGGACAGTGCAGCAGACAAGGCGGAGGGGGGTAATGGCTGACTTGTGTCTGCTCTTTTCGTCCTCTTGCTCCCCCCCATCTGCTCTTATCCCCTTCCCCCTTTTCCACAGCTCCATCTGAATCCCCTGCATGCAGTGGTGCAGCTACGGCCGTCTTTAGATTACTTGGACAGTGCAGCAGACAAGGCGGAGGGGGGTAATGGCTGACTTGTGTCTGCTCTTTTCGTCCTCTTGCTCCCCCCCATCTGCTCTTATCCCCTTCCCCCTTTTCCACAGCTCCATCTGAATCCCCTGCATGCAGTGGTGCAGCTACGGCCGTCTTTAGATTACTTGGACAGTGCAGCAGACAAGGCGGAGGGGGGCAAGGGCAAGAAGAAGGGGGCAGGGGAGGCGGCGGAGGAGGAGGAGATGGGGGATGGGGAGGATGGGGAGGCGGGGCCTGTGGCTCTGGAGGTAAGAGAATGGGTTGAAGGTGGTTGAAAGGTGGTCAAGGATGGTTAAAAGGGTGTGAGTAGTGACGAGGGGACGTGAGTTGGGGAGATGGATATGGGATTAAAGGGGGATGAGGAATACGTGTGAAAGGGTGAATAGGCGAGGCAGTGACGGGGTTAGTGTGTGGGGTAGGGGAAGAGCAGTGGAGGAGAGGGGAGGAGGGGATGATCGATGTGTGTCGTCGATTCAAAGTCATCCTTGCTGTGTGCTTGCATCGTTGCCCCAAGGCACCCAATACCATAAACCCGTGCCATATTGGTGCGACTTTTGAGAATTCTCAAAAGGGCGGGCACTGCCTGAATGCACGTATCGTATGTACGCTGTGAGTTGAGTTTTGAGTCGACTCAAAACTCGACTCACTACACGCAGGCACTGCCTGAATGAATGCACGTATCGTATCGTATGTACGCTGTGTTGAGTTGAATTTGAACCACACCGTGCAGTGCAGGTGAGCTTGAAGAAGAGGAGACAGAGGAGCAGGAGGAGATGCGCCGGCAGTCGTGCTTCAAGGCGCCTCCCAGCTAAGGATGCACACCGTATGCATGCTGTTTTGAAACCCCACTGTAACCCCCACTGTAACCTGACCCCCGCCCACCTGCAGGTGAGCTTGAAGAAGAGGGAGACAGAGGAGCAGGAGGAGATGCGGCTGCAGTCATATGCACACATCCATGCCCTGCGCGAGAAGGAGGTCAGTGGAGTTTCTGCCATTGTGAAACCAATGTATTTGTATCCGTATTTGCATGTGTACTTGTATTTGTATTTGTATTTGTATTTGTATTTGTATTTGTATTTGTATTTGTTGTATTTGTATTTGTATTTGTATCCGTATTTGTATTTGTATTTGTATTTGTATTTGTATTTGTATCCATATTTGTATCCGTTTTTGCACCTGTATTCCTATTCATATTTTTATTTGTATTCGTATTTGGTTGTATTTGTATTTGTATTTGTATTCGTATCTGTATTCGTATTCGTATTTGTACTTGTATTTGTATTGATGTTCGTATTCGTGCTCGCATCTATGGCTGTACACGTGAATCACTGCCATGCAAGTTTGAGTGAGAGGCATTTGCTGCCCACACACACCCCCCTCTGCTGCCCAAACAGCATTCCGCATTCCGTATCTCTCCCCATTCCGCTCCCCGTATCTCACCTTATTTCTCTCCCCATTCCTGCCCCCGTTCTTTTCCACATTCCTCTTCCCATACCTCTCAGTATTTGTCTCCTCATGCCTTTCTCCATGTCTCCCATCCATCCCGTACCTCCCATGCCTCTTCTCTTCCCCTTTCCAGCCATGGCAGCAGCTGCAGGCCTTCTCAGCGTCGAGCCACGAGGCAGCAGCAGCGCTTCTTTACCCACTTCACCCCTTCCCATGTCTCCTCCCATTTCGCCTCCCGTTTCTCCTCCCTTCCCCTGCCCTTTCCCTTTCCCTTTCCAGCCATGGCAGCAGCTGCAGGCCTTCTCAGCATCACGCGAGGAGGCAGCAGCAGTCCTTCTTTACCCGCCTCATCCCTTTCCATGTCTCCTCCCATGCCCTGCTTTACACTTGTGCAGCCGTGCCAGCAGCTGCAGGCGTTCTCAGCATCAAGCGAGGAGGCAGCAGCAGTGCTTCTTTACTCGCCTCACCCCTTCCCATGTCTCCACCCATGCCTCCTCCCATGCCCTGCTTTACACTTGTGCAGCCGTGGCAGCAGCTGCAGGCCTTCTCAGCATCGAGCGAGGAGGCAGCAGCAGTGCGGGCGCGCATGCTGGTGGGGGGAGGCGGGGCAGGAGGGGAGGGGGGCAAGAAGCAGGGGGCGGTAAAAAAGGAGGAGGGTGCGATGGAGGTGGATGGAGCAGTGAAGGTCGAGAAGGGGCAACCAGAGGGAGAGAGGGAAAGGGTGGAAGGTGGAGGAGCGGGAGTGGGGCAAGGGGAAGGGGTGGATATGGATGGGGAAGGGGAGGAAGCAGCTGGTGCTGTTGCCGATGTGCCTTTCACCCTCCCTCAGTATGTCCCTTCCCTTCCCTTCCCAGTTGCTCTGTGTGCTTTTCACACTCCCTCAATGTGTGCCGTTCTCTCTCTCTCTCTCTGTGTTTTTGTGTGCACTCCCCTCTCTCATTCCCTGTCTAGTAGCAATTCCCCCCAGAGCCCGCACCCGCTCGCTCTCTCCCCCTCCTTGCCCCCTTGCGATTGCCACTGCTGCTTTCATCCTGTCACTTCACTGCTTGGCGCCTGCTTCTTACACTCCTCCCCGCACACCCCCCACTTCCCCCCTGCCCCCACCCCGCTGCCTCCACTTCCGCCTTGCACCGCCCCCACCCCCCCCCCAACGCACACCACTTCCCCCCAGTGTGGCCTTCATCGACACACTCCAACTGCCTCTCCTCTCCCACTCCCACTGAAGCTTCCTCACCTTTCCCAACCTCCACTCCCCTTCCTTCCTTTCTCCCCCCCTGCCGTTCCCTCTCCCGTTACTACTCCTCCCCGCCACTCCCCCAGTGCGGCCTACATCCAAGCACTGGTGGGGTCCTGCCTCTCGCACTCCTCCGCTGCTGCTGCTGAGATCCGAGGCATCTCAGGCCTCTCCAAGAGGTGAGGGGTTTGTCCAAGGGGTGAGGCCTCTCCAAGAGGTGAGAAAAACAAATGTTAATGCAAGCTGGGCTCTTTGGTTCTGGAATGCCCGGCTGTGAACCCCTCTCCCAAGGCCAGCACACATCTTCCAGTTAGACCAGCTGATCAATCTGGCGCGTCGATTACTGAGCATCGATTACTGAGCGTCGATTACTGGCGCGTCGATTACTGGCGCGTCGATTACTGGCGCGTCGATTACTGAGCGTCGATTACTGGCGCGTCGATTACTGGCGCGTCGATTACTGGCGCGTCGATTACTGGCGCGTCGATTACTGAGCGTTGATTACTGGCGCGTCGATTACTGAGCGTCGATTACTGGCGCGTCGATTACTGGCGCGTCGATTACTGGCGCGTCGATTACTGAGCGTCGATTACTGGAGCGTCGATTACTGGCGCGTCGATTACTGAGCGTCGATTACTGGCGCGTCGATTACTGGCGCGTCGATTACTGGCGCGTCGATTACTGGCGCGTCGATTACTGGCGCGTCGATTACTGGCGCGTCGATTGCTGGCGCGTCGATTACTGGCGCGTCGATTGCTGGCGCGTCGATTACTGGCGCGTCGATTACTGGCGCGTCGATTACTGGCGCGTCGATTACTGGCGCGTCGATTACTGGCCCTCCTTGCACGCGCCAAGACACACGTATCCCAGTTCGACCACTGATGATGAAGCTGCTGCTGCTGCCACACCCCCTCTTCACCCCCCCTTCCCCAGCTACCTGAATTCCCTCTCTCTGAAGTGTCGCGTCGCCTGCTGGCTGGCGCCGGCTACTAGCGCTCCCCTCACGGGCCAGGACGCACGTCTTCCAATTCCACTTCCATCAGCTGATGACGCTGCTGCCGCTTCCTTCCCCCACTTTCACCCGTGGCTCCCCTCCCTCCCTCCCGCGTTCTCCCTTTTACTCCTGTGACTCATTGCCTCTGGAGCGCCGGCTACTAGCGCCCCCTTCACGGGCGAGGACGCACATCCTCCTCTCCCAACGGCTGATGAATCTGCTCTGCTCTCTCTCTCTCTCTCTTCCCACTCCTCCCCATTCCCCGGCTACCTCGACTCCTTGCCTCTGGAGCGCCGGTTACTAGCCCTCCTCTCGTGAGCCAAGACACACATCTTCCACTTCCCCGGCTCAGAAGCTGTTGCTGCCCCACCCTCACCTCCCCTTCCCCCAATCCCCTCCTTCCTCAGCTACTTGGAGAATCTGCCTCTGGAGCGCTTTTGAGAATTTTCAAAAGCGACTCAGATTTGGTCGCCTACCAGCCCTCCGGTTGCGCGCCAAGGCCTGCCTGATGAAGCTGCTGCCCCTCCCTCTCTCCCTCCTTTACCCTTCTCCCCTTCCGCCCTCCCGCCCTCCCGCTTCGTCCCTTATTATACTCTCAGCTACCTGGACTCCTTGCCTCTGGAGCGGCGGTTACTAGCCCTCCTCTCACGCGCCGAGACACACATCTTCCAGTTCCACGGCCTCTTAAATCCGCCTCTCCTCTCCGCTCTGTCTTTTTTCCCTGCTTTCCCCCAGCTACTTGGATTGTCTGCCTCTGGAGCGGCGGTTACTAGCCCTCCTCTCACGCGCCAAGACACACATCTTCCAGTTCGACCGGCTGATGAATCTGCTGCCAGCAGGCACGCAGCAGCAGCAGGTGCTGGCGCTGCTGCAACACAAGGCACTGCTGGTGCAGGTGAGGGGAATTGGAGAAGAGGGGCGGTTTTTATGAACGGAGGGGCTTGTCTTGTGAGCATATAATTTGTTGCCAGCAGGCTTGAGCAGCAGCAGCAGCAGGTGCTGGCGCTGCTGCAACACAAGGCACTGCTGGTGCAGGTGAGGGGAATTGGAGAAGAGGGGCGATTTTTATGAACGGAGGGGCTTGTCTTGTGAGCATATAATTTGTTGCCAGCAGGCTTGAGCAGCAGCAGCAGCAGCAGGTGCTGGCGCTGCTGCAACACAAGGCACTGCTGGTGCAGGTGAGGTTGGAGAGGAGGGGATAGCGGAGAGGGGCAAGGGGAAGGTTTGAATGAAAGGCACACAGAGGGGTATGACGTGCCTTGGGTGTTGGAGCTGTGCAAGCCAGCACCTGCTACTGCAAGCCTGCATAAGATTGTTTCTTTAGTCGACTCAAAAGTGACTTTTGAGGTGACTTTTGAGTCGACTCAAAAGTCAGAGGGGTTTGAAGTGCCTTGGGTGTTGGAGCAGTGCCAGCCAGCACCTGCTACTGCAAGCCTGCATAAGATTGTTGCCAGCAGGCACGCAGCAGCAGCAGCAGGTGCTGGCACTGGTGTAGCACATGGCGCTGCTGGTGCAGGTGCGGTGGGGGGATGTGAGTGTGACCGCACAACAAGTGGCAAAAAGGTGCATAGAGGTGCATACAGTAGGCAGCAGGCACGTATCATCATCAGCCGCAGCATCAGCAGCAGCAGCAGCAGCAGCAGCAGCAGCAGCAGCAGCAGCAGCAGCAGCAGCAGCAGCAGCAGCAGCAGCAGCAGCAGCAGCAGCAGCAGCAGCAGCAGCAGCGGCAGGTGCTGGCAAGAACAGTGTTAATCACCACTGACATTCCAGTCTAGACCAGATCCAGTATGCACCGCGTTATTTGCTCAAGTCTTCTCCCCCTCCCCTTCCCCTTCCTTCTCAATCCTCCCTCCCCACTTCCCCCGGCCTGCTCGGTGGCTCCCATCCCACCTCCATGCACTGCCGCGTGGCTCCCAGCTCCATGCACTGCCGCGTGGCTCCCAGCTCCATGCACTGCCGCGTGGGGCCCAGCTCCATGCACTGCCGCGTGGGGTGGGGCCCACTTGTGTGCTGCCAACTCTTGTCCCGTTCCCCCGTGCTCCCCTCACTCTCCTTAGTCCCCTCACTCCCCCCACTTGCCCCTCTCCCCCTCCCTACTCACCAGGGCTGCTGGGTGGCGCCCAGCTCAATGCGCTGCTCCGTGGGACCCACCAGTGTGCTGCCAACTGTTGTCTTGATCCCTCCTGCTCCCTTCACTCTCTTTAGTCCCCTCACTTTCCCCAACTTCCTCACCCCCCCTCTCCACTGCGCTCCAGGGCTGCTGGGTGGCGCCCAGCTCAATGCGCTGCCCCGTGGGGCCCACCTGTGTGCTGCGCGACCTGCTGCTGCTGCTATTCACCAAGCACCGTGTCATTCGCCAGGAGCATGTGGCGCACCTCAAGGTGGGTTTTGGATGTTTCCTCCCTCTGCTGCTGCTACTGCAGCTGCTTCTTCTCCTCCTCCTCCTCCTGCTCCTCCTCCTCCTCCTCCTCCTCCTCCTCCTCCTCCTCCTCCTCCTCCTCCTCCTCCTCCTCCTCCTCCTCCTCCTCCTCCTCCTCCTCCTCCTCCTCCTCCTCCTCCTGCTGCTGCTGCTGGCTGCTGCTCTTCACCAAACACTGAGTCGTTCACAGAGTGCTTGTAGAGTATTTTTGAGAATTCTCAGAAATACTCAGCGTATGTTTTTAGGAGTGCTTGTAGAGTACTCCTGAAATACTCACATTGAGGAGTGCTTGTAGAGTATTTTTGAGAATTCTCAAGAATTACTCGTCACCAAACACCGAGTTGTTCACCGAGTGCTTGTCGCACACCTCAAGGTGGGCGTGGTAGCGAGGAAGTTACTCCTGTCCATCAGAGTCCCCGGGGGGGCATTGCCATTCAGTCCATGCATTGCCATTCAGTCGATGCATTGCCATTCAGTCGATGCATTGCCATTCAGTCGATGCATTGCCATTCAGTCGATGCATTGCCGTTCAGTCGATGCATTGCCATTCAGTCGATGCATTGCCATTCAGTCGATGCATAGCCATTCAGTCGATGCATTGCCATTCAGTCGATGCATTGCCATTCAGTCGATGCATTGCCATTCAGTCGATGCATTGCCATTCAGTCGATGCATTGCCATTCAGTCCATGCATTGCCATTCAGTCGATGCATTGCCATTCACTCGATGCATTGCCATTCAGTCGATGCATTGCCATTCAGTCGATGCATTGCCATTCAGTCGATGCATTGCCTTGGCACTCTCTATCCACCTCTAACCTTCTCTCGCCAGGTACCCATCCTTCATTCATCCCTCACCAGGTACTCAAGGAGCTACTGAGGGAACTATTACTGTCCATAGGCATTCCCAGGGGGGTACAGCCTTTCGTTCAATCCCTGTCCATCTCACTCTACCGACCTCCACCGACGCCCACCCCTACGCATCCTTTACCCATCCTTCAATCATCTCTCACCAGGTACCAAAGGAGTTACTGAGGGAGCTATTACTGTCCATAGGCATTCCCAGGGGGCCCAACACAGGCTGGGAGTTTGCCGAACCAACAGACCAGGCCTTCCTCGACTCCCACCCCGCCATAGCTAAGGAGCAGCTTCGGCGCTGGATGGCCGCCGAGCCTGCGATCCTCCGAGCCTCTCGCGCCCTCTCCCTGGCCTCCATGGCTGACGTGGCAGCAGCTTCGGCAGCTGCTGCTGCGGCCAAGGCTGCTGCTGCTGGGGGAGGGGCAGGTAGGGGCGGGGGAGGCAGGGCCGGGCCTGGGGGAGGCTTGGGAGCGCCCAAGGCTGGTCTGGCAGGCCGTGGGGCAGGTTTGGCAGGACGAGGGGCGGGATTGGCGGGGCGAGGAGCAGGTCTGGGAAGAGGTTCGGGCGGTCCGAGCCTGCAGGCTGGTGCTGTGGCAGGGACAGCAGGTGCAGCAGCGTGTGCAGTAGTAGCTGCAGCAGCAGGGGGGGGGGGGGGAGCAGGAGCAGCAGGAGGCACAGTGGGGGCGGTGGGGCAGAGCTTGAGCGCCGAAACACGGGAGGCACTTCCCGGTGCTCTACGGAAGATATTCGCCCAACACCACGTGTGCAGGTAGATACATGTGATTTGATGTGACCTTCTTGGTATGGCTTGCATGGCTGGGATGGGATGGGAAGGGATGGGAAGGGATGCCTCTTGACTTGCTCCTCTTGGTAGACCCATCCTCTGCATTAGATTTTAGGTGCTCTCTCACAAGTCGCTCCCACCCTTTCCCACCCCTCCCCACCATTCCCAGTCTGCCCTTTCTATGCCAGCAGCTGCAGCGAGCAGCGGAGGAGCAGCAGAGGGCGGCAGGGGCGTCACCTCAGGCTGTAGCGGCGGCTGTAGTGGCAGCCAAGGCTGCGAAAGCTCCCGCCAATGAGCTCGCGACAGCTGTCTCAGAGGTGCTTTCTGGGGTTTTTGTTGCATGCACGTTGTGGTTCACTTGTTCATGCTCACTCATGCACACATTGCATTGCATGCCTCCGTTGGACTGTTCCTTTGAATGCGATGAACTGTCGAAATTTGAATCACAATATTTTGTGGTTCACCTATTTACGACTATTCCTGCAGCTATCTCCGCTCAGGCGTGCATGCACTCACTGACACACGGCTCACATTGTCACTGAATGTTACTCATTTGTCACACATTGACAGACATTGACTCACACTTCCACACAGTGTCACACATTCACGAGTTTTTACTGATTGTGACACATTGTTACACACTGTCTCTCATTGTCAGCACATTGTCACACATTCTTCTCTCATTGTCTCACATCGTCACACATTCTTCACTCGTCATCTCACATTGTCACACATTCTTCACTCGTCTCCCATTGTCACACGTTTCTCACTGATTGTCTCACATTGTCTCACATTGCCACACATTTCTCACTCATTGTCACACATTGACACAACTTGGTCATGCATTGTCTTGCGTTGTCACAAATTGTCCCACATTGTGTCGCACACTCCCGCATGATCTCACATTGTCACATGGTGCCATCCTCTCACATTGTCACATGGTGCCATCCTCTTACATGGTTACTACAGCCTCTTAGTTATCAAGTGCCCTTTGTCATGTGCCTTTTGATCCTGCCTGCTTTCCTGCCTGCTTTCCTGCCTGCTTTCCTGCCTGCTTTCCTGCTTGCTTTTCTGCCTGCATAACTTAACCCAATGACATGCCTGCGTGCCGTGTCCCATGCAGGTGGCCACCAGCATCAACGGAATATACTTCCTCCCGACACTCAATGATCCAGAAGTCGATCCCTTCAGGTGCTCCCTTTTCTTTGAGAAGAAAAGGGTCATGTTTTTCTCGTATGCTTTCTCGTTTCTTTTATTTTTTTGCTTTTGGCTGCCATCATGTGCCTTCTCCTGTGTCCTTCTCAGCTGTCCTGCATCTACCAGGCAAGGGTGAATAAAAATGCACAACCCTTTCAAAACCCCTGAAAGAATGTGTTGTAACCTCTTCCCTCACTCCCTCCCTCCGTCCCAATGCATGCCACAGGGAGGTGGTGATTGCGCTGCTGAGAGCCAAGGGTGCAGGGGGGGTAGGGCTGAAGCGAACAGAGATAGTGGAGGCCACGCGCATTGCACTCAAAGCTCAAGTGCCCGCTGCAACGTACCAACGGGTGAGCCTGGCTTCCTCCCTGCTGCAAAGGACCGCGACTGCTTGCATTTCTCCTTTGTTTTCTCCACTGTTTCCTTTTAAGCTCAACACCGCTATTCTTGTTTGGCTTGACCTTTTTACAAGCAGGTTTTGAAGGAGTTGTGTGTCACTAATGGTGCTGCATGGGTGTTGAAGCCAGGGGATGGTAGCACAGTGTAGGCTCCACGTCGTGCTGCACTGGTGTCTTTGTGAAGCACATGCAGTGCTGAATTTCTGCAACGATGTGCAAGCTGTGCAAGTGGGAGCATGTGTTTGTAAAACACCAGAATAAGAGCATTTCTGCCATTTGCATTCATCACAAACTCAGTTCATCCTGAGGTAAGGGAGCTGGCTACACAAATGAAGCAATGACAAAATTGAAACTGGTTGCTTGTCTTTGACCTTACAGTCGTTCATGTGATAACCTGGCTGCAGTTGCATAACTTGTTCCAGACACAGCACGACATGTAAGCAGTAAGTACATATACACCTTGCCAGACATGGTTAGCACTACAGGGATCAAACAAGACCTACACAAAAGCAAATATTTTACAATACTACACCTTGTCAATGCTGCCAGCCACATCAGAAGCATTCACACGCACCAGATATTTTTACCACTCCTATTGTCACATCTCAGTCTTCAAGGCCGCCAGGGAGGCCTCACTGCAGCCACCCTTGTCACCCTCACATTGCCTTTCTTCCCCTCAGATTTCACACTGTCAACTGTCACCTGCCGCCTCCTGGTTTGTTCCTTGGATCCTGTACCATTGTCAGAACACACAGACCCATGCAGAACCTTCTTCTCCTCCACTGCCACGCTCTTCACAGCAGGAGCAGGGGTGCTCCTAGGCTTGGGAATGCGTGAACACACTGATTCAAGCAGGACCTTCCTCTGCTCTGCAGCAACGGCATTCAAAGCAGGAGCACGAGCGTTGCCAGGCTTGGGAATGCGCGTTGGCAGCAGCTTCAAGCTAGCCAATGCCATTCTCGAGACTGAGCGCTTGCTTGAAGCCAGCTCTGTAGCCGCTGCTGACTTCAAGACTTGGTTGGGTTCCCGCTTCGAGTCACCATTGCTGTCCTTTTTTAGCTTGCTGTGACCAGCAGTGATGGCCTCTCTGGTCACTGCTGCCCAAGGCACGCCAAAACAGAAGCTTTTGCAGTAGTCCACGTAATCTTCACTGCTGTAAAGACGCGTCGCGTTACCAAAGCTGCTACTGAGAAGCGTCTTGCAGCTGCTGTCCACCATGCTAATCATGCTGGCGACGATGCTGCCAACACTCACCCTGTCACACTCCATCCGTAAGTCCTTGTTTGACAGTTCAACCGGAGCCTCAGTGGATGCCTCTGCAGGCACAGGGAAGTCATCCGCAGCTCCAGAAAACTCCTCTGAGGTTTCAGAGGAGTACCCTGCAGCCCCGTACGAGAATTCTTCCGTCTCAACGGAACCCACAGCAGCCACGGAAGACTCTTCTGCAGCCTCAGAGGAATCCCATGAAGCGTCAATCCGCGGTTCCTCCTCCTCTGCAGCCGAACAGGAAGGTGATAGAGCTGGGAGTTGAACCTGCGACTGCACGGGAGCATCCCGATTCTTCCAGAGACGAAGGGCTTCAGAGAAACAAGGATAATCAGCTTGGGCCATGAGAATCTAGTGGTACTTGAGTGAGATAAGTGGAGAATGCCTCGAGAACAAAGCTTCGACGGTAGGAAACTTGGAGCACCGTAGCAAGTGAGAAGCTTTGTAGGAAGATTGATATCAAGACTCTTACAGAACTTGGAAGTAAGACTCTGAGAACGATTGGGCTGAGGAAATGATAATTTGTAAATGAGGTGAGGGGGCAGGAGGCAGAGGGGAGGAGGGAGGAGGATTGCGGGGAGCAGCAGCAGAGGGGTAAAACAGGCTTGGAGAACTTTTGTTGCACTTTCCGCCTCCGGGAACTTCTGAGGCCTGCTCCGGCAGCTGCCCGGCTTGAAATTTCTACAAGGGCAAACGTACTAAACGATTTTGCAGGCTGCTCGATTTTCACGGGCAAGGCTGCGGCGCGAAACATTTTGGTTCCGCTGCCCTTCAAGAGATGGTTGTTTTAGGCTCGGACGAGGTCGCTGTTTCGTTGCGACGAGGCTAGCGAGGCTCGTTGCGATATGATCGACACTGCGCGCTTTCGGAGATTCACTTCGACGGGTCAAAAAAATATTACGCAAAATGTTTATCCCCAGTCTCAGGTCGGTACCAACTGAAGAAACGGCAATGCGTAACAGACAAGCGGAAGCGGGAATTACGCGCAGCTAATCGTATACTTTCGCCTGCCCGTTCGAAAACAAAACAAAACAGCAGTTCTCTAGGTTCCGACGATTCCGTGGAGTGGCAGCAGCCAAAGGCTCGGTGAAGATCCAACGGGGGTCCGTGACCGGAGACAATCGAGGAGTCATAGCCAAACTAAACTCTGAACCAAGCTCTTGCAGATGAATTTGGAGCCGTATGGGAGGTTTGAATCTGTATTCGGTACAGAGTTTTCGTGACTTCACAGCTCATACCATTCCAGAACGTTTCCAATCAGTGTGTTTCATCAGGGCGCTTACAGAAGGGTGTGGTTCCCACTGCCTAGGCATTTGCAGAACCAAGAAGTGGATTGACAAACAATAATCATACGGTATGGGTGTTACGTTTGTTAGGCTACTGCGAGGTGCATTGTATAGGGTACAACGCTTTCTAGTCACAAATTATTCTGCTGTGCTATTCTGACATGGTAATAGAGCTTGTGGGAGAACAAGAGGTTTGCCTGATAAGAGGTCATATTGGAAACAGGCCCTTAAAGGGGAACAACATAAGGGATGGATTTACATACTTGTTACCCATCTCTAACATCCTCCCCTTGCCTTTCTGGGCAACTTGGGCGCTGAGACAAAGCGGCAGAGCAGAGCATTACGATTCCTTATTTGTACACGTTTATTTACACTTCAAATGTCAGACCACTGCTTGCGAAGGTACAGTGATTCACTACCATTCCCCAAAATTGACAGCCACAAAGCCAGCCAGCGAGCGGCCAATGGTGGAGCGCAGCTCGTTCATAAGGCGACTCCAGTTGGACAAACCTAGAGTCGTCTCTTCCCGTCTCAAACCCTGTGCTGTGGTGAAACTACCACTCCCCAAAATTGACGGCCACGAAGCCGGCTAGCAAGCGGCCGTTGGTGGAGCGCAGCTCGTTCATGAGGCGACTCCAGTTGGAGCCGAGGCTGCCAACAAAGTAATCGCACTGTGCTGCAATGAGCACGCTCGCAAAGCTCACCGCCACTGATTGGTCTCGCTCGTACTGCCGTAGCGACCCCGCTGCGTCCTGCTGCCGCGCGTTGGACGAGTAGAAGAAAGTCCATGAGGGCTGATCCGCTGCTCGGTCCACGTTGGCCTGTGTGGTGTGAGGAGAAGAGGCCGAGGGGGGGAAAGCAAAAAGGCTGATAGGACCAGACAGTGAAGCAATCCCTTTGGCGCGTCCCGCTGCCGTGTGTTGGATGAGTAGAAGAAAGTCCGGGAGGGTTGATCCGCTGCTCGGTCCACGTTGGCCTGTGTGGTGTGAGGAGAAGAGGAGGTTGGATTGGAGTGAGCACACAGACTGACGGGACCAGACAGAGGCAGCAAAAAAAATGAAATTTAGCAGATGAGAACGAGCAAACTGCAAATCAGGATGGAATGGGAAGAGGCAGGATGCGAATATGACAGGCAAGTCACCTGGGTCTCGGTGTTGAGCCAGACGTGGGAGAGGTCGAGCCCATGGTGGCGGAGGCGGTTCATGTGGAAGATGTGGGAGTCGAGGGAGGTCAGCCCCATCTCTGCAAACTTGTCCGTACCCCTTACATGCAGACTCACTATAGGCCGCGGCATGTACGGCTCCTGCACTCCCAGCGACCAGCTGGCATCCGTGCCGTTGCCATTGCCATTGTCACCACCCCCTATGGCACTGCCAGTGGCGTCTGGATGGAAGGACAAGGATGAACCTGCAAGAGCCGCCAATCGGTCTGCTGCTCTTCTCCTCCTTGCTTCCCAGTCAGTTGCATTAGCTGGGACGTTGAGTGCGGTAGGTGCAGCAGAGGTGGCAGAAGCAGCAGGGGCGGTGCTGTGAGAGAGAGAGAAGAGGGCTTCTGATTGGGTAAGAAGGAAGCGAGCGACGTGATTGGCTGAGAGTGTGCCGAAGGCGCGGTGCCTCTCCTGGTTGGTGACGTGGCAGAGATGAGCCGATGGCCACCGCATGATGAATCGCACCGCCTGCGCCCGCCACCAGTGCACCTGGAAGCATGGGGAAGGGGGAAGGGAAGAAAGGGATAGAGAGGAAGGGCATGACAACAAGAGAATCATGAATCGCACCGCTTGCGCCCACCACCAGTGCACCTGGCGAGGGCACAGTAAGAAACAATAGATATACTCAAAGAGCAATGCAACGCACCGCCCACACCCACCAACAGCGCGCCAGGGGGCAGGGAGAAAGGGGAGGATGGAGAGAAGACACGACACAAAAGAATTATTGAGTCTCCACCTGCGCCCACCACCAGTGCACCCTGGGGCCAGGGAGAAGAGTGAAGAGGGAGAACATCATGGGAACGAGTTTGGCTGAAACGCACCGCCTGTGCCCACCACCAGTGCACCCTGGGGCCAGGGGCCAGTGCACCCTGGGGCGCAGGGCGTTGGGCGCCTGCGCCCTGCGCCCTGCGCCCTGTGCCCTGTGCCCTGAGCCCCGTGCCCTGTGTCCTGTGCCTGTTCCTGGTGGCACCACACACACAATGCCTGTATCCGGACCTCACACATACACCATCACATGATCACATCCAAATCATCTCCTCGCACACCACTCCCTGTCACGTCGTGAGACACTTTGAAAACATCACCTTCTGTATTTTCCTCACACACCCCCTTATGAACATTCCTGGCACATCCCCAATAGTGACCTTTCCCAGCTGAGGCTCCTGACACATCCCCAATTGTGACCTTCCCCAGCTGAGGCTCCTGACACATCCCCAATTGTGACCTTTCCCAGCTGAGGCTCCTGACACATCCCCAATTGTGACCTTTCCCAGCTGAGGCTCAGGTGTGTTTTGAATAGACTTATGAATACTGCAGGCATACCCCTTACAGTCAGTCAGTCACCTTGCGGAGTTCCGGGTCAAGAGGCATGAGTCGCCCCTCTGCCTCCACAGTGCATGTGCTGTTCAGATACGCGTCTCCCCACAGACTGCCACAGGATGGGGGTTCGAGGGAAGGGAGGTAAGTATGGGAAGAAGTTGGGTACCGTGGAGAACCATGAGTCGCCCCTTTGCCACCACCGCTCATGCTGTGTTGAGATATGCGTCGTCGCCTCACAGGCTGCCACAGGATGGGGGGGATGGGCGGGTAAGAGCGGGGGAAGAGGTGGGGGGAACAATGGGAGCGGAAGAGGGGAAAGGAACAATGAGCCTCCCCTGCCGACTCTCCCGGCAGCCAAGCAGCCCCTGTCGATCCACCTGGCAGGAAATATGTTATTCGACAATTGTATGCTAAATCTGTTTTTTGAGAATTGTATGAAGGCCGATGCCGGAATGGCCTCCGAGTTCGCGCACGTCCTGTTAAGGGTACCATTGCCAGGAAGGGAGAAACAGAGGAAGGGAGAAACAGAGGAAGGGGGAAACAGAGAGAAACTGAGGAAGGGAGAATCAGAGAGAAACAGAGGAAGGGAGAAACAGAGAGAACCTGCCGCCTCTAGTTCTCTCTGTTTCTCCCTTCCTCTGTTTCTCTTTGTTTCTCCCTTCCTCTGTTTCTCTCTGTTTCCCCCTTCCTCTGTTTCTCCCTTTTTTCTGTTTCTCCCTTCCTGGCAATAGTACCCTTAACAGGACATGCGCGAACTCGGAGGCCATTCCGACATCGGTCTTCGGGAAGTTCCCTATGTTTTCCCCGTTGATTTGAACTCTGAACTTGTGTTTCCTTTTCCCGCTTTTGATGCACCATAAACACCATTGGGATTGTCTCGAAGGTTGTCAAACCTTGCACCTCTGGCTCAACTTGTGATAGGGCTCTTCTTCCGCCAATGTGGAGAACCACGCTGACCATTTGAGGAATGTGTACATTTTCATCCCTCTTTTGTCATCTCGTCGAGGTTGCTGATCTCCTCCTCCTCCTCCTCCTCCTCCTCCTCCTCCTCCTCCTCCTCCTCCTCCTCCTCCTCCTCCTCCTCCTCCTCCTCCTCCTCCTCCTCCTCCTCCTCCTCCTCCTCCTCCTCCTCCTCCTCCCCCTCCCACTCCTCCTCCTCCCCCTCCCACTCCTCCACCTGGCAGCGGATGACTCCATGGAGTTGGCCATGCCGATGCACACGAAACGGTCGGGAGAGGCAGCGGCAGCCCCAAAGCCCATGCCGGCGCAGTCGGGGAGCGTGTTGGTGACTAGCTGCTGCATGGCCACGCAAGGCACCTACCCTTCCGCACACCTTAGCAATAAACCTCTGAAAAATCGTATCAATACTCCCCCTTCCCCATTCCCCCCTTCCGTACCCACCTAGCAGCGGAGGACTCCATAGAATTCGCCATGCCGATGCACACAAAGCGATCGGGCGAGGCAGCAGCGGCCTCAAAGCCCATGCCAGCGCAGTCGGGGAGTGTGTTGGTGACTAGCTGCTGTACAACCACTCGACGGCACTCCACTGAGGTGATGGGGAAGAAGTAGCAGTCCCACCGACTGTTGTGCCCCACGGCTGGTGATAACAGCGGGGAACGGGGAGGTGGGTACGGGAGGTGGGTACGGGAGGTGGGTACGGGGAGGTGGGTACGGGGAGGTGGGTACGAGGAGGTGGGTACGGGGACGTGGGTACGGGGAGGTGGGTACGGGGAGGTGGGTACGGGGAGGTGGGTATGAGTTTCAGCAGCTGCATAGCCACGTGGAGACATTCCACTGGTGTAATGGAGAAGAGGTAGCAGTCCCTGCGACTGGTGATGGAGAGGAGAGAAGGTATGGGGGAGCAGGGTGAGGGGAGAGGGGCATGATGAAAGGGGAACGAGGTGGGGTTATGGTGGGATGAGTGTGGAGGATTTAATGCGGGGAGGGGGGTTGGGGAGGGGACATGAGGAGTGGGATATGGTGAGGGAGGGGGTATGGTGAGGGGGGTATAAGGAAAGGGGTATGGGTAGGGGGATATGGGGAAGGACGGGGGGCATGGGGGTGGGTGGGAGAAAAGGGCTTACCTTCACCTCCGCAGCCCACCTGCCCGCTACAGTCAAGTACCGCACCTTCACAGTCAGGGGTGCGGGCGCGCAGGTAGGTGTCGGGGTCTTCTACGCGGGTGAAGAGTATGGGGAGGAGGACATGAGGGTGGGTGGGTGGGTGGGTGGGAGAAACGAGCGCACCTTCGCAGTCGGGCGTGCGGGCGCGCAGGTAGGTGTCGGGGTCCTCCACGAGCACTCTGTTGTTGAGCATGGCCAGGCTCAGCATGGCCGACATCACATGCACCTGGTGGGTTGGTGGGTGGGATGGGATGTATGGATACATGCAGTCAACTGCAAATTGCAACACGTGTCGTGTCAGCATTAAACAGGTAGGCGTCAGGGTCCTCTACGAGAGTACCACTGTTGAGCATGGCACGATTGAGAAGATTCACCTGAATATCCATCATATTCACCTGAAAAGCCAATGAATTCACCTCTGAGCCTATCTATTGTCTCCCAATAACCCCATCAAATGCCATCATATTCGCCTGAGAGCCCATCAGAAACACCTGAGAGCCCATCAGATTCACCTGAGAGCCCATCAAATTCACCTGAGAGCCCATCGGACTCACCTGAGAGCCCATCAAATTCACCTGAGAGCCCATCGGACTCACCTGAGAGCCCATCGGACTCACCTGAGAGCCCATCGGACTCACCTGAGAGCCCATCAGACTCACCTGAGAGCCCATCGGACTCACCTGAGAGCCCATCGGACTCACCTGAGAGCCCATCGGACTCACCTGAGAGCCCATCGGACTCACCTGAGAGCTCATCGGACTCACCTGCGAGCCCATCGGACTCACCTGCGAGCCCATCGGACTCACCTGCGAGCCCATCGGACTCACCTGCGAGCCCATCGGACTCACCTGAGAGCCCATCGGACTCACCTGCGAGCCAGCCCCGTGGCCACCAGGTTTGGGCCATTTGGCAATGAGCAGGCGCTTGTCGGTGCAATCCCCAGGTGGGAACTGATGCCGCCAGATGTCCCTCTGCACGACACGTGTCAGCGGCAGATTGGCTGCATCGGACCCTCTGATCTGTGCGGAGCATGGGTGGGAAAACGGATGGATTAAGAGTGTTTTTGGGTTGAGAATGCTTGTACAATGGAGCACAAAAGGCATACGTTGAAACTTTAAACTTGCCTCAAGGTTGAGCGCCGGCATTGACTATGACAATGAAATTGACGTGATAGCCATTGCTATTCCCATTGACATTGACGCTGACACTGACATTCTCATTGACATTGGCATGGACGTTGCCAGTGACATTCACATTGACAGTTGACTTTTGAGTCAACTCTTTTGAGTCGACTCAAAGGTCAACGTTGACACTGACATTCTCATCAACGTTGCCAGTGACATCAACATTGACAGTTCCATTGCCATTGACTTAGGTATTGACGTTAGCGGTGGCGTTGGTGTTGACCTTAACATTGACACTGACATTAACAACGAGAGCGACAATGAGAGCGACAGTGACAGTAACAATGACATTGGCATTAGCCATCCTGAAAATCTTGTGCAGCATCCAACTATCTCCGCACCCCCCACTGTCGTACACACCTAAAGCAGCGCAGTAGGGTAAGCACTAAACCCCTTACCCAAGGCGGCTGCGGCGCTCCCTCCCCCTGTGCTTGCCCCGAGCACCCAGGGGAAGCATCACCGGCAGCAGAAGCATCCGCCTGCCTTGGGGCTCCGCGGGTCCAAGCGGGCTCCTCTCCCCGCGCGCCTCTTTTCTCCCACGCCTCCCGCTCCGCGCTCGCTCGCGCGCAATCCTCCAGGTGCGGCGCAGCGGGCACGCCCGCGGGGAGGGAGACGGCGGAAGGGGGAAGCAGAGAGTCTGCGCCCAGCCCGTACGCTTCCGACCACGCTTTAACTAACGCCTCCGCTTCCTGGGAAGCGGCATCGCCTAGAAACTGCGACGCGGCTAGCGCTAGCGCTAGGAGCGGGCCGCCGCCGCGAGCGTTGCCGGCGGGAAGGGAGGGAAGAGGATGAAGCGCGCGGATGAGGAGAAAGAGGAGGAGGGCGTATTGTAAGTGTGGGAGGCGTTGGGATGTTGCGAGGCGGTATGAGCGGCAGCCGGGATGGATCATTCTGCTTGGGAGCCCTACTTTCAGCGTTGAAGGCGAAACGAGTATCAGTGACCATCTATTATATTGTAGATATGATCGAACCGAGCTTGTAGAGGAGTCTGATATCCTACAAAATTGGTGCACATCGCCTAAGTCATCTCCAAAAATCGTGAACATCTGCCAAATCAGATTGATCTCAGAGAGGGAAAGAAGAGTCCACTAGCAATCCAGGTTTGTGATTCACATCAAACACAGGTCAGTTACAACCTCCCTCCTAATGTTGCGGATTGAGCAGGAACAGCAGTGAGTGCAGTAGATAGGCAGAAAAAGCGTTGAAGCCCCCTTTAGGTCTCTAGTTTCAGTGGGCTTCTGAACCAAAATTAGATGGTCAATGATGTGGTGCTGACCCTCACGCTGAAAGGTGGCACCTTTAGCAGGGGGACTGTGAGGCTGAAAATGCAGCGAGCAGAAAAAGAACGGAACGAGAGCAGCTCAAAACTGTAATGAGCGCGATACCACTTACATCGAATACGGATTTAAAGTCGTTACAGGTTTTGCTGGTTGACTTTCTTGGACTCGGATGCAGGCGCAGAGCAGCAGGACCGGTGTCAAGGTCAACAGCATGCGAACGGATGATAGCCTTCATACCCCTATAGAGTGCACCGTGCACATTAGCACAAGAATAAAGCACACTTATTTTCATGAGCACAATATCCCAGTAGATGCACTTTTCATGGCAGGTGTTGGGCCTTAAAATGCTCATTAACAATATAACGCAAGAAACACCTAATTGAAGTTGATAACTGAAGACGATTGAGAAATCCCGTTGTAAATCAATGTGCCAGAGACGGGAACGAACTGCTTGGTAATAAGCTGCACACAAGAAGTAACATGCCATGATTGCGAGAATGAGGACAAGAGTAGATGCAACGTGGCAGAAAGACAACAGCTACAAATGAAGGAATTGGAGGTGGGAGGAAGGGGACGGGTGGTGGGGGGTGGGGGGGGAGGTGCTGCAGGAGGCAAAGGGAGATCCGTGTTGCCTAACTCCATGCTCCAAACTGACTAATCAACCAACCATCAACAAATTTCAGAAAACCCATGGAGTATTCACTGTAGGAAAAAAAAAACCAAGGGGATTTACCTTGATTGCCTCTTGGCTTGCCACCCCTCCAATCACAGCAGCAACACAGTGCAGCTCACTGGCACCAAACCGGCACATCTCAGCCGTCAGATCGTCCGGAATCGACGGTGACTGGCTGGGGCTGCCGCCTCCACTGACAATAGTGCCTGCCAGGCTCTTGAGCCGTGCCACGTCATCATCGTCCACGTCACTGGCAGGAGATTAGAGGACATGTGAGTGGAGGTAAGATTTCGCTGCGGCGCTGCCAAACGGCATCCCGATACATCCTGCAACAAACTAACTGCCATCTTCCTTAAACCAATACACTAAGTGATGTATGATACGAGGAACTATGATGACGCCGGGCATGCGATCCACAGTGGTGCAATAGCAACAAAAAGCATAATCACATCGAACTCGTAGAAACTCACGAATGAGTGAATCTTCTGACCACTGGCGACTACCTCACAAGAACGACCTATGTATTTTGCCTTACAACATAAGGTGCTTGCCACACAATATAAGGTGCTTGCCACACAACATAAGGTGCTTGCCTTACAACATAAGGTGCTTGCCACACAACATAAGGTTCTTGCCACACAACATAAGGTGCTTGCCTTACAACATAAGGTGCTTGCCACACAACATAAGGTGCTTGCCTTACAACATAAGGTTCTTGCCACACAACATAAGGTTCTTGCCACACAACATAAGGTGCTTGCCACACAACATAAGGTTCTTGCCTTACAACATATAAGGTTCTTGCCATACCCGGGGAAAGAGCCGGGGTAGCGGTGGAACTGGGAATAGAAGTGGTCGGCGCCTCTCAGGAGCACATACAGGGCTGCATGGCTGATAGGTGGTGATGTGGGGGGGGGGGGGAGAGGAGGGAAGTTGGGAGGGACGATGAGGGGAAAGAAGTGGAGAGAGATAGATTGGCTTCACGCATGTCGCTGCTTCAGTGTAAGGGTTTTCAGAAACCTTCTGCAAGAGAGGTAGCACAACACACAACTCTACCTCACCATTTGGAGATGACATGAGACTGTACCTCACCATCTGGAGATGACAAGAAACTGTACCCGCCATCAGGAGATGACATGCAACAGTACTTGCCATCAGGAGATGACATGAAACCGTACCTGCCATGAGGAGATGACATGAAACTGTACCTGCCATCAGGGGATGACATGAGCCGCTGCAGAGTTGGAATGCAAGCTGGCGCCCCTGCTCCAAACTCCTCACTCAAAGGCTTGAAGCGAACCACCTTATAGCGAGTAAAAGTGAAGGTGGGGCCCAAGGAGGGGAGGAAAACACGTGTGCAGTTGAGGGGGGATGATGAAAACCTGTGATTGTCTGGCACAGGAGATGATGTTAGTAGATGCGGAAGGAAAAACAGTGAGAGGGGACTGGCATAGGATTACATGAACAGCACCACTCGACAATGGCAGTCACTCAGTCACAATTACACGGGACGCCGCTGATAATTCTGGCATCTTAAGAGCCAACTTTTGAGCTGACTCAAAAGTCTGATGATTCAGGCATCTAAGAACCAATAGAAGCACAGGGGTGCACCCACACATGTATTTTCCAGCATTGGAATGAAGAGCAGTTAGTGGTTGGGTTGTGTGCGGATTACCCTCAGGTTCCGCGCGTTCTTGCAGAAGAGCTTGACTGTAGCGAGGGGAATGGAGGCGGGGTCCCTGCCTATGCTCTTCAGCAGCTCGCTGACGTGGCGCTGCACCGCTGCCACGTCAGCATCCGCCATGCTGAGGTAGATTCTCTGAAGTGCCACATAGAAACTGGTGAAAGGGAAGGGATGAATGTTGGTGATGTGAGGGGATAAGGATAAGGGGTATGGAGGTAAAAAGGAGAGAGGAGAGAAAAAGATCGAAGCGAGAGTGAAATAAAGCAGGATGGAACGGGCAGATGGATGCTTCTAAAAGAGAAACAAGCATGTGACTTTCGAAAGGATGTTCATACACACTCACACTCCCACAACTCCTATTCACCCATCTTCAGCACCATTGTCACACACCCTCCAACACAAACCTAAAAAAACAAAAAGTGCATGCCATGCCATGTCATGCCATGCCATGCCACCACTCTCACTCTGTGAGGGAGTGCATGTCGGGTATGGCGCCATCAACAGGGAGGTCCCCTTCCCCCTCCTTCTCCACAAACAGCTGAACGCAGAGGCACACAAGGAAGGACAACAACAAACGACGAGACAGGTCGAGGAGACGGGAGTTGGAAGATCAGTCATGAAGACTGGGCGAGCAGCAATCAAGAAGATACTTTTAGCAAAAGAAGAAACGAGTAAAACTTGTCTGTTTGTTTAACCCTGCTTAATGCCAGGAATAAAAAAAAATTGAACCCTCAACTCCACCACTAGATTAACACGCAAACTAGTTTCGGCGGACGGGGACAGGCCCCAAGTCACACCTTCATCAGCAATAGACGACGAGACAGGTAGAGGAGACGGGAGATGGAAGATGGAAACAAACAACAGGAGTCACTGTTGGTTTTTGCAACAACAGGAGACAACTACTGACTGCAAAAACCACTGTTGGAGCCACTTTTGAGATTATTCAGAAGTTTGAAGATAGAAACAACCAAGGCTGCAAAGAACGAGACGAAGAAGTTTAATGATTAAGCTCGAACGCAGGAGAGCGGAAGCAGGCGAGCGGAAGCAGGTGAGATTGCAGTGTAAGTGCAGTGTTGGGAAAACAATCCTAGCGCACACCTTGAGCGCAGCAGCAAGCACCCAGAAGTCAGAGGAGGCGTGTGAGAGCTGCATGGCTGCATCGGTGAATATGGCCTGCAGCTCCGAGCCTGGCGGACGCAGCATGGGCATGGTGTGGGGGGGGTGGGGGAGGGCGAGGGGAGGAAAGGCAGGAATGGGTGCGGTGGACTGCAAGGCTGCGTCTCTGAAGAGGAGGAAGAGGAGGAGGAGGAGGAGGAGGAGGAGGAGGAGGAGGAGGAGGAGGAGGAGGAGGAGGAGGAGGAGGAGGAGGAGGAGGAGGAGGAGAGGTACGGGACCCGGAAAGCAGGTCAAGCATGGGGATAACAGGTTTCTGGACGCAAGAAGACAAATGCGGATATCACATCAAAGTGGCATTACGGCTGATCTAAGAGTGAGCTCAGAAGGCAGGGGTACGGTACGGGTACCTACCTATGGGCGGAGGCGACCACACTTTGTACGCGGCAGCGAGCGCCTCCTTGAAGTTATCCTCGTCCATGTGCCTCTGGTGCGCTGCGATTAATGCCTGTGCGTGTGGGGTGTGGGGGTGCGAGGGAGCGGGCGTGGGCACGTAAGTGTGGAGGCGTGTTTTGTGTTGACTCAGAATGCACTTGCGAGGGGCCTCCTTGAAGTTATCCTCGTCCATGTGCCTCTGGTGAGCTGTGATCAACGCCTGCACGTGCGGGTTGTGGGGTTGCGTTTTGAGTGGACCAAAAATACGCTCTGTATGTATAAGTGTGGCAGTCATGCCCTCTTTCAAGTTGTCCGCATCCATGTACCCCTACTGTGACTTCTGAGTTGACTCATGAGTCGAGGTGACTGGGTGACTTTTGAGTCGACTCAAAAGTCATATCGTCCATGTGCCCCTGCTGTGCTGTGATCAATGCCTGGATGTGTGGCTGTGGAGGTGTGCGTGTGGTTGTGAGAGTGTGGAGGTGAGTAGGTGTGGGAGTGTGTGGGTGTGTGGCAATAGAACAGAGTAGGAAAAACGAGTACGGTAAAGTACAAGGAGGGGACGAAAGAAAGACACGGCATTATTCAGCCCCATCCTCGTCTCACGGCATTATTCAGTCACTGCATCACACATGAGGCACTGGAGTCACTGCATCACACATGAGGCACTGGAGTCACTGCATCACACATGAGGCACTGGAGTCACTGCATCACACATGAGGCACTGGAGTCCAATAGAACACCATGAGGCACATGAGGCACATGAGGCACATGAGGCACATGAGGCACATGAGGCACTGGAGTTATTTATGAGAAAGCAACTCCAACTATCCAATATAGCATCACACAGGTAAATGGGCCTCTAGCCATGGATTCACGCCCCCACCCCTCTTTCCCTGGATTCTCACGCTCACCCTCCTTCTCCTGCCTTGTCATGCCAGCAACAGTCACCCAGACCCGCCTTGAACTCCCACCGCTCCTTGGCGCTGCGAGGCAGTGCTCGCGGCTCACCCGCCCCTCCCTGCCCCTCTGTTTCACAGGCACTCTTCTCTATGATTTACCTCTCGTCCTTCCACTCGCCCCCTACCTTGAACTCCCACCGCTCCTTGGCGCTGCGAGGCAGTGCTCGCGGCTCACCCGCCCCTTTTTGACCCTCCTTATCTCTGAAGCGCCAAAAAAAACCTCCTACACGCCCCTCTTCCCCCACCTCCTACACGCCCCTCTTCCCCTACCTCCTCCCCCCTCCCTACCTTGAACTCTGATCGCTCCTTGGCGCTACGAGGCAGTGCTCGCGGCTCGTCCGCCCCTCCCTGCCCCTCCCCATCCGCTTGCATCGCCACCGGCGCCGCCTCTTCCCCTCCTCCTGATCCTCCTGCCCCTGCTTCCCCGGCCTCCCCTCTCCCTCCCCCCTGCTGCCACTGCTGCGCTGCCTGCAGCAGGATGACGGCGTATGGGATGTGGCTGTGCAGCATCGCATCCTCCATACCCAGATCAAACCCCTCTGCAAACCTGAGATTATACGGAAGGGGAGGCGGAGGGAAGGGGGGGTGGGAAGAATAAGCGTGCAGCAGGACAACAGCGTATGTGATGTGGCTGTGCAGCATCGCACCCTCCATTTCCGGATCGAACCCATTCGCAAACCTGAGCACACATATATGACAAAGAGCGGGGTAGGAAAGATGTGCGTGTAGCGGGATGAAGGACACGCATGTCCTTGATCGGGGTAGGAAGGATGAAGGGCAGATGCATGTGCAGCATGGGTTCCTTTCCTCCATGCCCAAATCGAACCCATTCGCGCCCTGTTGCAGATGACGGCAGGCTGGGAGTGAGGGGGGAGAATATGCTGAACCTGTTTGTTGAGAATTCTAAAAAACGGGGAGAACGGGAATCAGAAGTTGAGTGAGCCCAGGACTGGGCCATTGGAGGGCCGTTGCTGGGGTTACTCGTGTGAGAGTGCACGTGGGGCGAGGAGGCAAATCAAAGTGACTTTTGAGTCGACTAGGTGACTTTTGAGTCGACTCAAAAGTGACCTCATTGGAGGGCCGTTGCTGGGGTTACTCGTGTGAGAGTGCACGTGGGGCGAGGAGGCAAAGAGACGAGTGCCTTGGCATGCGCTCAAACTGTCCACCAGGTTGCACCACAACCCAACTACCCCGCCCCACCCACACCAACCCAATTACACCCAACGACGTTAGCCTCAACCACTCTGGTCTTACTCTTTGAGCTCCTTCCACGGCTTGTGCAGCCTCAGATCGCCCACCGTGTTGTCTGGCCTCTGCCCCACCAGCACTGCACTGCACCCAACCACACACCTTCAGCCCTACCCCACCCCCAAGTCAGAGTCTCACTCTTTGAGCTCCTTCCACGGCTTGTGCAGCCTCAGATCGTCCACTGTGTTGTCTGGCTTCGCCTCCACCACACAGTGCTCCTGGGAGGGAGAGAGGTGGGAGGAGCGTGGGTACGGGCACGGGCACAGGTCAAACTAACGAAAAGAGCGACTTCTCTTGCTATGGACGGGATGCGTATCAGGTCGTCCACCGTGTTGTGTTGTCTGGCTTCGCCTCCACCACACAGTGCTCCTGGGAGGGAGGAGCGTGACACGGACACAAGGAAGGATGAGCAAGGCGCAAGGGCAGCGAGTGGGTATGGGCACGAGCACAGCGATAGAAAAACGCCCCTCCGATCGTCGATTACACTCACCCGTCAGGCTTCAGTTCCATCCAGGGAGAGTGGCACCCTCCAAGAGCAGAAGCGCATTCGAAAAAGATGAAGGCTACTATAGCAGAAACGAGACTTACCGGAGCAACAGCGCCAGAGCAGCAGCAGAGCTTACCAGAGCAGCAACAAGACCTACCGGAGAGGAGATGTGGATGAGACCCATGAGCCCATAGGAGCGGGCCACTATGAGCTGACAGCCGTGCTGCCGACTGTCGGGTCGAATCAAAAGGTACAGCATATCTGACCAGACCAGAGTTACAGCCGTAAAGCTTACCGGAGAGGAGATGCGGATGAGACCCATGAGCCCATAGGAGCGAGCCACTATGAGCTGACAGCCGTGCTGCCGACTGTCAGGTCGAATCAAAAGGTACAGCATATCTGACCAGACCAGAGTTACAGCCGTAAAGCTTACCGGAGAGGAGATGCGGATGAGACCCATGAGCCCATAGGAGCGGGCCACTATGAGCTGACAGCCGTGCTGCCGACTGTCAGGTCGAATCAAAAGGTACAGCATATCTGACCAGACCAGAGTTACAGCCGTAAAGCTTACCGGAGAGGAGATGCGGATGAGACCCATGAGCCCATAGGAGCGCGCCACTATGAGCTGACAGCCGTGCTGCCGACTGCCGGGTCGAATCAAAAGGTACAGCATATCTGAGCAGACCAGAGTTACAGCCGTAAAGCTTACCGGAGAGGAGATGCGGATGAGACCCATGAGCCCATAGGAGCGTGCCACTATGAGCTGACAGCCGTGCTGCCGACTGCCGGGTCGAATCAAAAGGTACAGCATATCTGAGCAGACCAGAGTTACAGCCGTAAAGCTTACCGGAGAGGAGATGCGGATGAGACCCATGAGCCCATAGGAGCGTGCCACTATGAGCTGACAGCCGTGCTGCCGACACACCGAGTCCAGCTGCAGTAGCACTGACTCCGGCAGCTGGGACGGGAGGGTGACAGGGAAGGGTGACAGGGAATCGGAGAGCGTGAGAAGAAAAGGAATGTTTGAGAGAGGTGAATGGAGCTGTGACGAGTGAGAGAGCTGACAGCCGTGCTGCCGACACACCGAGTCCAGCTGCAGTAGCACTGCCTCCGGTAGCTGTGCGGGGGAGGGCGAAAAGGGTGCGTGCGGGGAGTGGGTGGGGCAGGCAGAGAACAGCGGGCACGGCACAACAGGGTTGGATGCGTGAAGCAAGAAAGGTCAGTGAGAAGGAAGCCAGAGTATAACTGCAGGGAAAGCGCACCTGGGTGGCGATGACGAGGGTGAACTCGCTGAAGAACGCGGCGTTATCTTGAATGAGCGTGGCAGGGCTCTCCTCCACGAACCTCGCCGCCACACTCTCGTTCAGCTCCTGCAGCAGCGCTGTCACCGCCTGCGCTCGCGATTTGCCCAGGTGGGTGCGGTCCACTGAATAGTACATGCCATGCAGAGAGTAGGAAAGGGGGGAAGAGGAGGAGTCGATTCTCTCGGCTCCTGCAGCAGCGCTGTCACCGCCTGCGCTCGCGATTTGCCCAGGTGGGTGCGGTCCACTGAATAGTACATGCCATGCAGAGAGTAGGAAAGGGGAGAAGAGGAGGAGTCGATTCTCTCGGCTCCTGCAGCAGCGCTGTCACCGCCTGCGCTCGCGATTTGCCCAGGTGGGTGCGGTCCACTGAATAGTACATGCCATGCAGAGAGTAGGAAAGGGGAGAAGAGGAGGAGTCGATTCTCTCGGCTCCTGCAGCAGCGCTGTCACCGCCTGCGCTCGCGATTTGCCCAGGTGGGTGCGGTCCACTGAATAGTACATGCCATGCAGAGAGTAGGAAAGGGGAGAAGAGGAGGAGTCGATTCTCTCGGCTCCTGCAGCAGCGCTGTCACCGCCTGCGCTCGTGACGTGCCCAGGTGGGTGCGATCCACTGAGTAATAGGCACAATACAGAAGTAGGAAAATCGGGACGAGGAGAAAAGGAGGGGTACGTGTTGTCAGCTCCTGCAGCAGCGCTGTCACCGCCTGTGCTCGCGATGTGCCTCATAGGTAGATCTGGGTGAAGATGCATGCAAAACATGATGTATCTCCGGATTCGCATTGATTCACGATGCCTAGTATGCTAGCACGCAAGGACGCTACGCTAGCACGCCACATCACACCAACACCGATGCCCAACACATTTCTCTTTTGTACTGCCTTGAAGCTAGCATGCCACGCCACAGCACCCCAGCTTTCTCATTTTTTTCTCCGTTTTAGCGAGCGAGCCATGCTGCCTTTCAAATGCATGACTCGCTCGCTAAAATGGAAAAGAAACAGGGAAAACTGGTGTGATGTGGCGTGGCATGCTAACGTCATGGCAATACGAGAGAGAAATGTGTTGGTATCAGTGTTGGTGTGATGTGCGAGCAAGCGTGCTTGCGTGCTAGCGTACTAACTCCAAGGCAGAACGTGAATCAAGGCGAATCCAGCAAGACATCAAGTGAATCAGGAAGTAATTTCTCCACCACCACTCACAACCCACCAAAGACACTGAGCGCGACTCACGGAAGTTGTTGTTCCCAGGTCATGCGCCTCCACAGTGGCGCCATCCACTTCATTGAGTGCGCGCTCACAGTATCATCTCCACCACTCACCACCCATGCGAACCGCCAGGACTCACGGAAGTAGTTGTTCCCCAGATCGTGGGCCTCCACAGTGGCGCCATCCACGACGGTGAAGGAGCCTATCCCTCCCAGCACCAGGTTCTTTAAAGCTTCCGTGCCCGTCGGCCCTGCTGTCAGCAGACACACGCGCGCCTGCTCCAACGCCTTCTGCCCGTGCTCGCCCCATATCCTGTAAATGGCAAAACAAGACAAGGCATGGCTTAGGTGGATGAACGCACACTCCCTCCTATCCCTCCCAGCACCAGGTTCTTCAGCGCCTCCGTGCCTGTGGGTCCTGCTGTCAGCAGGCACACGCGCGCCTGCTCCAGCGCCCGCTGCCCGTGCTCGCCCCATATCCTGAACAGCGGGAGCGGGTGGAGTCGAGATTTTGGTGAGATGGATCACCAGCATATACCGTGTTGCCCAAGCAGTTTCCGTGTCTTGTGAAAACGAGCTACGAAGTTGACAAAGGAAGGTGATTTGTGAAGCCTTTGGCTGAGAACTCGAAGCGAGTCATACAGAGCATACGGGTGAATTCTCCGCGAATATCCTCGCGAAAATCTACCCAATGCTTCGTAACTAGCAAAGCATTCGTCACACAATGATGGCTGGACACCTCGAAAAGTGGTAACAAGTTGCGCACGTAACCAATGTGACATTGCTTCGACCGCTCATTCCAGACCGTGCGATCTCGCCTCTCACCTCAGCTGTCGATCGTACTTCTGCGAGTTCAGGACCAACAACGAAGTACTCGTTATGGACTGATTCGCGTCCCTGCTTTATTCACAGTCTGGTGACCCGTGCTACTCACCTCAACTGTCGGTCGTACTTCTGCGAGTTTTGGATCGCCACCATCGCGGCGCGCGATGCGGAGAGCTACCGAAAACGAGGGAGAAATGTGACCGTTGCTCGCTAGGATTCCTGGTGAGGGGGAAATTGCTGTCAGATGGCTGGAATTCAGGCACGTGGGATGGGTGGAAAAGAGCTTGTCAGATTCGTCCGACATACTGCTCTTCGTTGACAACATAGGCTATTCAATCAGTTCTTCGTGTAGCATTGTAAGAGGGTCGCTTGTCTTTTATCGGAGCAGAGCCATCCAAGTAACGAGTTCAAAGTGTCTGGGTCCCTCGAGCCTCGTCGCATTTTCCTACTCCGAAAATTTCCTCGTCCTCCCGTTCCCTCTTTCATTCCTCTAGAATCACATTGCCAGTTCAACCCATCACTTACCTTGGTCCCTCGATCTATACAGCTTCTCTTCTCTTTCACATAATCCGTCAGTTTGAGAACGAAACGTCTCGATACGCCGTCGCGACCGTCTTGTGCACCGTCAATCGCAAGTAGGATGCGCCATGGCCGCGGTCCCTATCGCCTCCCACCATGCCACCCTTCGGAACGAACAAAACCTTGTCACTGTTCTTACCGAGTCGCTCCACATCAGAGCCTTTCATACTTCACACCCACCCTCTCACGCGCGCCGCTCCACGTCATCACCCTCATCATCGGCGCGCTACTCTCTTCTTCCTCGTTTCCCGCCTCGCACACTCGCGACGTCGCTGCTCCGCGCCTCGCGGTAGCGCAAGGCGGCGAGGCCGCGTCGCTGAAAGCCGCGTTCCTCGTTGAAGCGTGGTCGGAAGCATACGGGCTGGGCGGAGACTCTGTGCTTCCCCCTTCCGCCGTCCCCCTTCCCCCCGGCGTGCCCGCTGCGCCGCACCTGGAGGACTGCGCGCGAGTGAGCGCTGAGCGGGAGGCGTGGGAGCGGAGAGGCGCGCTGGGAGAGGAGCCCGCTTGGACCCGCGGAGCCCCAAGGCAGGCGGATGCTGCTGCTGCCGGTGATACTTCCCCTGGGTGCTCGGGGCAAGCGCAAGGGGAGGAGGTCCCGCAGCCGCCATGGGTAAGGAGGTACAGATATAGTGCTCACTGATCTTCTGTGGGTATGTACGACAGTGGGGAGTTTGATGATAATTGGTCGTTGCACAAGTTCTCAGGATGGCTAATACCAATGCTCATGTCATGTCTACAATTATGTCAACTTTTGAGGCGCCTAAAAAAATATCTAAAATTATGTCGACTTTTGAGGCGCCTAAAATTTGTCTATAATTATGTCAACTTTGAGGCGCCTAAAACAAAGTCTCTAATTATGTCAACTTTTGAGGCGCCTAAAAAAATGTCTATATTTATGTCAACTTTTGAGGCGCCTAAAAAATATGTCTATAATTATGTCAACTTTCAGGACCTCCCATCACGGGCTCTCCTCGTTCCATCCTTCAACCCACCCTCATCCCCACCCAGATCAGAGGGCCAGATGAAGCCAGTCTGCCGTTGACACGTGTCGTGCAGAGAGACATCTGGCAAAACCAGTTCCCCCCTGGCGATTGCACCGACAGGCGCCTCCTTGTAGCCCACTGGGCCAAATCCACGTCGCACGGCGTTGGCTCCCAGGTGAGTGTTATGCCCAGACTGTGGTGTGGTGTGGTGTGGTGTGGTGTGGTGTGGTGTGGTGTGGTGTGGTGTGGTGTGGTGTGGTGTGGTGTGGTGTGGAGTGTGTATTCTCGCACAACTGAGTTGACTCGAAGGTCAATCAGGGGATTGCACCGACAGGCGCCTCCTCGTGGCCCACTGGGCCGAATCCACGTCACACGGTGTTGGCTCCCAGATGAGTGCTCTAGCATGTGTGTCGTGTGTGAGTGTTCTTGCACATGTGGTGTGGCCATGCCTGTGCGTGCACTGCAATCGCACCTTTTTCCTGTGTGTGGTGTGCTGCCATGCATGTGGTGTGCTGCCATGCATGTGGTGTGCTGCCATGCATGTGGTGTGCTGCCATGCATGTGGTGTGCTGCCATGCATGTGGTGCGTGCTGAGTGTGGCCATATGCCACAACCGCAAGCTCGTGGGTCTGTGTGTGTGTGTCCTGAAAAGCGTTCTATGGACCACACTGCTTTGTCTATTACACCCTATTCCATACACGACACATCCACACACCAGATCCACTACCTGAGCACACCAGATCCACTACCCTCACGATCCACTGCCTTAGCGTATTAAGCCTTGTACGTACACACACCGTACTCCCCACACCTTCACGATCGCACATCCCACACCCCACGCACCAGATCCACTACCTGAGCGCACTGCTGAGTGTGGCTATGCGTCACAACCGCACCCTCGTGGCTCAACCCGACGCCTTCGACCGCGCTCGCACCCCGTCCTGTGAAGGTCAGTGCATGCGATGATGCATGGTACAGCATGGTGCATGGCATGGTGCATGGTATGGTGCATGGTATGGTGCATGGCATGGTGCATGGCATGGTGCATGGCATGGCGCATGGCATGGTGCATGGCATGGTGCATGGTATGGTGCATGGTATGGTGCATGGTATGGTGCATGCATGGCAAGTGGCTCGGTATGGCACGTAGGATGCTGCATGTGTGTATGGTTTTGGGATCTCATGGCAACGCATGGCGTCTCATGGCATCTCATGGTGGTAACACACAAGCACACAGAGCAGAGTAGAAGTTGAAACGTTTGCATCGGGGTCGCCTTACTGCCCAGGGCCTTATCAGCACCTTGCCACCTCTGTCCCTGAACCAAACTGCATTTTCTCCCCTTCTTTGCCCCTTCTACCTCTTCTTTAAGTTACCCTCTCTTTCCTTCCCCCCTCCCCCTCCCCAATCCTCCCCTCCCTCACCGCCCCCACCTTTCCCCCTCCCCACCCCAATCCCTTCCCGTACGCACTTCCCCCCTCCCTTCCTATCCTCCTCCCTGGGCCTGTTCCCTGCAATCCAAGCTGCGGGTCACAACAGCCAATGGGAGTGCTTCTTCTTCCCCCCCGCCTCGTCAGCGTGCCGCCACGTCATCCAACAAGCGCTGATGCAGAACCTCGAAAAAATCCCCTGGGCGAAGGACGGCCCTGCTGACGTGGCCGCGCTCGACGATCCAATCGTGATCGTTGGATACACCAACCCAACGATGCTCTTCATGGAAGCCGGTGCAGCAGAGTGCGTGCCCAAACAGGCTCTGATCCTTTTGCTGACAGGAATGTATCCTTCCTGCTGCTCTTTTTGAGGAGCCTAAAAAATGCTGCTCTGCCTCATGTACATAGCGCTTGTATCGCCAACCCAACGATGCTCTTCATGGAAGCCGGAGCGGCACAACGCGTTCTGAACTGTAGGACCGGTCGAATTTCAGTTGCACATGTAATCTTGAGACGTCTCAGGACTTCAAAAGTACGTCGCAATACTCATAATTGAGACGTCTCAAAATCCTTCTCCACGGACATCCTCCTGACCTCGCCCTGCACTTTGCAGCTGGACAACAGATTTTCTTCCCTCCATTTCCCCGTTTCCCCTCCTCCTCCGCGTTTCCTTCCTCCCTACCCCTCCCCTTCAGCCTCTGGGGTGACGCCTTTCTGGCCTCGCCCTGCACTGTGCAGCTGGACGCCAAACTCGCAGCTCTTTCTGGACTTCAACACAAGGTAGTAAGCTGCCTATTGCACTGCAACCAGATTGATGGAAACACAAGATTGGCAAGATAAAGGAAGTAAGCTGCCGATTGCACTGCAACCAGATTAATGGAACAAGGCATGAAACTCACTGCTGTCACAATCCAACCCCACTCTCGCGCATACCCCCTTGCCAACACGGCCACCATTTCGTCTCTATGGAGTGCAGGGGAGGGACTTGTTGCGCTGCAAGCTGCAGTTGTATCACGCGGAGGAGCAGGTGGTGGTGCTCTCTCTCACCACCTGCTCCTCCGCGCGAGAGAGTTGTGAGAGAGTGCGCCACCACCTGCTCCTTCTCGTGATACGGCTGCAGTATGCAGCGCAGCGAGTCCCTCTCCTGCACTTTTTGGGGACGAAATGTTGGCCGTGTTGGCATGGGAGCATGTGCGCGTGTGGGGTTGGGAGTGTGACAGCAGTGAGTGGCTGGTGGCGGGCACACTCAGTGCGTTTCATAATTGACTTGCTGCCATGCCGTCCTCTCTATCCTCTCCCCTTCCCCCTTGTCCATGCCCCAAGGTGCACTGGTGGTGGGTGCAGGCAATGCACTTCAGCCTGATTTGTTCTCGTGAGCTTTCCCCTTTATCTTTCCCCCTGGTTCTTCCACCCCTCATGCCTCCAGGTGCATTGGTGGCGGGCGCAGGCGGTGCGATTCATCATGCGGTGGCCGTCGGCGCATCTCTGCCACGTCACCAACCAGGAGAGGCACCGCGCCTTCGGCATGCTCGCAGCCAATCTTGTCACTCGATTCCTGCACACCCAATCAGAAACCCTCTCCTCCCTCTCTCACAGCACCACCCCTGCTGCTGCCGCCTCTTCTGCACCTATTCCTCTCAACGTCCCAGCCAATGCAACTGACTGGGAGGCAAAGAGGAGAAGAGCGGCAGATCGGTTGGCAGCTCTTGCAGGTTCATCCTTGTCCTTCCACTCAGACGCCACTGGCAGTGCCACAGGGGGTGGTGACAATGTTAACGGCACGGATGCCAGCTTGTTGCTGGGAGTGCAGGAGCCGTACATGCCGCGGCCTATAGTGAGTCTGCATGTAAGGGGTACGGACAAGTTTGCAGAGATGGGGCTGACCTCCCTCGACTCCCACATCTTCCACATGAACCGCCTCCGCCACCACGGGCTTGACCTCTCCCACGTCTGGCTCAACACCGAGACCCAGGTGAGATGTGTGTCAAACCGCCTGCCCATTCTGTAACATGCGATTGACATTGGCCACACGTCTGGCTCAACACCGAGACCCAGGTGATTTGCTTGCCAAATGCCGGTCCTGCCTGTTTCCCATTCCCGTTCCCCGTCTTTCTCATCTGCTTTCAGTTCCTTCCTGCTGCTGTTCCTGCCAGACATTCTGCGTCCTCCCCCCCTATCTGCCTGTTCTCCTTGAATTACACAGGCCAATGTGGACCGAGCGGTGGCGGATCACCTCTCCTGGAGTTTCTTCTACTCGTCGAATGCGCGGCAGCAGGAAGCTGTGGGGGGGCTGCGGGAGTATGAGTGGGCGCAGTCGGTGGCGGTGAGCCTTGCTAGCGTGTTGATCGCTGCGCAGTGCGATTACTTTGTCGGCAGCCTCGGCTCTAACTGGAGTCGCCTCATGAACGAGCTTCGCTCCACCAATGGACGGCTGGGTGCTGGATTCATTGCTGACAATGTTGAGGAATGGTGACATACACAACATTGTGTTTGATCGAGATACATAAGGATGACGGGCGATGGGGGAGTAAAGGATGTCTTTCTGGAGTGGTTGGGTTGGGGGGGGGGTTAAGTCTTTGACGAGCATTCAATTTGTTCGTTCATGTAGTTCTCATCTGGTGCATCATCTTGTGTATAGCTCATGACACGCTTGTTGCTTCCGCTTGAGAACCATATGTTTTTTTCCAGTTATCTTGGCGTCTACTTACACAGCACGAGTGATGAAATTGTTCTCATTTGCAAATCTCGAGGTAAGGTGTCGGAACTCACTATAGTGGAGCACACTGGAGGATTTGGATTGATTGTCTGTATCCTCTTGGGTTCTCCTTCAGTTGTGCTCCATCTTCCCATCAATTGTTCTCATTTTCCATCTTCCGTTGGGTTCACCTCGAGCTCCCCATTCCCTCATGCGTCGCGGACATAACAGCAATTTGTACCACTTAGTCAGTGCAAAGCTTTGACACGCGGCAACTAGGAACACATTCTTCTAACAAGGCAACAAGAAGTACATTCTTCTAAGCTTTCACAACAATCTGTAGAGGTCATGGCTAGCGACATGGATGACAGTCACGTAGTCGTTGCTCTCATTGAGAACCGTGCGCGAGAGGTATGCGCCGTTCACTGTTCCACTCGCTCCATCGCATTCTGATTAAACTGAAATGCTCCTTGCACGCGTAGGTCGGACTCACCGCCTTGGACCTGCGATCCGCAACTCTGCACTTGAATCAGTATATTGAGAGCAGCAAGTCGTACCAGAACACGCTGACCTTGCTACAGTATTTCAAACCATCTGAGATCATCGTTCCAGCACGAATGGCCGATTTAGCGGAAGGCATTGGCGGAGCCATGGCCCTTGCTTCTCATTCTGCCTTCGCTGCCGCTCGCAAGGTAGGAATTATAGCGCATGGCCGATGCTGGTGTTTCTGGCTCGCAGTGATTCACTGGCGTTTCCAACAGGTGACACTGGCACGTGGCTGTTTCGACGACGTCAAGGTCAGCGGCGGAACCTTCGACATAATTCCTTCACAAAGGAAACGCTTATGACGTACACTTTTTTGTTCTTCCCGTTCAGGGTGCGTTACTTGTTCAATCTTACACCAATGGAAAAGCCAATGGGACGAACGTTGATAGGCACTACAAGGAGTATTATCTTTGCCTTGGTGCTGCATCTGCACTTCTAAAGTGGTGAGTATGCAGAGAGGTTATATCCATGAAGGCGTTTTCTAATCGAAACAGTTGTTGGTAAGCAGGGTTGAAAGCGAGAAGTCAGCGGCAGTTATGCAGAAGTCCCTTCAGGTCACTTTCAACGGCTCCCTCAACCACTTGTCAATAGATGCTACCAGGTACAGTAGATGCGTCAGCACACATATAGTTCTTAGGTATCTCGACTGCTGACCACTTTCCCTGTGCGCAGCATACAGAATCTGGAGGTGATAGAACCACTGCCAGGAAACTCAGAAAGGGATGGCAAGAAAAAGGCTAGCCTCTTTGGTGTCCTCAATTCAACAAAGACAGTGGGCGGGTGAGCACTAGCTGCCTGTTCATCATGTCCAGATAAATCTTTAAGAAACCCCACGTGTGCTCCCTGTGCCAACTAGCAGGGCGCGGCTTCTGAAAGCAAATCTTCTCCAGCCGTTGAAGGACAAGGAAACTATCAAATTACGACTGGATTGCTTGGTAATACGCATTGAGAGTGCTCAAGCTCTTTACACTCCTTTACCAAACCGCCTGAACTGAAGTGGATCACATTTGCAGGAGGAAATAATTAACGACGAGTCATTGTACTCAGCACTGTCAAACATCCTCCAGCAATTCCCAAAAGATCTTGGTATGCTGCAAGGGGGAATGTTTGTAGATTGGTAAAAAACCTGGCTTATACAATCATGACTGGGCAGATCGCATTGTGACAAGCTTCGCATTTCGACCACGCAAGGCTGCCGATGATGGCACAGGGAGTGCGACCACTCGGAGAAACATGGTGATCCTGTCAAGCATCATCCTCTTGCGGGAGACTCTTCTTCTTGTACCTCGACTTGCTGAGGTAGATCATTGTTTTTGTCTGACTTGTATTCGTGATTGTTGCGTGAACCTAACGCAATGTTTTATTGCCGTACTCTCAAGGCTTTGAGTGATGCTAAGTGTAGCCTGCTAACAAGCATACGGGATATTGTTTGCAAGCAGCAAAGCTTTCCAGATTTGTTGAAGGAGTAAGGCGTTTTGCGCAGTTTCTATTTTTCCTATCCATCCAGGATTGACTTACATGGAGGAACTGATGCAGGATTGAGAGCATTCTTGATGAGGATGTCATTCATTCAAGGTCCCCGTTTATTGCTAGAACACAGCAGTGTTTTGCAATCAAGGCTGGCATTGATGGTTTCTTGGATGTTGCCAGGCGCACATTTTGTGCCACTAGTGAAGGTGAGGAGACAGGTTCCTTTCAACAGTGTGATCCTTTTTTGACACTGAAGTTATTAACTGTTTAAATCATGTCTTGGCAGCTATTCACTCCCTAGGGAAATCCTACCGTGAACAGTATTCTCTTCCAAATCTTCGACTTCCATTTAACAACAGACGAGGATTCTACATCACAGTTCCAGTTAAGGATGTGAAAGGGAAGAAGCTCCCACCTGTTTTTCTCCAGGTATACCGTTTTCCACTTGATGGGTTTCGTTAGTTATAGGCTGTGTCTATAACTCTTGCATGACAGGTCAGCAAGAATGGAAAGAACTATCAGTGCACAACGCAAGAGCTGGTTTCGGTAAGCATTGATTCCATGCACTCGGCTCCACCACTTGTTACAAGCTCTCATCACGAGAATATTTGAACAATAATTGCAGCTTAACATTCGGAACAAGGAAGCTTCAGCTGAGTGCTTTCTTCGGGAAGAGCGTTGCCTTGAAGGTATGTAAATTTCTTAAAACGATGTGAAGAACTATTGTTCTTGTTTGCATTTCTGCAGGTGAACGTGTTCCATGAGTCTGCTGAAGCTACTGTATCCTGATGGCAGGTTTATGTCAACGAATTAGGGAGGAACTGACTGTGTTTTCTTCACTTCTGGAGAGCATCTTCCTCCTCGATATGATCACAAATAGCTTTGCATACATTGTCACAACAAACCCAGTGGACAGCTATGTCCGCCCTGAGTTCACAGGTACATTAAGGTGATTCACGACTGTTATGGTTACTGCGATATTTATCCCGTTTTTGCTCCAACTCAGATTTTGGACCTTTGGCCATTGATGGTGGTCGACATCCCATTGCTGAGGGCCTTCTCCAAGATGCCTTCGTGGTGAGCCTTCTTTGCTATCGAAATCTGTGATTTGTTTCACGTGCTTGTTAATATTTCCCTCCATCTGACCTTGCAGGCAAACAACACGTTTATGTCAGAGGCCTCAAACGCAATGATCATTACTGGTCCTAACATGTATGAATACTGCAAAAAAAGCTTGGTCAAGTACACTAATACTATGCTAAGCTCTGGTTCTCCTATGCCAGGAGTGGAAAAAGCACCTACCTTCGCCAGGTGGCTTTGCTAACAATCATGGCTCACATCGGCTGCTACGTCCCTGCACGGTTTGCATCTTTTCGAGTGGTTGATCGTATATTCACAAGAATCGGCACTGGAGAAAGCATTGAAGAGAATTCGAGCACGGTACAAAAACATGTATTTGCTGAAGTTTACCGAGTGCATGGTAGTCTCTCCCACTTCAAATCCCTGTTTGCTTGCAGTTCCTCACAGAAATGCGTGAAACCGCATTCTTGATGGACCATCTGACTCCAAGGTTCGTGTGTAAATGTGGTGATTGCATGGTCAAACCTTAACCATAGCCAGCATCACACTTATTTTCTTTCAGGAGCCTTGTGGTGGTTGATGAGTTGGGATGTGCAACATCAACACTTGATGGTCTTGCGATTGCGTGGAGCTGCTGTGAGCACCTTCTCACGTTCCCTTCGTACGTGATTCAAGTTACAAGCACTCGTATACTCCTTATTTTGGTTTTCAGTAACCCCGAACATGGTGTGCTGCATGTTGCCAGGTACATAATATTCGCAACTCACATGAAACAGCTCGGTGAGCTGGCCTCCATCTACCCCAATTGCAAAGTGTGCTATTTCTCAGTTGGAGTCAGCAACGAAAGACTTGCCTACAAGGTATGGCCTGCAGCCCAGCATATGCAATGTTCTCTTCTTTGGAGGCTAATGTCGGGAACATCTGGCAGTACGTGCTGAAGGAGGGATACACTGACGTGCCTCACTACGGCTTGCGGCTTGCAGAAGCGATGGGTTTCCCAGCAGCAGTCATGTCTGAAGCTCAGCGAATTGCTGACATATTGGAAAAGCAGGTATGAACTAGGACATTCTTTTGTGACTCTCCAATGTTTGCACATCTGTATGAAAATGTGGTTGGTGCGCCAGGAATCGAGGCGATTGGAGATAGGCTACAGCAAGTTTACGGCACTCCGCCGGGATTATGTTGTGGCGCAACGTCTATTATGCCTGCAGCAGTCCAACCTCAGTGACTCAGAGCTCAAAGATTATCTGCTGAAGCTCAAAGCAAGCTACCTGGATGGTACTCTTGTGTGAGCTTGATGGGTAGGGATCATTGCAGATGTGATGCATTGTGAATGCAACACCAATAGAGGACGTCCTCAACAACTCTACTGTACAGCTACAATGCATAATAATTTCACCAGAGCTACTATAGTCTTGACTGAGCGATAGCTCAGAGGATTGGTGCACCGCCACAAATGATTGAGAGCATTGAATCAGCTATTCAGCACCATCAACCAAGTTAGGCTTGCAGCAGACATCCAGAACAACATGCCGAATGTGTGGCGCATACCATTTCACCCTCTCCAAATGCACTGCCTTGACTTCCCAGCTTCTCCCCTCCTCCCTTGCCAACTTCTCAAACTCCCCCACTACATAGTCAGTCCACTGCTGCTCCTCCACGTCAACAACATTCCCATGCACATGAGCAACACCCCCTTCCCTTGGCTTCAAGCAGCGAATTGCAGTCCTCCAGCTGGCCTCACTCGAAGGGATCAAGCCCAACAGCACCCGATTAGCAACCCCCACTGGGGCAACCACCCTGTTATCCCCCTCCAGCACAGTGTAGCGATCTGGAGAAACCTGATTGGCTGCGAGACTGGACCGGAGGCCATGGACAGCCGGTGGGTTCCACTCGCAGGCAAACACGTGGCGGGCGCGGGCATGCACGAGCAGCGGGATTGTGAAATACCCGATCCCAGCAAAAAGATCTACCACCACTTCCCGGTCATGAAGCTTGAGTGCGGCCATGCGCTGCTTCTCAGTGCCGTTCCCTGATGAGAACATGCACTTTCCTGCATCGAAGGTGTATGTGATGCCATTCTCCCGGTGCTCCACCCAAGACGAGGACCCTAGCAGCAGCTGCAGCCGGCTGTCTCTAGTCAATGTGGGTGCCACAGGAGCCTGCGTCGACTCAATGGAAGACAGAAAGGGGCAGCAGAGAAAGAGAACGAGAAAGAGAGACAGATACTGATTTACACAAGAGCAGTGACTATCGCTCAACGATCTCCCCTCCCAACCTTTACCCAAAACTTCAGCTATGGGAGATGTGTGCAAGTCTCACCTACCGGGCCACTCTTGTCGCCCCAAGAGCCCCAGCAACAACCTGCCAGAGCTCCGGTCCGAGCCTGTCCCAAGCCTCCCCCAGCATGGCATCAGCTGGCAGCACCACCATGTCTCCGAGCCGCTCCCAGCGGACCGGCAGCTGAGAGAGAAGGGATGAGTGAGGGGCACTGGGTTGATTGTCCTCTGAAGAATTTAGTTGCTTCGCCTTGAGGTGAAGAAGAGCCTGGATGGCGTGGTGGAGGCGCTGAAAGGGAGTGAGAGGGCGAGCAGGTGAAGGGGAGAGGTGCAGCTGTGTGAGCACTGCTGCTGCTGCTGCTGACTGTGATGCTGCTGTATTCGATGCTGTCGCTGTCATCCCCATTGCATCTTCTCCTACAGTCTCAACTGCCGTTGGCTGCTGCTCCTGTGCTGATGCATCTGTTGACACTGGTGCTGCTGATACTGGCGCAGTTGGTGGTGTCATGCACACACCATCCATAGCAGCAACGGTGCTAACAGCAGACTCGCACACAGGCAGCGCCAGCAGCAACTCACCACCGTCACCAGCAGCAGCACCGGACCTACTAGCACTGAGATGTGATACCTCGGGATTGACATCTGGGTTCACTGTGGCTGGCTTGCGGGTTTTGTCTAGAATTCCATTTGTCTGTAGCGCGTCCTTCCACCGCTTCCCCTCCCACCGTGGAACCAGCAGCACCCACCCCAATCCTCCTCCCTGCAGCTGGCCACCGTGCTCCTGATCCTGCTCTAGTTGCTCCTCTCTTTCCTGCTGCTGCTCCTGTTGCTGCTGCCCCTGCCCCTGCCACTGTTGGCGAGAATTTCCAATATTTTTTTTAGTGATCCCCTTCAGAGGGATCACAAAAGGAGGGCTGAAGACCGATCCGAAGGCAAAGCACGCAGCACCACCCCCCAGCACCAGCAGCCTGTCCCCTACAGTAGAGCCCTCCACAGCAGCCCTCCCTGCCACTGACCCTCCCCTCACCAAACTGGCAGTGTGGCGCACGGGCAGAGCTCCAGGAGGGAGAGCGACGGGGATTCCAGACACCTCATTGGATGCGGTGTTCACCAGAACGATTTCCGGACCTGCCCGGGAGTGCGGGCAGCCTCCGAAAATTAGAAGGTGCTGCCCATATGTGGTGAGGGAGTGTGAGAACCGTTCAGGGATGGGGACTGGGGCAGAATCCCAAACCTTGGTCCACCGAACATGCAGTCTGTTGCCGTTCGTACAACTACTGCTGCTGATATTGCTGTCGTTGCTACTGTTGCTGTTGCTGCTGTCTGCTGGAAAATCTGTTTGAAAGTTTTGCGGCGCCTCACATTCCCCAACAGCTGAATCGCTGCCCACAACCTCAAAAAAGAAGAGGTCGGAAAATACCCTCTGGGTGTCTCGCCCCCCAAAAAGATACACCCGGTTGCCGACTGTGGCCATGGCGTGGGAGTGACGAGGGGCAGGCATCTGCCCGGAAACAACCGGGTCGGGCAGCCAGGAAAAGGACCGGGCGGAAAAGACCTGAAGGGAGGTGAGCGGTGGTGCGTGGGGATGGGATGTGCCTCCGAAGACAAAGACCGATGACCCCAGTGCTGCTGCTGCATGGCGATACCTTGCCACGGGTACACCTGTGGCACCTGTAGCAGCTGTAGCAGCTGTGGCATCTGAGGCAGCTGTAGCAGCAGTTGATTCTGATGCAACGGTTGTAGCAGGGGCAGTAGCCGAAACAGCAGTTGCTGCTTTATCCTCTCCAGACAGTGCTTCTGGTGCTGCCACGCAGCGCCACGTCATGGTGCGCAGATTGAGGGAGAACACATCAGCAAGGGCAGCTGTGGGACCGTGTCTGCCTCCTATCACCACCATCTCCTCTTCCCGTTCTCCCTCCTCCTCCTTCTCTCCCTCCTCCCCCTCCTCCTCCTCCTCTCCCTCCTCCCCCTCCTCCTCCTCCTCTTCCTCTCCCCTCTCTCTCGGCTCACTGCTATCAGCTCCCTTGACCTCCGCCACACTCCTTCTCTGTACTCCCTTCCCTCTCACCACGCCCCTTCCTCGTCCCACTCTAACCACAGTGGCAGAGTGCCACATGCGAGGGCTCGGCCCGCTCCCTCTCGTCTCCACCACACTCCCTTCCACCACCACCTCCCCCTCCCTCTCCCCTTCACTTCTCCTCCCTCCCTCCTCCTCTCGCCCTCGTACCCTCACCACAACCACATCGCCTCGCCTGCCGTGCACCCCACTCCCCCCGAACCCCCCAAACACCACCACTGCTGTCCCTGCTGCCTCTCCTCTTGCTTTCTCTGCTTCTGACGTCCCTGCAACTGTTGACGCTGCATTTGTTGCGCCTGCTCCTGCAATTTCCTTTCCCGCTGTCCCCTCTGCGCCTACAGTTCCAACCACTGCCCGTGAAGCAGCAACCATCACAGCTGAGTGACCCCACCGCAAAAGACTTCCCTCGGGCAGCCCCAGAACCTTCACCACCTGCCCGTGCAGCTGCCCGTCCCGTTCCTTGCGTCCATGAGCTAATTTTTTTGATTCTTGTGATTTTGTGGGCAGATCCCATGCGCTGCTGCAGCAACCACCTGCCACGTCCTGCAATGGTAATGGCGCCATGCCTGCACCTGCAGCCGCCTCCACTGACACTTCTGCTGTTTCTGCTGCAGCAGCAGCCAGAAAAGAGGCAGGTATAGGAACCCCAGCGGAAGCAGCTTCACACACTGTCAGTGAGGCGCACTCCCCCTGCTCCACCGCCCTCCCCTTCAGCAGCTCCACCACCCGCCTCTCCACCTCCCCTACTCTCCGCAGCACCGCCACCTGGCGCTGCGCCAGCTGGCGCGGCGACAGCTGGCAGTCTTTTTGCTGCGCCACGTGGCCATTCGCCGCCTCTTGCTGGCCTTTTGAACTGCGCCGTGCTGCTTTTCTAGGATGAGATGGCTCGGGCGTTGGGACTGGGCTGTGTGCTGGGTGGAGTGGTGTGGGTTCCGGTTGGGATGGTTGGGGTGGCGGATGGGACAGAAGGGAGCAGCTGCACTGCAGGAAAGGAGGGGAGGAGGGAGGAGAGGGGTGAAAAGGGTAAAGAAAAGAGAGACGAGGGTAAGAGAGGGTAAACAAGGGGCAATGAAGGGTGGGAAGAATTGCCCGTTCCTCTGCCCATCCCCTTTTCCGTCTATGATGAGAAAGACGCAACCAGGACGCTGCGTCCTGCGTCTGGACGCAGCGTCCGGACGCTAGGACGCAGGACGCGCGTCCAGACGCAGGACGCACGTCGAAATTTTTTCGGACAGCCCGGGAAAAAATTTCGATCGCGATTTTGATATTCGCGATTTCGGCGCGAATGTCGAAATCGCGAAATTTCGACCCCCCAAGCCCAATTCGCCATTGTAAACCAGCCCCCCTAGCATTTCATAACAATTCTTGCAGAATGGAAATTCACTCAAACCTCTCAACCCTTAGCATCTACTCAACCCAACCTTTGTGGCCCACCACCACCAAGCACATTTAGCAAGGCAGTGGTTTCTCATTTTCCCCTCCCAACCAATTCTCTTTCGTAAACCCTTTGAGGTTTTAGCTTAGCTTACTATGCATGGTCGTAATTGGTAGGATTGAACTTAATGTGTGTGTGACCCTGTGAAATGTGTGACGCGTGACTCACCTCACCTTAATCTTAAATTTTGGGGGACAAATATGTGGTTGGGGAAAATTTTGCATTGAAAGTGTGGTAGGTCCCCCCCCCCCCCCCCCCTCTCTCTCCCAAGCCCTATACTATTTTTTTTGCCGGCCCGTGGTTTTTTTTGCCCTGCCGGGGCTTGCGTCTTTTAGGTCCAAATTTTGCGTCCTGCGTCTGGACGCATGCGTCCAGGACGCAGGACGCGTCTTTCGCATCATAGTTTTCCGTCCCTTCACCGCGGTCTCACGCGCCTGTGTATCTGCTTGCTTCAAGCCCCATGACCCCGCCCGCCCTCAAATCACCTCGCCTCGCCTCGCCTCGCCTCGCCTCGCCTCGCCTCGCCTCGCCTCGCCTCGCCTCGCCTCGCCTCACCTCACCTCACATCCTACTCGGATCGAAACGACTCTTTATTCGTCATTCCACCCGCAACCACCTGCTCCAACCTCATCCCACCCACACCCACCCATCCCCACCCACCCTCACCTCCTCCTTGAACCGAGCTCGGAATCGCTCTGTCCTCTCGCGGTTGAGAGCCATCTTGCCGTTGGCCATCGCCGCCACCCACTCCCACCCACTGTCACCCAGCCTAACCCACTCTCTCCCCCCCCCCCCCCACCCGCCCCCGCCCCTCCCCCACACCTCCTCCTTGAAGCGCGCTCGGAACCGCTCGGTGCGTTCGCGGTTGAGAGCCATTTTGCCGTTGGCCACGGCCGCCAGCTGGCGCACGTACGCCTCGCCCACCAACGGCACGCCGCCAGCTGTCAGCGGCGCCTCGAGGCGGATGGAGCAACGGACGGCCGCGATGATGCGCTTTGGGCTCACACTGGTGATGCCTGGGGGGGAGGAGGGAGGGGCGATGGGGGTAGGGGGAGGAATGGGAGAGGGGGAAAGGAGATGGAGCAACGGATGGCCTTGCGCTCACACTGGTGATGCCTGGTGGAAGGGAGTGCGGGGGGGAGAAGGTGTGGGGTGGGGGGCGAATGAGGGGTTGGTGTGTTAGAGTTAGGCTGTCAACACTTTGTGTACTATATTTTATATCGCGTAGGTTATTTGCGGGTTGGGTGTAGTTTGTAATCCCAACCCTATCTGGTTGGGATTCGGATTAAGATTCCCTCGTAATCCTGCAAATCTGCCAACTCACCAATTGGAGATTTGCTAGGATTCCCATCCCATCCGTTCCCTAGCCTTGCCCAACCCAACCTCGTTTGTACTTAAGGCTTTTTACTAATAAATCAGTTGAGCTCCATTTCTATCATGGTATCGAGCTAGTAAATTCCGCTCACGCGGAATCCGATCCTTGGCGCCGCGATCGTTTCCGAGAGGAGAGGAAGGTGAAGGGAGAGGGGAGGAAGCTGAAGTCACCAGAGGGGAAATGGCGGGAGTTGGAACGCCAAGGCATGGGGTATCGGCGATAGGTATTTTGGACCTCACACCCACTTTTACCACCCCCACTGACCCAAACTCGATGATTCCGAGGGTTTCTAGATTGAGTGGGACTGCCTCTAGTGCAACAACGACACCGAGAGAGAGGGACGGGGGGGGGTATACGGATAGGGGGTTGCTCAGTGTGTTGGGTACAGGGACAGGTCCTTTTTGCTTTTCTTCTTTTCATGCTTCGAATACAGCAGCCCCAGCAGCCCCAGCAGCCCCAGCAGCCCCAGCAGCCTCAGCAGCTCCTGCAGGCGCAGTAGTCCATGCAGCCGCAGGAACCACAGCAGCCCTAGCCACAGCAGTCACAGCAGCTACAACAGCGTCAGCAACCCCAGTAGCCGATGCAGCCTTAGCAACCCCCACTGCCATGGCAACCACAGATACAACAGGCAGAACTAGCAACGAGGCCAAATTTGCTAGAGCACGCTCCTTGCTTAAGACTGCCAGAAACCTAAAATATTCCATGGCAGCATCTTAAGCCACAGGACGTGCAGAGAGGAGGGCTATCTGGTCAGGAGTGAGTCCGCGTCAATTGAGCTGGAGTTCAACCAGATAGGGTGAAGGAAGGTGAAGGGAGAGGGGAGGAAGGTGAAGGGAGAGGGGAGGAAGGTGAAGGGAGAGGGGAGGAAGGTGAAGGGAGAGGGGAGGAAGGTGAAGGCGATGGTAGGTTTTGAGAGGAACGGACTCGGTAGGAGGAGGGGGAGAGAGAGCGGGAGGAGATGCGAGAGGAGATGGAGGAGGGGGAGCGGAGGAGGGAAGGAGCGAGGTATACTGCGTGGTACTGGAGGGGGAAGCGGGTGATGGGGGATCAGAAATTGTGGAGGGAGCGGGAAGAGGAGGAGATGGAGTGTTGGGAAGAGGGAGACTGTCAAAGTCAGCCCAAGTAAGAGAAGGAGGCGGAGGAGAGGGGGAAGCCTTGGAGGAGAGGTAGAACGGGTGGGATACAACAAAGAAAACGTCCCGGCTGCGATAGAGCTTGTTGGTGGAAGGATGTAAGAAGAGATAGTCTGTCGAATCTAAGTTGTGCCCAAGGTACACGCACGTGATTGTTTTGGGAGCAAGTTTGCCGCCAGAAGCACGACGGGCTTGGGAGTTGAGGAGGACATAGGAAGTGCACCCCCATACACGAAGAGGGCGGACGGATGGCTTTTGACCCGTCCACAGCTCAGCGGGGGTAGTGTGGGTGTGATGAGGATGGGGATGGAGATTGTGGAGAGCGGCAGCATGAAGCATGGCGTACCCCTCCTCCATCTCCTCTCCCATCTCCTCCCGCTCTCTCTCCCCCTCCTCCTACCGAGCCCGTTCCTCTCAAAACCTACCACTGCCTTCACCTTCCTCCCCTCTCCCTTCACCTTCCTCCCCTCTCCCTTGACCTTCCTCCCCTCTCCCTTCACCTTCCTTCACCCTATCTGGTTGGACTCCAGCTCAATTGACGCGAACTCACTCCTGACCAGATAGCCCTCCTCTTTGCACGTCCTGTGGCTAAAGATGTTGCCATGGAATATTTTAGGTTTCTGGCAGTTTTAAGCAAGGAGCATGCTCTAGCAAATTTGGCCTCTTTGCTAAATCTGCCTGTTGTACCTGAAGTTGCCATGGCAGTGGGGGTTGCTAAGGCTGCATCGGCTACTGGGGTTGCTGGCGTTGCTGTAGCTGCTGTGACTGCTGTGGCTAGGGCTGCTGTGGTTCCTGCGGCTGCAGAAACTACTGCGCCTGCAGAAGCTGTTGAGGCTGCCGGGGCTGCTGGGGCTGCTGGGGCTGCTGTATTCGGAGCATGAAAAGAAGAAAAGCAAAAAGGACCTGTCTCTGTACCCAACACACTGAGGACCCCTCTATCCGTATACTCCCCCCCGCCCCTCTCTCTCGGTGTCGTTGTTGCACTAGAGGCAGTCCCACTCAATCTAGAAACCCTCGGAATCATCGAGTTTGGGTCAGTGGGGGTGGTAAAAGTGGGTGTGAGGTCCAAAATACCTATCGCTGATACCCCATGCCTTGGCGTTCCAACTCCCGCCATTTCCCCTCTGGTGACTTCAGCTTCCTCCCCTCTCCCTTCACTTTCCTCCTCTCTCCCTTCACCTTCCTCTTCTCTCCTTTCACCTTCCTCCCCTCTCCCTTCATCTTTCTCCCCTCTCCCTTCACCTTCCTCCGCTCTCCCTCCAGCTTCCTCACCTCTCCCTTCGGTTTCCTCCGCTCTCCCTCCAGCTTCCATATAGTGCCTGGTGGAAAAGGAGTTGGAAATCCTTTGGGCCACTCCATATAGATTTTCTCTCGAAGGATCCCTTGCAGGAACGCAGAAGACACATCCATGCAGTCAACCTCCTCTTCATCCGAGCAACACCATCCCGTTCTGGTTTATGTCGATGACATGATCCTTGTCACCAAGGATCAGACTGAGCTGGCAGCAGTCAAAACCGCACTTGGTGAGAAGCTGGCCATGAAGGACCTTGAGAAGCTGACGAACTATCTGGGAATGGAAATCACACGTGATCGCACAGCCCGCACCATCACCCTCTCGCATAAGTTTTACATCAACAACGTTCTGACGAGGTTCAAGATGCAGGAAGCAGCATCAATGCCCACCCCAATCTCTCTACAGCACCAACTCACTACACCCTCTGTTCCCTCACCTGAGCCCTGTGACGAGCCTTACCCCGAGCTCGTGGGATCCCTCATGTACGCGATGATGTGCACTCGACCAGACTTAGCCTATCCAGTCAGTGTACTGTCCCGCTACGTTGCACCTGGTCGCTTCACTCGCCACCACTGGTCTGCCGCCAAGCGGGTTCTTCGCTATCTCAAAGACACACTGGATTATGTGCTCACACTTGGCGGCTCTTCCCCTGTTCGCCTTGAGGGGTATAGTGACTCATCCTATGCTGATGACCAGAGTGATCGGCGCTCTTCCCAATGGTATTGCTTCACCCTTGGCTGTGGGGTTGTAAGTTGGCGCTCCACTCGGTCGTCCTCGGTCTCACTGTCGACCTGTGAGGCAGAGCTGTATGCCGGGACCATGGCTGCCCAGGAGGCTCGTTGGCTCTCCTTCCTGCTGACAGAACTGGGGTATCCCCAACCAACCCCAACGCTTTGGTGTGACAACGAGAGCACCATTCATCTCACCAAGGACCCCGTTTTCCACGGCCGCACCAAGCATATTGAAGTCCGTCACTACTTTCTTCGTGAGCTGGTGCATCGCGAACAGCTGAAGGCTGAACACATTGCCTCCGACTGCAACCTTGCTGACTTGTTTACCAAGTCGCTTATCCGCGAAGACCATTACCGCCTCCTCTCGGCCATGGGTGTTGGGCCACCTTGTGGCTGATGTGTTGCAACCTAGGGAGTGTGTTAGAATTAGGCTGTCAACACTTTGTGTACCATATTTTATATCGCGTAGGTTACTTGCGGGTTGGGTGTAGTTTGTAATCCCAACCCTATCTGGTTGGGATTCCCTCGTAATCCTGCAAATCTGCCAACTCACCAATTGGAGATTTGCTAGGATTCCCATCCCATCCTTTCCCTAGCCTTGCCCAACCCAACCTCGTTTGTACTTAAGGCCTAGTGCCTTCTTTACTAATAAATCAGTTGAGCTCCATTTCTGTCATGGTGGGGAACTGAGAGGGTATGGGACAGGCCCAAGGGCCTTGATTTGAGTGCGAGAGAGCAACTGTCGGCCGCAGTGATGCGCCTAGGGCTCACACTGGTGATGCCTTGGGGGGAGAATGGGGCGGCGAGGGAAAAGGGGGAGGGAGAAAGGGGAGAGGATTAGGATGGAGCAACAGACGGCCACGATGATGCGCCTGGCGCTCACACTAGCGATGCCTGGGGGGAGGGGCGGCGGTAGGAGGGAGAAAGGGGAATGGACAGCGGTGGTAGAGGAGAGGAAGGGGAGGGAGGGGGAACGGAGGGAAAGGGGGGGATAGGGGAAACCCCCCAATCCCAAACCCCTTAATCCTAAACCCCTTAATCCCAAACCCCTTGATCCCAAACCCCTTAATCCCAAACCCCTTAATCCCAAACCCCTTAATCCCAAGCCCTCACCTGACTCTCTGAAACCCGCGCAACGGCGCAGGACACGAGAGCCTGTGCGGCGGAGAGGGAGCGACATTCGAGGGCGAGGATGAGCGGCTGAAAGCGAGGGCTATGTGGGCATCACTCTAACCCAACCCCTGAACCATCACTCAAGCCCAGCCCCTAACCCTTGCTTCCAAGCCCTCACCTGACTCCCGAAAGCCTGCGCGGATGGCGCAGGACACGAGGGCTTGCGCGGCAGCGAGGGAGCGACACTCGAGGGCGAGGATGAGCGGCTCGGAGTGAGGGTATGTGACATATACCCTGAACCCCAAAAAGGCCGAAACCCCAGAAACACTTGCTTCCAAGCCCCTCACCTGACTCCCTAAAGCCAGCGCGGATGGCGCAGGAGACAAGCGCCTGCGCGGCGGTGAGGGAGCGGCACTCGAGGGCGAGGATGAGCGGCTCAAAGCGAAACACCAGCTCGCCGGGGAGAGCGCGCGGAGAGGCGCGGATGGCGGGGTTGGCGGGGGTGGCAGGGGTGCTAATGCTGCTGGCGCTGTTGCTGACGTCGGTGTCGGTGCGCGCGGTGCTTGTACTAAAGACGGCTGTAACGAGGTCGGCAGGGTCGATGGGGTCATGGCTGACCAAAAACCACTCGCCGCCCTGCTTGTAATGAGTTCAGGGGTTTAAAAAAAAAGGGGAACCATGAAGGTCCTATCAGTCGTAGTGGGGACAGCGGTACTGAGGGAATAGGATGCACGGAATGACCGCACGTGACAGGCGAGAGCAAGCGAAGCTCGCTGGCAAGCGCTGCGTCTCCCATCAGACTTTTGCGTCGACTCAAAAGTTCTCTCGTCTCCCATTATTGAGAGCTTTCACGCTGCATGTGGCGATCGTCGCCGTGCGACCTACCCTCGCTTTTTTCTTCACCCGCTTCGCCGCGCCTGCGCTATCCGCTGCAAGTCCTTCCCCTCCTCCTTCTCTCTCAGCACCAGCAGCGGCGGCGGCAGCGGCGGCGGCGTCGTGCGGTTCGAGGAGCAGCGAGATGCGGCCGGAGCACGAGCTGGTGGTGAAGAGATCATCGTGGCCGTTGATTTCCGCCACCAGATCCGCGATCGGCGCATCCAGGCCGCCCTTGAGCGACTTGTCGCGCTCCACCGACGCCAGCGCCGCCAGCACCGCCGCCTTCCGCGCATCGAAACCCTCGTCGGCCATCGCGGGGAGAGATGCTCGCGACGGTGACTATGTTCGCGATGCTAACGGCCGTCGGAATAGACGTCTACTTGGGAGCAAATCTAGCTGACCAGACGCGCGCGCTGCTCCGTATGCTAACTATTTATCCGCCCTAAGCGCATCGTCTAACCATGCGAGCACCGTATGTGGGGGATCGAATAGACAGGAAGACAGGAATGGCGGTGATTTGGGCAACTGCGCACGGCGGTTCGGGGTTTAGAAATGGTTTCAAGTTTGCGTTTCCTGGAGAAGGAATTTTCTGCGACATCCTCCCCCCCTCGAACTGTTGGCGACCCACCCTGCACCTGTTTTCTTCGCACCACCCTGTAACGCACTGCGCAGTAGCAAACCAGCTAGCACCCTTTTGTACCACCACGGTTGACAGCCCCCTGCTTCCCCCCCCAACACTTCCCTCGCACCACCATCATTTGCGGCTGTCCTTCCGCCTTCCGCGCAAGCTCCGCGTTTCAAGCGTCGCGACTGCCCTTCCGCCCTCCCTATGGCCTCCGCGCCTTCCGTGCGCGGAGGGACATGGACTCCGCCGCCGCCCGCTAGACCAGCATTCCCCCCTTCCGCACCTCCCCATTCCGCGCCTCCCCCTTCCGCGCCTCCCCCTTCCGCTCAACCCCCTCCGCCGCTCCCCTTCCATCTCTGGCGGCGCCGACAGCAGCGCCGCGTGCGCTCCGCGTTCTCCGCCGCGTCTGGCGCGCGGAAGCAGTGGGACGCCGCCTCGGCGGACGGGCTGCGCGCCGCGACAGCTGTCGTGAACCGATTGGTGCAGCTGAAGTGAGTCCAGGCGTCGCGGTGAAGAGAACTTGTATTGAATATAACCATACCGAGTATAAATGATGACGTGAACAGTTAATTAACTCACTGGACCATGGAGTAGTCTAGGAGTTGGTGCATTCGATGCTACAGTGAGTGCGGGAGTTGCTGAACTCCGTTACAGAGTGCTCTCACAAGTGCATAAATCTTCACGCTCGTACCTCTTTTCCACCTCTCTCCACTCCCCTCCACCCCTCTCCACCCCTCGACATTCCTCTCCTGACCGCGTGCAGGCAGCTTCCCAGCAAGGACATGGGGGCGTTGACCAGCATGGGGGGCATTGTGCTCAGGGCTGCAGAGAAGCTTAAACGCCTCATGGTAATTCATTACTCCACCCAGTTCCACCTGTCACTCGGTGCTCTGTCACTCGATGTGTTGTGACTTTCTGTAGTGTGGCTCATCTGCTGATAGGCATGGTGGTACGTCTCGAGTGGCTTTCGAGATTTGAGACGTCTCAAAACACTGATGGGCATTGTACTATGTCTCACGTGATTTGCTTCGTCCTCACGCCTTCCCTCCGCTTCCCCACACTTCCCATATGCCACTTCCTTCCTACCTTTCCTCCCCATCCCTCTTATGTTCCTCTCCTGCTCTCGCCCCTCCCTCTATCCGCACACATTTCTCTCTTCTCACTCTCCGTCCCCCTCCTCCATGTCTCCTTCCCCTCCCCCTTCATTCCCTTGCAAGCCCTCGTGCGCCCACCACCATTGTCTGCTACATGGCATGGCATGGCATGGCATGGCATGGCATGGCTTGGTACATGATGCACTGCCACCGTGATACATCAGGAGGAGGATCTATGTGCGCTGCACCGCTGCTTGAATGACCTTGTGAGTTTGTGGAGGGGATGCGGGACGAGAGAGATTGAGAGGGAGGGGAGAATACAAGCGGTTTTTCAAAACGGAGTGAATATCGAGGCGCAGTAAAATTGTCCCAGTCCCGCACGCGGTCCCTTACTCTCACCTTGCTCCTTCTCCTCTTCTCCTCCTCCTCCCCTCTCGTCTTCTCCTCCTCCTCCCCTTTCCTCTTCCTCTCCCTTCCTCCCCTCTCCCCGTCCCTCTCATCCTTCTTTCAGGCTGCAGCTGTTGAAGCCCTCGGCTCTGCTTTACTGCCCGTCTGCCCTCCCCCACAAATGCCGCCTCCCTTGCATGCACCTGATGCAACAGTCGTTTCTCCAGCAGAACCTGATTCAACAGTCATGCCGTTCACTTTCGGGACATCACTGGCAACACTAGCAGCAACACCACCAGCAGCAACAGCAGCAGTCACAGCAGCAGCAGCAGCAGCAGCAGCAGCACCAGCAATATCATCATCGCCATCGCAATTTCGAACAGCATCAGCAGCTTCAGTGTCACCCTCACCGTCAGCTGCAGTGTGGGATGCAGATAAGGCGTGGGAGGAGGCATGGCAGGAAAGAGACATGTACCCTAAGGAACCCATCTTCACCGCTCTCCATCTCTCCGTTTTCGGTTCGTTGCCTTTCCCAGCATCCTCTCAAAGACTGTTTTCTCCTATGCATGTACTCAACCCCCCTTGCTCATCTCTCTTTTCCTTGCATCCAGTCTGCTGCGTGCTATCTCCTTAATGCAGCAGGCCTCGCATGTTGATAAACATAATGAGCTCTCCTGCCCATCTCTCCTCTCCATCGCTCCTTTCCATCTCTCCTCACACATCATGCCCCCCTCGCACGTGCATCAGAGGGGTGGGCTGTTGACGTGGCAGATATGTTTCACAGGGAGCTGCTGGTCAAGGTGAGATGGATGGACACACTTGGCTAAGCAATAGCTTGCAAAGGTTAGAAGCACAGAAACACTTGAGGCATGTTCTAACAGCCTCAACATCTGCGCAAAGCAGGTCTTTGCTTACCTCATTTCATCAATGTTGTCCACTTAGTTCTTTCTTGTATCACTTATCCCTTTCCTTCCCACCAGCGGCTCATAGTATCTTCGCTCACCGCAGCAGTCACCCTTGAAGCCACCACTGCACGCGCCACCGCCACCACCATCGCTCCAAGCACCACTGCTCCAATCACCACCTCCCATAGCCCACTGAGACTCCCTCTCAACATCCCTCCATTGTGCCTGCCATTCATTGGCCAACCACCTACCACTGTGACTGCTCCCAGAGTTGCTGCTGCTGAGTGTCTGGCTGCTGCTGCACTCGATGCTAGTGCTGTTGCCACGGAACAAGGAGCGAGCACGGGTGGAAGGACGGAAGCAGGAGGAGGCAGACTAGGAGCAGCAGGAGAAGTAATAGCAGGAGCAGGGGGTGATGCAGCCACATCACGGCACGAGGACAGCCGTGAGACACCAGCAGCAAGAGAAGAAGCGGCAGAGGGGGAAGCAGCAGGGTGCTTGCAGGGAGAGGGGATGGGGACTAGTAGTGGAGATACAGAGGCAATGGTTGGTGGAGAGAGTGATGAAGGACGTGTTCAGGGAGGGGCTGCAATGGAGCAAGGACAGAATGGATGGAAGGGACAGGCGTGGGCACACGGGTTTGGGGCAGCAGGGGGAGGCGAGTGGGTGGTGGTGCAGCAGCAGTTGGAACAGTCGGGGTTGCTTGCCCGCTCGCCCACGCCACAACAACTACAGGTCCGCTCTCATGAATGCTCTATAATATTCATAGTAGCGTTGTTCTTGATTCGTGCAACCCTCACAACTACTGCAGGAGAGTTGTTTTGTTACTATTCTGCTCAACGACTGTTCAGTTGTTTTGTTACTATTCTGCACACCACATTTTCATCTGCACTTGCTACACCGCTGTGTCATAGCAGGTGTGTCTGGTGGCGTGGCTGGTGGAGATGCACATTGACTCTCGGCACCTATCCTTCATCTTTGCTGCCGTAGATGAGGAAGTGAAAAGCGCAGCAGCGTAACTGACTGCAGACTGGCTCGTCGTCATGATTCTCTGTTGATTGAGTGATCGCACCCACCCAGCCAAAGAGGCTTGGGGTTGTCGTGCTGTTTAAAAAGCAACGCCAGTTGCAGGCTCCAACTTTGTAATACGCCTGTAGAAAGTGTGACTTTTATACTCGTTATCTGCATGTACATAGAAAGTGTTTCACATGTTCAAACAGGTGAAAGTCATTTCCTGAAGGTTGCTGTTGTAATCTCGTGATTTCTGATGAGAATGTAGCTCACGCTCATGCGGATTATCCAGAAACCTCATCGCACATGTTACCCTAAATCGCCTCGGCGAAGAGTGCCTCGGCATCTTCATTGATTTCGCCGACTGACTGACGGTTGTCGCTGATTCTCACTTGCAGCGAAGCAACCACTTCCACCAACCTGCTAGTAGCCATTCCTGTAGTGGTAGCTATTTTCCCCCCATTCTCGAGTCCTCCCGAGTCCCGCCGAGTCCCGACCCGACCGCCTTGTCGGACCCCAAAATCTCTATCCCTCGCGTATCAATCACGTTTCAAGCGTAATCCCTACGCTAGTTATTTGTCATGGCGGCTCAAGCGAGTCGCGAACCACCTTCACGTCAGAGTCCGACTCCAAGTCCAAACTATGTCAAGGTTTATAAATTAGACGCTTCGTCTTTTGATGAACCACAATATTCACAGCTTCTACCTTCACTTCGCTCCCTCCCTTCTACCTTCGATCTAGGTTACCAAGCACCTCGCGGCTCACATACTTGAAATCTCCTGTGGTTCTTATTTGCTTTGGCGTGCAAGATGAGGCCGGTGTCGCTGTTTTTTACTCTCTCACAAATTTTACTACAACTGACATCTGACCATCTACTAATAGGTTTCTCAATGGCCAACACTTGGCTGCTTCCTCTCGCTCTTTACCTCCTGCTCCTCCTCGCCGTCACCAGTGCCAACGTCGCGCGGCCCCCCATCCTGCACGCGTCCCCTCCCACCACCTGCGCAATCCGCAGCATCGCCACCCGCTGTGCGCTCGGCCACGCGGATTCCGCGCTATCCCCGCAAAGTGTGGAGCGGAAGCTGTTTAGCTAGGACGGTGACGGTGACGGTCCAGCAAACGACGAGGTGACTCAGAAGATCGTGGATCTATCTATTCATGAACGCGGCACAACGTCATGGTAATTCAGAGCCACTCCGTAGAGGGCGATCCGGAATCCTCGCAAGTGAGGAGGTGTGGCATTTCTGGGATACCTGTAACTCGAAGTTTACGGTGTATTACAAGCAGGGCCCGTTCACTGTGGAGAATCTTGGCAATGGCTGGTACGAAAACTGGGTGTTAGGAGGCAACTGGGAGCGGTACTTTGCGGATGAGAAGGTCGTCGTGTTGTCCTGGTAGTTGTTGCAGAGAGCCTTGGCGTTCGTTGCTACAATGAGGTCACCTCATCATAACAACACATTGTTGATGTGTTGTGGAACCTACCTTTTGTAATCATTTTTTTCGGAGTCTGAGACGATGCTGATCCGCAGAAGAGTTCACTGATTCCTCTGTGCAATTTTACCTGTACCTTCACAACACAATTGTAAAGCTGAAACTACTGCTCTTATGCTTCAATGGGTACTGCATACAGAGCAAGCCTACAGTACAAATGGTCACCAAAAAACCATGCTTGCCTTGACAGCCATGGATAACACACCATAAAACTGTTGGCTACAACCATGGCGGTGTTCGCCAGCACATGCAAACTTTGAAAAAAAATGACGGCATCGGAATGGCCACGGCATCGGGAAGCGGGGCCGGAACCCTCCGAAGAGGTCTGGGCGAAATGCCACTCGCGAAATTTCGGGCTCCGAAATGGGAAACGTGACAACCGCATATGGAACCTGCCTCCCCACCTTCCCACTCTAGCCTCTGACAGCCAATGACATCGCCGTCCCACGGCAATCCACCGTGAACTGGTGGATTGCCATGGGATGGCATGGGACTCTCGTTTGCCCGGGGAGGAAATCACTTCCCCATTTCCGAATGCCATGATGCTGTTCGAAATTTGAGAAAAAGTGAGTGCGTTCGCCAGGCACCAAAGTTCCATTTGAAACGGACGGCATGAGAGGCTCGGCAGCATTTTTTCGGGCTGACCAGCCTGACGGAGCTTAACGAACCCTAACTGACGGGATCAGGAAGGCGAGACTGACCTTCCTGATCCCGTCGTTATACGTCGTTTTTTCTTTCAAAGGTGCTGGCGAACCCTGCCCATATGCAACTTTGAAGGTTGGAAATGCTTACGGTAGTAAGAGGGCGACACGTAGCTGGTGGAGAGTTTGGAAATGCATGTTGAGCCTGCTGATGTGTACTGCACCGCTACCGTTATAGGTACACTCAACAAGGGTAGCTACGGTTGCAAGTTGTCGTGTATGCGTAGAGTGGTGGTGGACGGCAGAGAACCCCGGCTCATCACTGCCACCAACGGAGACACCACACGCAAATCCATGAGTTTCGTATGCGTGCGAGTAGAAGACGAGTGTCAAATGTTGTTTATATGTTTGTTAGGTTTCTAGCTTACATTGAGGTTAACAGTCGGGGGTACATCACTCTCTCGACACTTGACTTGTACCCCCTTTCCCTTACTAGTCCAACATTTCCGCTACCTACTCTGAGAACGAGCTCTGCCATCAGTCACGAAGTTGCTGACTGACATCGTTAACCCAATCTATTTAAAAGCCTGCTTTTTTTTTCATGCTCAGATAAAAAAATTATAGCTCTCCGCGGAGTTTAGTTTGTGCTAGGAATTTATGTGCTTGCACAATCTGTAGATGTTGAAAAGGCTGAATGTAATTTGTTCATTGTTTACCTTTTACTTCTGGTGAAAATGTCCAGGACGCGGTGTAGCTTGAACCCCCGTGTTATGAGTTGTAAAAGAGAGTGCGCGGAATAACGGATAACGAAGATGTGACTCAATGAACTGACAATACAATGAAGGCACGCGCTAATATAGTGGGCCAACCTAGCTAGGCGGGAACCTCGGGAACACGAGGTTGGGTGCAGGTTGGGCAAAGGAAAGGCCGAAGGCGACGCGAGGTTGCTTCGGCAGCAAGCAAAGTGGCCGAACGTGCACTTCCGAAAGTTGGGGTTGTACGCGGTTGAGTAAACCCCTGTAAGGAAAAGGGTTTTTTCTTACACTACCCCCCCCCCTTTAAGAAAGGTGGTCAATCTCCGCAGCTCGCTTGCGGGCGAGGTAATCACCAAGAAGCGGAGAGGCTTCAAGCGAGGCGGATGGCACCCAAGTGTCGTCCTCACTGGTGCGGTCAGTCCAGCGGATTAAAAAATCCACGTGGCGTCCAGAAGCGTCGAGCCGAACACGATGCGCCAAAATCTTGGACGGGTCAAGTGTCGGTTCTGGGACAGGTCGGGCTGTCGGGGCGGCGTTCTGGCGCGCGATGTTTGTCGTAACAGGCACGAACTTGCGAAGGAGGCTGACATGGAAGGCGTCATGTATACGCCAATCGTCGGGTAGCAGCAGCTTCGCGGTGACAGGTGTCACCATCTTGATGATCTTGAAAGGCCCACAAAATCGTGGCCGGAGTTTCGATGGGCCAGGCAGGTGCAGGTTCTTCGTGTCAAGTAGCACTAATTGCCCAGCTGCCAAGACGAGTTCCCGTCGTAGAAGGTCGGTGTATTTACGGGAAGTGGTATTCGCCTTGCGAATTGCATCCGCAGCCTTTTAACGAACTTCCTGGAGTTCCGTCACAAATGTTTGTGACCTCGGGACCGGGTTGTCGAGTGTAGTCGTCGTAGGCACCGTCGGGTCCATCCCGTAATTCAAGAAGAACGGGGAGTGATTAGTCGTGCTGGACGGGGCGTTGTTGAACGCGAATTCTAGCATGGCGAGCGAGTTTTCCCAGCGAGTGGGGTCGGAGCAGTTTGTCCTGATCATCTGCTCCATGGTCTGATTGGTGCGCTCGGTCTGGCCGTCCGTTTGCGGGTGGTATGCCGATGAAAACTGTAGCTTCGTGCCGTACTGCGCCCACGTCTCCTTCCAGAATTTCGACGTGAACTTCAGGTCCCTGTCGCTGATGATCGCCGCGGGGATTCCGTGCAGTCGCACGACGGTTGAGATGAAGAGGCGCGCAGTTTCTTCAGCTGTGATGGTTGTGCGACACGGTGCGAAGTGCGCCATTTTCGTGAGGCGATCGACGACGACGAGAACAGCGTCGTTGCCGGACGGCCCAGCTGGCATCCCCGTGACGAAGTCCATCGTCACCTGTTGCCACGGTCGTTCGGGTGGCTCGAGGGGTTGCAGCAGTCCAGCTGGCCGCTGGCGTGTTGATTTCATGGCTTGGCACACCCTGCATGAGGACACATATCGCTGCACGTCATTAGCAGAATCAGGCCAATAATATTGACGGTGCAACAGCTTCTGGGTTTTATCAACCCCGAAATGTCCGGAGAGGTTAGAATCATGGACCTCCTGAATGAGGAGTTCACGTAGCAGTCGGTAAGCGGGAACCCAAATCCGGTCAGTTCCGGCCTTTAGATAATAATTCCCCTTCTGCGTCGTCTCCTGCTGGTGATTCCCATTCGTGAAGAACGGGTCCGTAGTGTAGCCGTGGGTGAATAGTCCCGTAAGTAGCGGATTCGAATGGGTGATGAGCACTGCAGCAGATTGAACTGTCGGTCTGGTCAGGGCATCGGCGATGTTATTCGCCCCTTTCTTGTACGTGATGCGGTAGGTGAAATGGCTCTCCATGTAATCCAGCCACCGAATTTGTCGCGGGTTGAGGTTGGGCTGAGCTCGCAGGTACTGTAGGGACTTGTGGTCCGTGCGAACAGTGACGTCGGCGCCCACCAATTAGCAGCGCCACAGTTTGAACGCGTGTATTATGGCGAGCATCTCCTTGTCATGTATTGGGTAGTTGCGCTCGGCTGCCTGCAGTTTGCGTGACTCGTAGGCGATCGGTTGCAGCCCGTTCCTGAAATCCTGGAGGAGTACAGCTCCGATGGCAAAATCTGA